TAACCCTAACCCTAACCCTAACCCTAACCCTAACCCTAACCCTAACCCTAACCCTACCCCCTTACGGCGGGCTGGAACCTGAGGCCACCGCACTGGTCTTGCTGCAACCTCACCGTTCTCCTTGTTCACACGTGCAGCGCTGAGCTTGTGATGGCCCCCTTTTGATTGGGATCGGTCTGTCATTATCGCAATCCGCCAACACCAAGGTACAGTATTGTACATGAGGAATTCTTAGCTTTGTCAACCGATATACGATGCATATTGCGCCCACTCGCCATCGTGGCTTAGCTGCGTCCAGTCTTGTTCCCGCAGACACATGCCAACAATCGCACCACCGGAGGAGGGGCTCTTGGGCATGATGTACATCAGACTCTCGACGGGGATAAACGCAGGACGTCGAACAGCAAGAGGGTGCCCGAGGTCGAGACCGAAATCGAGGTCGTAAAGCTTGACCGAAGCCCACGAGCTGAGCATGATGCCTGTGGATGAGTCTACGGGCGCCGTGATGCTGAGACTGCCCTTGTCATCCGATCGATCGAGAACCGTGGCAAGAGCGCGTGTGTCACGAGCCAACTTCGGTGAGTTGAGCTGGCTACGAAGGTTGGCAGCGATCTTGCCCAACGGTTCTGCGCTGACGGTATCGAGCAAAGAATGGTTGTACGTCATATTGGTCAAGGTGCCAGGATAGCTTGTTGGCACACCCATGCGAGCCCGAAGGTCGACGGCACGGGCAAAGACGGTGGAGCTGTTTGCGTCGAGCCTTGTTGCTCTGGCGCGAGACAGGCACTTCCAGATTAAGGCGCAGACAGCATCGTCAGAGGTGATGTAGCTGCTGTCCGAATCTTTGGTTTCTGTCGCTATCCTCTTCAGCGCAGCAACCGATTCCATCGAGAAGGCAACATAGCCCCATGTGACTGTGGGCGATGTACCATCTTGTGCCTGTGTCTGTGTGGCGGCAGCAGGCTTGATTTGCAAGCGATCTAGCCATGCCTCGTCCGGCGTCCAGTCTTTGTCGAAAAGAGTCAACACTCTGCTCTTGTCAATGGTGGCAATGGCAAGCTCTTCTTGAGTCAGTCTTGTGCCTCGACACGCATTGGAGAGCCAGGTCATGATGCTCGTCTGACCGACCATGTCCATCACATTGTGCTGAGCTACGATTGTGAGAATGAGGCCGTCCGGCATAAAATTGAGCTGGACCGCCAACACCGGGCCTGTCTCTGCAACGAGTCCCACTTGTTGTCCTGGCAGATTCAGCGTCATACACGGCGCAACGAGCCCTTCATCGAGCATTGTAAAGGGGTACCTAGCATCATCGAGTTTTTCGATAGTCAACGCTGCCTTGTCGAAATGTTTGACAACGAGCGGGATCTCGGATGTCTTTACAATGCAACACGTGCCCGTCTTGCCTGGGCTCGATCCTTCGTTGACCACTTTGCCACTCAGCCACGGCAGCTGTTTAGACAGATCATCGAGTCCACGCCGCAAAGTGGTTGTGACATGGTATTCGATTTGGTGCTGATCCTTGCCGCCAGATGCGTAGATGAAAGAGATCTGCGTGTATAGTTTGAACAGCGATGGGACACTACCGAGGATATCGAGCTGCTTGTTCTCGAGGGAATTGTTACAAGTCATCGCCGCTTTGGTGGACGAGAAAGTTGTGGTGAATAGGTAAAGGTGGTGTTTCAGCAGCAATGTCTCGATCCATGCAAAAATCATCAGGCGGACTTGCTGAGTTGAACCGTGCACGTTTGCCTCGATGGACCCTTAAATCCTTGTCCTCTCTGACTCTCGAAAAGGCCTAAGATGGTGCTCGCGTAGCTTTGATCCGAGACAGTGTAGGGTGAGTGATGTTTCAGCTCGCCCAGCTTGACTCGTTCCTTCGGAATTTGACAGGTTGACAGCGGAATTTCCAAGCGTGCAAAGCCCGCGGAGAGATGCACCACGAGAATACAACTCTGCAAGCAAGGAGAAGGCAAGCGAGTTGGAGTTGCGCGATGCCCCGACCATGACAAGCTCCGTTCCAGCTTCACGCTGTCCCTGTCACAGCTACATCGAATGCTTGCCGTGCCAGAGTGCTGGTCTTGCTTGATAGATCACGTGTGCGGCATGCCGGAACTTTGATCCCGAAGTTGCTTCGAAGTGTGGATGATCTTCAAGGAGGTGCAGCGTGCCTTGCATAAACGCCGATCTTTCCTGCAGGCGAGGTAACGTTCGGAAACAAGACTGGCACTCTTATGCTCCCGACATTCGTTGCAGGGCTGACTACCGCGTGGATCAGACAGCATGCTCGGAGAGGTCAGGTTCTCTCTGACTACCTCTTACTAGAGATTCTTAGAATGTGACAGAGTTGAAAGTGCATAGGGACGCGTGTTTGATCTCGTCTGGCGTCAAGATCATTGTCCGTGGGACATCACGCAGCACACCTTGATGAAGAATCTCAAGCTTCTATCCCTTGCTTTAGCGTGGAGGATTTCCGTTGGTCGCCCGCAGGGCGCATGTACTTGGATCCTCTGCATCGCCTTTCTGCATAAGGGTCTAAGAAAGATCCTTGAGGTCGGGCCCATGCTCACGGAGCAACGTTCTCCACCGACATGAGCGATCTTCATATCCTCTTTCCTCTGTGTCGCAAATAATGCTGCCAGGGCAGTGCTAGGGGGAAAGGGCTAAAAGCACGTTGGACATTACACTGAGTCCATCCTATGACAGGCAGATTCGAGCTTGATTGGGACGTCAACGGCGAACATACGGCGTTCTTTGAATCATCGCCGACTACAAAATATTGCCAGCGAGCTTACGCAAAGCCATCGCTATTGTTCTTCACGCAAAGGTGTGCTGTCAGGCCTGTGCAGATGCATGCAGTGCGAACAAAGCATGGGGATCTCCCTGGCATGATTCGGTTCTCATCTTCCTTTGTCGCTTCGCAGGTCGTAGATCTTTCCACCTCGCTTGATAGTCATGCTTCGTTCCTGTATTGAGTCTAAGCGCCGCTGTGCGGTCCTCCGCCCTGCGAGCTCGATCTTTTCAGCAAGATCACATGCAATCTCGGTACCAAAGCGAGGAGACATGTCCAGCGATTGTGCCACTCAGAGATCCGCTGCCAAACCTGCCAATCTCGACTTTGTTCAAGCAAGCAAGACCAGGACGTTATTTCACCCGTTGGGCTTCCTGCCAGAAGTTGAGTTCTACAAGCATAAAAGGAAGCCAATCGTACCGCTCCCTTGTCTAGACCGCATCTCCCCTTCAAATTCATCTCCCAGATCTGTAGAAGATGATGCTGCCATCAATTCGAGGCCGGCTTGGTCTGCTGCCCTTCTTGCTCCTGCTCTGCACTATCCTACACACTGCCGTCGCGCTCTCGCCAGCCCATTCTCGCTCGACTCATGTCGATTCTTCTTTATTGAAGCGTCGTCGACGTGTTTCTGCTCGTCGGCAGGACCTGGTACCTCGTGCGACCGACGCAGAGATTGAGCTTGCTCTGGACATCCTGCGTCGTTCCGACTTTTGGAGCACCGGCCTTCAGAAACGCGCCGCAGCCACCTCAGGCAAGTCAGGCGACAATCAATGGACGGTTGACGACGATGACCGTTCCATCTGCTTCTGTGTCAATCGCGACGTTGTTCAAGCTAGCAAAGGATCCTATCGCACTTTGATTTCCGGCGATTCTGGATCCGACACGAACTCGTACGCATCCTCAAGCTCCCGCACCAGCTCACACGCCTCGACCGGATCTGCATCCTCGTCTTCGTCTTCATCTTCATCTGACTCGAATGCAAAGGCAGCTTCGAGCGTGTCTTCCGGCTCTGCTTCCGCCGATTCGAATGCCAAGGGAGGATCGTACAGCCCTACGTACGTCTACAACAACTCGTATGACAGCTCGCGAACATCGTCTGTAACCAACAACGATCGCAACATCACCAACATTGACAATTCGTCTCACGATTCGCACGACACCACCAATGTCAAGCAAACCTCCACCACCAACAATCTCCACGAGACCAACAACAATGACAATTCGTCTCACTCCTACACGGACAACAGCGACAACTACCAGGACAACAGCCATAATTATCAGGACAACTCGCCAACGACGACGGACAGCAACAACACGGATAACTCTGCCCACTCGAGCTCTTCATCTACCACGAACAACACACAGAACAACATCGACAATTCGCAGTCGACCAAGACCAATACCACCAACAACTACGAAGGCGGTGCTGGCGGTGCCGGCGGAGGCAGTGTCAGTGAGTCCAAGAACACGGGCATCGATGCCAGCGGTTCCAAGGCAAACGTGTGCATCCTAGCTGCCTGCAACTAGACCCGTGCAGTGGGCACCTGCCATGCGATCGTGTGTCTTCAGAAGCTGTCAGGAAGTAGCCGGGGCCCTTTCGATAGTGCAAGATTTGACTTGGATTCTTCAATAGGCCCCCTTTCCTGCTCGCCAGTGTTCTCTCTCCGTCGCAGTCTCTTCTACTCTTGCTCGCATGACCTTTCCAATAGTCTTTTTCCCATTTTGAATTACACTCGTTTGTCACATCTGCTTGCGTTCAGACTATCGTGGCTAGCCTGTTCCTCTGACGTGATTGCCAAAGAAGGTTGCAGCATGTCGAATACTCTGACGAAAGAAATTCGCTGTGTTTGGATGAAAGCTTTGCTGACGGCTCGCTTTGCCTTTCGCTCCTAGAAGAACTTTCTTGTATGAAACGAGGACATTGTCGGATCACGATCAGAATAAGGAGCGCTCGTGGATTGATATGCCTGCTCGTTCCGCTCCTGCATTGTAGCACGAGCGTCCAATCGCAATCTGAAAACGAGTTCAATTGAAAGTTGTCGATCAAGTCGCGCGAAATCCGCGCTGCGGCTCTATCACGGTTCGACGAGTGGGTCGGAGAAGAGTCTCCGGGAAAGCTGGCTCGATGGAAGCTTCCGAGAATATGATCTGCAACTCCGCCTCCATGACGACGCTGTGTGTACACAAGCTATCGAACATGGCTACACCGGCATGATGCTATGTACGTGGACGCTTGAGTTGGGATAATCTTCATTCAGAGCAGAAGCTATACTGCGGCTAATCACGATCTCTGTTCTTCCAGCCAGTCAGACCCAGCGCCTGCGTTGCGCTAGCCGCCATTCCTGCCGCCCGCTCGCCTCCCAAGTTGGCGAGCAGGCCACCACTGTAGCTCGATCCATACGCCTGGGCGACTCTGCTCATCACAGTAGGTCCTCCTGTTTCGGGTACTAGGTCGTTGAGCCCTTCGCTCTTGACCTTCCTTCTTGCGCTTTCCATCAGTGCGGTCACATCGTCCCTCTTGAGATCGTCGCGCGCCTTCATGATGGCCTCGAGGAATCCCAGATGGGCTCCGTGCGCTTTGGCAAAGCTCCAGTAGGGCAGGAAGACCATGGTGGATGAAGACGTCAGCATGCCTCGGATGGCATCGAGCACTTCGAACTTCTCCTGGACCTCTTCCTCCTTCTTAAAGGCGAGGAAAAGCGTCCTGGCATCCTCGACATCCTTGCGCATCTGCTCTGCTGCAGTAGGCATGCGCAGCTTGCCGCTGCCCACACGTCTGAGCGCACCGATGTAAGAGACTTGGAAGCGATCAATCATGTCGTCGCACAACACGTCAAACAGGTTGGGGTTGAGCCGCTCGCTGTAGTCCGATGTGTAGTCGCGCATCGTCTCGACGATGGTGGTCATGGTGCCTTCCGAGTACCACATCGGGAAGGTGAACAGATCCTTGATCGCCGGCTGCAGATCGGCAAAGACCAAATCGACCAGTACTTGCGTGCATCGCTTGGATACGTCCAGGAAGCCATTGAGCGCATTGTCGACCGCCTCGCGGATGCCGGCTTGATATTTTTTGCTCACCATCGGCTCGAGCCTTGCGATGAGCGCCTCGGCATAGTCTGCCGACTTGAGCTGATCGTTGGCCAAGGCGATCACGTATTCGACCAGACCACCCACCACATCGTCCGGAGCTTTCGCTTCGCGTTGCTTCTTGAACTCGCTTTCCAGCACTCGCAGCCAGGTCGTTTGCGTCGAGTGCATCGCTTTGGCTGCATGATCTACCACCTTGGCCAGAACGCTAGCTTGGCCCGAGTCAGCTGCCACGTCGATTTGCTGATTGACCATCTGGAACAAGATCGCTGCGCCTTGCAGACCATACAGCCCCTCATTGTCTTCGTCTGGCGGATTTTGACGCGCCACAAATTCGCGCACCTCGTCCGACATGAGGTTGGCCGTCCACTCGTCGATCTTTTTGGTGATCAGGCCGAGGTAGTCGTCGATGATTCCCTGTTCCTTCCCCGCTAGCAATGTCGGTTCGAGCCATGCCTTTTCTGCGCCAATCTCTCTAGTTATTGTCTTGGTATACTCCTGCGTGAACTGGTACAGCTCGAGCAGCGCGCTCGCTTCCGGATCTTTTGCGAGAATACGTTCGCGCAGGATGCTTCCGAGATGCTTGTGGTAGCTCTTGACAAACATGCGCAGGATCTGGTAGTCTTGCGGAAAGAGGGGCGTAAGTTCGGACTGCACGAATCGCATATCGTCGTAGATCCAGTCGAGGTGCCCAAGGAATTCGAGACTGGTACCATCGGCACCGAATCGGGACCAGCACTCGTCAAACAACTCGGCTGTGGCTCGGTCGATGGCTTCGACGAATTTGGGACGGTATAGCTTGATTACACGCGCATTGGCCACCACGGATCGGAAACGGGCGGCGCCTTCGAGATTGGCACGTTTGGCAAGACGGATTGCTGCTGCACGTTCGTCTTCGCGTGACTCTTTCTCGATGATCTTGATGAGCTTGACGACCACGCCCGGTCGGCCTTCTCGAGCCAGGTCCATGGTCCTCTCTGCCAGCTGCATGATGTAGTCGTCGAATGCTCTAATGAGCCCGTCGAGCGGCGCAAAGAACTCGGAGACGGTGCTGCGCACGTCTGTAGAGCAGGTGCGCGCAATCTGGAACGTCTCGTTGCGGAATGCCTCGAGCTGCGAGAGATGAAAATGCAAAGGGAGAAGGTCGGTAGCAGGGCCCATAATGTCATCGCGACCTCGTTGCAGCATCTCGGCGAGTGTAGAAATCTGGTCTGGAAGTGCATCGAGTTTCTCTAAAGTGCTTGTCGTCTGGACAAAGTTGCGATGAATCTGAGACACTTGGCTGATGATGCTGAAGGAGCGATTGGCGTCGGAATGAGTGGTTCTCGTTCCGTCGTCGCCGTCTGTGTTGGTATAAAGCGCGTCGACTTGCGCAAACGCTTCTCTGATGGATGCGACATCCTTTCTTGTTGCCTGGAGCTTCAGAAGACCATCGCGTGTCGCCTCAAGCTGCTCTTTGGCTCCGAGCTTGAGTTTAGCCGACAGACTCGCCTGTTCCTTTAGAAGCTTCTTGCGCAGCGCTGATATCTTGGTGAGATCGTCCGGGGACTTTAGAAACTCGGCAACTAGATTCGAAGAGCTCGCAACGGCGTTGCTGGGCAAGGTGGCGGCAGATAGGCCGGCTGACTTTGGGTGGACAGCGTGGGCGGATGAGGAAGGACCTGCATGCCCTTGCAAAGAAGTCGACAATGAGGTAGGAGAGTGCAGGGCTGTGCCATTTCGGTGTTGAGCGCCGTTGGGACTGGTACCAATTGTTGTTGACGGCATGCCTGCAATGTAGTGGTGAGGCGGGATAGCAAAGCTCATCGTCGCTGCATGTGCGCGGTTCGATCGACGCCAATGTCAGAACTAGTCTAGCTGCATGAGGGAACTCCGGACCGCGTGCCTCAGACACTCTCGTCTATGAGCTCACGTTCCTGAATCCAATATGGGGGTATGAGTGCGAGCTGTGGAGAGGCAAGGCGGACAAATGAGCATAGAGACCAGAGGATAGAGCGGAATGATGTCTCAACAAAGGTCTGGTCCGAGCGCGCTTCGCAGCAGCCCGAGATTTTGGATTGCGGTTGCATCTTGGTACGGTCTCACAGCACGAAATATTTTCGTTGGGCAATCGAGCTTTGGTGAGACCATGTTATGTGGCTCTCACGCCTTCTCTACATTCATCAGGCACTTTGAACGACCGGTGATCTGATGAGAAGACATTGAAAAAGATAAATTGAAGAGGAGAGCTCGGAGGAAAACATTTCAGGGCGCCGTCAAACCAAGAGGCGAGTTCAGTGTATCAACTAGGTCGAGTATTTGGCCTCGATTTCTTCAAGAAGCGCTTGGATCGGCGAGGTGGCGAAGCCGAGCGCGTTCGTCGTGCCGACTTGGTTCGGGTTCGTCACGGACAAGTGATCAATTTCGAGCTGGAGCGATGAAGGATTCGAGGAGAATTGAGAAGTCGAGTCGGCACTACGGATGGCGGGCGAGAGTGATTCGGCGGCTTCGGCCTGCGCCTTGATGCCATGGACTATGGCGAAAAGTCGCGAGCATATGCGGTCTGAAAGGAAAAGCAGCCCTTCCTTGTCTTCCATCTCTCTTTTCATCGCGTCAAGCTCACTCTTGACAGTGTCGCGCGAGGCAGTGAGCTCTTCAAGCTCGACAGCGAGGGCTTCGTTCTCATCTCTGGTGGACCTCGAATGAAGCAGCGTCAGCTTTCAGTCCAAGATCTCTATGAAAGACGCGCATGGATGTTGCGATGTACTACCCACTTTAACTTTTTTATCTGTGATCGTAGATGGGCAACCTCGTCTTCGTGTGTCTCCTGGATCTGTGCAAGGCCGATGCGGAAGCCCGAGCGGGAACATTCAATGGATCGTGTGAGACGGTGTGCTACTCTAGCCCCAAGAGACGCAAGACTTTACCTTTCGAAGACTGTCAAGTTCGAGGCTCTGCAAAGGGGAACGGGGAATGCACCAGTATAGAATCGGTCAGTGTCGACGAAGAAATGGATCATCTGTTGGCGCATTGGGGAAATGCGAGCTCGCGACGCACCTTCTCGTCGAAGGCAAGGGCAATGTGTCGCAGCGAGTGGGAGATTGCGGATTGGCCAAGCCTCTCTTCCACGTCGTGATCGGATTGAGTTTGGACGTCGTGTTTGTGGCTGGTGTCATCGATAGTAACTTCGGTGGTGCCCGAGGAGGGGATGGATTCGTGCGTCGAGTTTTGCTCGAGAGGGTCATGGCCGAGAAGCTCATCGCGTATCATTGCCGCACGCTGGGTGAGCGAGCCGGAATCAGTGGTGTCAGCACCGTCGCCATCAGTTTCGTCCCGGACCACCTTGCTCTCGACGTGATTCGTGCCTGTCTCCGTCTGGGCCGCGATTGGCAGTGCTGTGTTCGGACCCTCGAGGGACAGAGTGATAGTCGGTGACGGTGATTGGAAAGATAGGGCCTCGCCAGTTAGGATCGATGGTGAACGGGAAATCCTCGGCAGGGATGTGCTCAGCGGTCCTGAGCTGAGGTAGGATTTGCCAGGTGTGGCAGTGGACGTGGAAGTCATTTGGCTGAGATCCACTTGCCTTCTGGCTTTGGCTTTGAGAGCTGGCTGGACCGGAGCTTTCCGATTGCTCGGAGGTGTTGCCGGAGGTCGATCGTTGTTCGGCAGGAACGGGGCTGCCTGGACGCTTGTCTACAAGGACTTTAGAGTCCACAACGGGCAGGACAGGAGTGCTAGCTGGCAGTGAAACGTCTTGAGAGGGCTTTTCTTCGGGTCGCTGCTTTCCAGCCTCGGAGCAATTGTTCTTGCAGGACGTCATGAGGCGGTAGAAGCAAAGGGAATAACTGCAGAGTAGCAGAAGAGGCGAACAACAGAACAGCTCTTCGTACGAGCGGGAAGTTTGATCAAGACTCAAGACGACACAAAGAAGTACGGAGTGAAGTGGACGGTAGATGAGGGGGGAGATGTCTATTGCGGAACGCAGCGCTTTTATGTTGTGACAAGAAGTGGAATCTGTGCGTGAGTGGTGTGTGCGCCGACGTTTTGAACGCCAGAGGAGTGCGCTTCGTGAATGCAAAGTTTCAAGCCTTTGAACCCAGGGTGCGCAAGACACGAAGCAGCGCAGAAATCGTTGTCGCGCTGACTCTGCCCGCGGGTGCGCAGATGCGGGAGAGTGGATGAAGTGTGCGCAGCTCCAAAGCTTGAAAATCGCGTCGCTGATCCGTGACGATGAGGGGTTGAGCTACAAAAATGTATGTTTTGGTCGCCACCAGAAGCCAACCTTATGCAGATTCGTCCTTCTTTCCCACACTCTCGATGCTGGCATTATCGGTAGCGTTCGCCTCCGCCTCGTCCTTGTCAAACTGTGCATTTGCAGCCTCATCATCCTCGATTTCGTCCTTGTAGACGTCCGGATGCTCGCGGAAGCAGTCCTGCATGGCCTTGAATTTGTCTACGCAGTCGATGCCCTTTGGCTCAGCCTCCGAGTAGACAAAGCAGGAGAAGGCGAGTTTGAACTGTTCACCGCATGGACCGTGAGCCATTCCGCCCAGACACGGGCAGTCCCAGTTGATCTCGCCAGTCTCAGGATCGTAGGCCGACTGTTGACCTGTCTGCTCCTCCGTTTCCTCGACAGCGACCTCGATGGCGGCAGGCGTCTCGTCGGCCGGCTCCACATGCTCGTCGTGCGCCGCAGCGGGCGCGTGACGGTCGTTGGCATCTTTGCGAAGGAAAGCGTCGCCTTGGGACTGCTTGGGTTTCAGGCGGTCATTCCATGCTTGACGAGGCTCGCACTGGATGGCCGAGGATCGAGACTGAAGTGCATAGAGGGAGGCACCAGCACCCACGGCAGCGACCGTAGCGATCGAGTATGATGGCCAAGCGGAATGACGCGAAGGACCTGCAGCAGACTTGGTGGCAACACCTCGCGAGGCGGGACGAAGGGTGCGGGATGCGTGGTGTATGGAGCGGCTCGCCGAGCGAACCACTGATTGACCGGACAGCATGATGTCGATGTTGCACCAGGCGTGAGATGGATCGAGGAGCTCCAAGATGATAGCTCGTCTGGAGGAAGAGGATGGCAGCGTGAAGATGGTATCGTCGTTGAGGTGCAAGGCTTGCAAACGCGATGGGTGCGGCAACACAGTATGTAAAGCCGAAAAAGAGTGGAGGTGACGTGAAGAAAAACTAGGAAGAACTCGGACTAGACGAGCACACGAGAGAGAAAAAAAAGGCGGTACAGAACAGCAGGCCGCGACATCGCCGTAAGCGAACGGCTGAGCCTGCTTCTTCCGATTTCCGTCCCGCTCGGGTTTTAGGTGCGATTTTTGGGGCCTGGATTTTCGTCAGAAATTCTGGTCATTTCTTTCTTCCTTTCTTTCTTCCTCGTTGGTGTACTTTGGGAGCACGTTTCCGTGGCATCTTCCGACTTAGCTGCTCGCCCCCGGGTGTATGTAGAATGTGTCGATCCAGCAAACGTCGACCTGATGATAGCCGCCAGCCTCCCGGATCTGCCCCTTTCCAAGCATTTTGCCCCCTTTCGTGATAATCAAACACTCACCCGCTCCCTACCATCCGCTTGCGGAAGGTGTATCCTGTTGCGTGCGTTGGGGACGGCTTGTTTTCCTGTTGCTTATAGACATGTTCGCGTCTGTTCTCCTCCTCTGCGTGCCTGGTCATTCAGCCATTCCGGATCAGACATCGATCTTTCGTCAATGTTGCTGCCGTCAGTCAGATAAGAAAGAACTTGTTGGCGAAGAGAGCTGGTCGACGCTTGCTACTCGACAGTAACCTCGGTAGAGGCACCTTGGTCTTTCCTATGCCCTCGTGGCAGCCCACCCTGGTTTCTATAGACGCATCGATTTTCCCAATGACACGAATGCTAGTCGGCAATACCACCTTAGGTTAAGTTGTGTCCACCTCGCTTGCTTTGCCACCAGCCTACCACCACTCCGAATGCCAAGAAAAAACGTGACAGCACCTTTAGCGCCGTTGTCGCTGTCCAAAACGCACTAACTTCATGCGGATCAAACCTCTCCGACGATAGCCACCGACCGCTGTGCGCTAAATCGACTACAAGGTTCACAACCCGCCGTCTTGACAGCCCTTCCCCGAGATCCTCAGCGACAAGGACTTTTCGATCCTTCTGCGCCCTGTCGCTTTCCCTTTCGCGCAAGCTATGATCTCGTGTGCGCACAAGATCCCGCTGCTTCGCTTAGCGCCAGGAAAGGAGAACCGCGTTCCGTTCGCTTAACTGCGTCCAAAAGGCTTGGCGTGATCCGCCTTCCTTATGAGAATCCTTCCTTTCTTCTCTGCTTCTCACTTTGAACCCTTGTCTGCCTGTCCGCCACCTTATTAACGTCGATGAGCCAACCTCTCGATCGAGGGTCTGCTTTCGCTCTTGCCCGCGAACCTTTCTGCAACGCTTTTCGCTTCTCCTTTATCGGTCTCCCTTCCTTTGTCGTTGTCTCTATCTCTTGCCCTCGCCTCCATCTTGTTGCTCCGTCGGCTGTCTGTAGGTCAACGGATGATGTGCTTCCGAGCGGGAGCAACACCTCCGATGATTGATCGTGCGCCTGCCGTTGCGCTCGACAGTTTGCACAATATGGGCGGGATGCAGTGTCAAACGACATCCTTGAAACGACCCTAGTATCTGAAATCGAGCATTTCGAGCATCGCCGGTGCCAACGAATGGAGGAACACTGCCTTTCTTCACGACTCAACCGAACAGGCTGTACCTGTAGCACATTGTGTGAGCCTGTGAGCTGCACCATCTCCTCGACAACCGTCTCATACCTCAATTGAAAGGTATAAGAGGAGCGCTTGAGTACATCTCGTCATCTCTCTGCACCCCAAGACAACTTTCAGCACTCGCTCCTCATTCCTCTACCTTGACATCCACTTCGAGCTCTTCCATTCCTTCCACAAGATCCTGTCCTCACCTCGAAGATGCAGTTCAAGACACTTGCCCTTTACATCGGTGTCGCGCTTGCGGTGGCGGCACCCGCCGCCATGGCGGCCCCTTCCGAAGTCAAGCTGTGTGGCAGTCACGAAACTGCGCCCACCTCGGTCGAGCAGGCGTTGGGCAACAAGATTGCTGCTCAGCGTGCTGCAGGCTCCTCGAGCTCGCTTTCCAAGTCCTCGGCTGCTGCGGCGGCCGTCTCGGCCAACATCCCCGTGTACTACCACCTGATTACGGACGGCTCGAGCAGCGGAAGGATCTCTACGAGCGCCATCAACAGCCAGATTTCGATCCTCAACGACAACTTTTCGGGTACAGGGCTGAGTTTCTACCTTGCCAGCACCGACACCACCGTCAACTCTGACTGGTTTAACAACGTCAACCAAGGCACATCGCAGGAGAGAGCCATGAAGTCTGCTCTTCGCAAAGGTGGCTCCAACGCACTCAACGTCTACACCGTCAGCTTCGGCAGCTCCGGTTTGCTAGGCTATGCCACCTTCCCATGGAACTATCGTTCCAACCCCACCAACGACGGTATCGTGCTCGACTGGAACACCTACCCCGGAGGACCCATCACAAACTATCAGGAAGGAAAGACGTTGGTGCACGAGATCGGTCACTGGGTAGGTCTCTACCACGTCTTCCAGGGAGGCTGCTCCGGCAGCGGCGACTACGTCGACGACACTCCTCCGCAGTCCACTGTCACCAGAGGTTGCCCTTCGAGCCAGGACTCGTGCTCTGGTGGCGGCGTGGACAGCATCCACTCGCACATGGACTATTCTTACGATTCTTGCCGATACCTGTGGACTAACGGTCAGATTGCTCGTATGGGTGCCGCTGTGGACGCCTACCGTATCTGAGACTCGAAGTCGAAATCATATAGCTAAAACTTGCCAAAGACGAAGACGATGGAATGGCTAGGAAGAGAAGGACTTCGGCGCCGGATGTGCTTTCTCCCCCCACTTTGTTTGGCTTCCGTTCTTTATCTTATCGCAGTCAACACCCTGCGCGCTGCAATCGCAAATTTCCAGAAATAAGTCCCCCACGTCTGAAGTGTGCTGTCAGAAAAGCAGATCGGGGTCAAAAGATTCCAACGCGAACGATCTGATCGATATCGAGCCCGTTGCGGACTCCACACGATTTGCGAAGATCCTCTTTTGGCGGTCGAGAGTGTTGCTTGGACTCGTCATCCTCGAGCGTTCGAGCGCTCGCTAACGTAAATCATTCGACAGGCCATGGACGTTTGTTGAACTGAATACTCTTGTCCTTCATCATCAATCACCATCGCTCTCTCTGCGCGCGTGTCTACAGTCGATTCGATCGAACTAGGGTGGAAGCTGCATCGATCATCGATCACGGCAGAACGTTTGCGACGACACATCAAGCTTGCTTCTTCCGCAGTCCGCCGCCGCGAGCCTGTGGCCATGTCGAATCAGGGCACCAGCAGTGGTGGCTCATCGTCCACCGCCGGGGCGACAGGCGCGAGCCGACAGCCAGCAGATGGCCGCGTGTATACATCGTTCCAGAAACGATTCCCTCGCATGGCTTTTGTTGCCAACAAGGTCATCACCTCGCGCACAGGTCGTACCACCGCTCGAGCATGGTCCTACCGTCGTCCGCTCCTGTTCGGCTTCTTTGCCACATACACCGCCGTCGGCTACCTCAAGCTTAAGCGCGACGCCTATCTGCGCGATCTCATCCATCCCGACACCTACCTCGTCTGGAAGGTGTACGATGGCGCCATTGTAGAATCGCGCGGTCCACCCTCGGTGAGCGCGCTCATCAATGCTCCCGCTGCCGGTGAAGAGGCACCGCGGGTGATGGAAATGTTCGAGGTCATCCGTGCGCTCAAATGGGCGCAGGCCGACGACCGTATCAAGGGCATCTTTGCCGACTTTAGTGGTCTGCACCTCCCGTCCTCCGTCACTCCCAATAGACTCGGCTTGGCGCAGATCGAAGAGCTCATGCAGGCCATCCACGAGTTCAAGCAGGCAAAGAAGCAGCAACATGGTGACATGGCGCGTCCATCCATCGCATGGGCCGATACCTTCAACAGCCAGGGCTCGTTCTTGCTCGCTTCTGCCTTCGATGAGCTGTGGATGCAGCCCACAGGGTCCATCCCATTGACCGGACTGGGAGCACAAATTCCCTTCTTCAAAAAGGCGCTCGACTACTTTGGCATCAAGGTGCTCGCCGAGGCTCGACGCGAATACAAATCCATGATCTCGACGTTCAGCCGCGACGATTCGCTCCCGGCTCCGCAGGTACAGAACGAAGCAGAGTTGCTCGGCGAGCTCAATCGCGGACTCGTGCACGCAGTCGCCGTCAACCGCTTCCCCGACGAAGATCCAGACGTCATGTCTAGCAAAGTGGAGGCTTGGATGAAAGATGGGCCCTTCTCGACTCGGGAGGCCAAGCAGCTAGGTCTCATAAATGGTGCTGCCTTCAAGAGGGATATCATCAAGAGGCTCGTCGATCCAAAGCACGGCGGCAATGACGAGACCAAGTTCAAGTCGCTTCATCACTACAACAAGGTCAACGACCGTCATCTCGACCGGCAACTCACCGATGACGAAGTCGTCCAGGTCGGTGTTGTCTACTTGCTCGGAGGGATCAGTTCGGCGCCGGGCGAGTTCTCGACCTCGTCCGTGCTCAAAGGTCTCAAGGAGGCTGGTGAGCACGAAGATATCAAGTCGATCGTGTTACGTATAGACTCTGGCGGTGGAGATGTGGTCGCGAGCGAGTCCATTTGGGATGCCGTTCGACGTGTACGCGAAGATTACGGCAAGCCCGTCGTCGCCTCGTTCGGCAATGCCGCTGCTTCGGGAGGCTACTACGCCGCCAGTGCAGCTGACGCTATCCTGGCTTGCGAGAACACGGTGACCGGATCCATCGGCGTCGCCTCACTTCGTCCGACCATCACACGCGCATTCTTCGACAAGTTCAACGTCGGCATTCAATCCTTCTTCACCGGCTCCACGTCGCAGTCGACGCTTCACGAGCTTGACGAGGCACAGCGAGCCAAGTCGTCCAAGCACATCGACGAAATGTACGACGATTTCCTTCAGAAGGTTTGCGATGGACGCGGCATCTCGCGCGATGTCATCGAAAGTTTGGCCGGTGGCAGGGTCATGACCGGTCTCAGCGCCTGGGCTCGCTGCAACCCCGACGCCGAAGTAGACCAGGTGCAGCTGGGTGACACAACGCCGAAAGCTGACAAGATTGTAGAGCTCGGCCAAGATGCGGCTTCGGAAAGGACCGACTCGATCGAGGGCAAAGAGGACGAGGTAGTGAAAGAGGCTGTCAAGTCGGCTGTGCGCCGTGTCAAAGCAGTCAGCCTAACAAGTCGATGGAGCACGCGAGAGGTGCCAGCAAGTAGCGGCAACAACACGGTCTTGATCGAGCGTGTTGGTCCTAATCACTCGGCCACAGCGACGCCGAGCGAGATTGGCAGCAACACTTCCAGCGGCGACAGCAACGGTCTCCTCTCGGAACTGATCGCCAAAGCCGAAGAGGCCTTGTTGGGTCGCTCCGATACCTGCAGCGCCAACACATCCAGCAACAACGCGCCCGGCAAACCACTCACCGGACCCGAAAAGCTTAAGAAACGGATGGAGGAGGAAGAGTCTCGCCTCGCGGTGGCTGCTCACTCTGCTGCCGAAGAGTCGCGCAAAGGCGCTGAGGACACCGACGCTGAGATCAAGCCCGCCGGCGTCGCTGCCAACGAATCCGTCGAGGCCATGGGAGCCAAGCTGGGTCCTTACGGCAAAGGCCTCGTCGACTCGATCGGTGGTATTTGGGACTCGGCCTACTACGCCATGACTCTGGCGCTCCAGGCCGAGATCGAGTCCATGGTCACCAAGGACCATCTCACGCTCGAGCAGGCCACCAACAAGATTCGACCTGGAGCCGATCGCGAAGTCACGGAAGATGGCATGCTCGCGCTCGCCACCGATCTGAGGCTGGTACGATTCCCTGAAGACAAACCCTTCTGGAAGAAGGTACAAGAGCTCAACGCCAAGGGAGATCAGCCACAGCTATCGCTGCTCCCGAGGGCCGTCAGCAACACTATTGCCCTGATGCTGCAGGAAGCAGGCGAGAGGGCGGCTAGATCAGCCGTCAGAATGATGATCGCCACAGCAGCCGATCCAAGTGGCATTGCAGCCGCGTTTGACGACCCACAGCTGGCCGAGAAGCTACGTGCCAACAACGGGCTCGGCGCGGGCAGGTCCAGGGGACGCGCAAGGGCCGAATACCCGCTGGCTTCCTTTTTCAGCTAGGTGAACTCACAAATATAGAGCACAGCTTAGGTACGTTGCAATAGAAGCCCCACTCACCACCATCTATTGGACCGTAGGTTTGTGTAGACGGTGATACCACGTAGGAAAGCACGTTTGAATCCAAAGAGGCTGGCCGAGAAAGGCAGTAAAGCGTGAATCATTTTTTATTTAATGTTAGACGATGTCTTCTATCGACCAGCAAATTTTCCCGCTCGGCCAAGTCCGAGATTGCAAGTGGCGGATTCGAGATTTGAGCTGCGAGAGACCCTGCGCCTATCTATGGGCCTGCCTGTCCCTGTCGCCACTGGTTTGGCTTCGACTATCATCGAACTTCCTTCGACACTCGCCCCACCAGTCCAGCGTGCTCCTGCAGGCTCTTCAATACTTTCATACTCAACCATGACCATCCCAATGGCTTCACACAGATGAAAGCCCCGCAAGACCTGTCGACCTGAAGACGAAAGGTGTACGAAAGCTCCTACTAGGCACGTGAACGACCTCGACTCGCGGGCCTACATCCTCCAGGATGATCACGACGACGAACATGCCGCTTGCAGTAGCTCTGCTGTGCTTCGTATCTCCTTTCGTCGCTTCCTTGCTGTCCCACCTCAGCATCGCTCAGAGGGTCGCAATTTCGATAGTCATCTACATGATCGTGTCGGCACGGTTGCAGCAACGATCGAGCACGCGCTTTCACACAGCTCAGCGCCTTCAAACAGCCCGCGAAGGCTATTCGCTCACAACGAAGGCTAGCTCTGCTCCTCCGCTTGCGACACATGCCGTCGATCGAGAGCTCAAACAATCACGTCGCCCATGCGCGCCAGCTATGGTAACCGAACCAGCCTGTTCATCTGAAATAGGACCAAAAGCAGACACTGGCCTGGCCAGCAGTGTGGCACACGTTCGAAGCACCCAGTGTCCTCAACTTGCTGATGCCTGCTACTTGGATGCTGCCGCCGCACCTCCATTTCCATCCGGCCTGGTCACGGCGGTCGCTCAGAGCCTCTCGGGCAAGCTCTTGTCCAACCCACACTCCAAGTCTCCATCTGCGATCTCTACCGCAGATCAGATTTCCGCCACCCGACTTCGCATCATGCGCGACATGTTTGGCATTCAAGATACACACGACTGGAGCCTCATTTTCACCTCGGGCACCACAGCCAGTCTCAAGCTTGTCGGCGAGTCTTTCGACTGGACTCAAACAAAAGGCAAGCGAGGGTTCTCGTATCTCGTCGAGAGCCACACCAGCGCCGTCGGTATTCGAGATCTCGCAGCACTATGTGATGTCACCAGCGCCAGTTTTACCGCAGAAAGTTCTGCTAATGTGAATCACGAAGGCTTGGTGGTGCTGCCGTTGCAATGTAACGCCACGGGTAAGAGGTACGTCGACTTGGCGAAACGACTCCGTCGATCCACGTCCGACAGGACGCTCGTCATGGTCGATGCCGCGTCGTATCTGTCGTCATCCCAGCGCCTCAATCTGTCGCTCTGGTCTGCGAACGAAGTTCCAGACTTGATCGCTTTTTCCTTCTACAAGATCTTTGGCTATCCAACCGGCCTCGGTGGTCTGCTCGTAAGGAGGTCTGCAGCGCCTTGGTTGCTGCACAAGACGTATCACGGCGGGGGAACTGTCGACTCGATCCTCGCCGAGAGCCGATGGACAAAGCCACGCAAGGATCTCGAGGCTAGGCTCGAAGATGGCACGAGCAACATACATGGCATTCTCGCAGTCAACACAGCGCTCGACTACTATGAAAAGGCTTTCGGGTTGTGGGATTTGCGAGGCGACTACGTCGGTGGACTCAGCAGTAGACTTGTACAAGCCATGGAGGGCCTACGCCATGGCAACGGAAACCCGGTTGTTCGCATCTACCGAGGGCGAGGGCAAATCGAAGCCGAATTCGGACCTATCGTCAACTTCAACGTACTCGCCGCGGATGGGACGATCGTTCCACCGCAGGAAGTGGACAGATTAGCGAGCATCAGCAACATTCACCTACGCACGGGCCGACATTGCAATCCTGGGTTCGTGACGTCGCAGCTCGGTGTCACCGAAGCACACTTGAAGCAAGAGTATGCCGACGGCGTGGGATGCGATGATGCGGGCGATGCCGCGCTCGAGGGCAGCTCGAAAGCGTCAGCATCCTTACGCGCCAGCCTTTGCCTGCTCAACGCGATCGAAGATGTGGAGCGTCTGGTCGGCTTCATCGCACGATTCTTTCTTTCTTGTTCGCCGTCGACGCGGGCGGACCCACTTGACCGCACCGAGGCGCCGGTGGAGAGAAGGTTTGACCTGGCCAACATCACGGTCTATCCGATCAAGTCATGCTCGGGTCAAAATCTCGAGCGTGGCGAGAGATGGCGATTGACACGGCATGGACTCGAGTATGACCGCGAATGGATAGTGATGAATCTAGCCAACGGCAAGGCGCTTTCGCAGAAGCGATTCCCGAAGATGGTGCTCATCCGGCCACGCATCGACCTTGTTGGTCGTACTATGAGCATCTCCATCGCCGGCATTGACCAGCCGTTTACGCTCGACCTGGACGACGAGTCGCAGTATGCTGGACAAGAGGCAACGGAAAGCAGAACGGTGCAAGTGTGCGGCGTCGAGACGCGGCCACGGGCGCACAAGAGCGAACAGCTGCGGATTCTGCTGTCAAACTTGCTCGGCGTGTCGTGCACTCTAGCCAAACAAGCGATCGACACGAGCCGGCACTCGAAACTCGGCTCAGGGAGCGAGAAAGTTCCTCTGATCTTCAGTAACGAGTCGCCATTCTTGCTGATCAACTCTGCCAGCATTGACGAGGTGTGCGAGTGGATGCAGCAGGATACGGCTGAGGCCGGGTACACCTCGGTGGGCACTGAAGAAGTAGCGTCAGACTCGGGTTACTCTTCGGGACCACACCCTGAACGAAGGGACAAGAGGTCGGGGCTACTGGCACAGGCTGCAAGCTTTCGTGCCAACTTTTTGGTGTCGCCCTGCGATGGCGGGCCAGAGGCACCCTTTGCAGAAGACATGTTTAGCCGGGTTACGCTGGGAGATAAGCACGTGTTTGCGGTGCTTGGAGAGTGCCGGCGATGTCAGATGGTATGCGTAGATCAGTGCACGGGCGAGGTCAAGCCTCAAACGCTCAAGACATTGGCCAAGCATCGGAGGAACGGAAGAGGGAGGATCATCTTCGGGTCTCATCTGGCGTGGTTGCCAGGTCTGGAGCTTCGTTCGTCTGGAAGATTCGATCTCGACGATGCGCGAGTATGGGTGGGGATGTCAGTCGTCACCAGCTGAACGCGACACACACAGCGGGCAATTGTCAACGATCAATGCTATGTCTGGAAGATCTGAGCATGTCCGAGAGCAGTGTGGTGGTGTGTCGAATAGTGTGCATGGTATGAAATGTTTGAGAGACTACACTAGAAAGTCAAAAGGGCCAGTACCACGATCTCTTTGCCTTTGAATTTTCTTGGGTGTTTGACGACGAGGCAGCCGGATCTGCTTGGCGAACGGCCTCGTCCACCTTGGCTGCGATGCTTCTGGCAGTAGATTCGAGCGCACTCGTCTGCGTTGTCATGAGTTGTGTTTGCTCATCTCGATCGAGGATGTTCCAGAGTAGATGTAGACCAAAGTAGGCGCTGCTGCCGTATGCGAGGATGCGTAACAGAGCGGGAAACAGCTGACTGTAGAGTGAAGCGTGTCTTGCAGAGGCGCCAGTAGGGTTGCTCGCCCGCTGCGTTTTGCGAGCTGCTTTATTTGCAAGGTAACGCTGTGCTTCATTGAGCTCTTCAGATTCGGTTTGTGACTGAGATGGAGGTTGTGCGAGTGGACGTGAAGCGGTCGATGACACGGTGCGAGTGCAAGTTTGAACGACCGAAGGACGAGGTAGCGCCCTCTTAGTCGTCTGCATTGATCGTGCCCAGATCATTGGCGGCAGTAGCGTTTGTGATGATGGCATGATGTGCAAAGTGATGACAAGGTGAGTGAGGTAGAGAGGATGGTCCATGCTGGAATTCCTCGTGCACCCTTGTCCAACAAGGCAACAGCAATCGGCACATGAGCTGGTCGTTGAATCGGTGATTGCCGAATCGGCTTCAATCCAAGTCGCGTTGTCACAAAATGATATGTGCGTCGAATATTGAATTTGTGTGTGTCGGTTGGCGAAACGCGTCTGAAACGGCGACAAATTGACGTTAATAATGACAGCAGACACCATCCTCCAACTACCACCGTCACCACCTCCATCATCGTCACCACCCTCTTTCATCCCTCGAACTCGACGTCATTGGATACTCGCATCTGTGCCTTCTTCATCGCCGCTTGCTCCCACGCTACCTCGCCTGCTGCATCCATGGCCCCACTCGGCTGACATGTTATCTACAGCGACCACCTTGCATAACGGCATGATGGATGCCTCTGCACAACCACCGGTCAAACGCAAGCCCGGCAGGCCACGCAAGGTTCAGCCTCAGATCGACTTTAGTCTTCCGCTTCATCCTTGGGCGACTGCACATACGCAACAGCAGCAGCAGCAGCAACAACAACAACAACATACTTATCCACATCAATCTGCATCCACTCCAGCCTCCACGTCGTACCATTCAGCCCAGAGGCTGCCATCACAACCGCAACCAAAACATCGATCGGCGGCTCACCAGCAGCAGCCCCATCACCATGCCACGTCATCGGGTATGCCGCCACCTCAAGGGGTTCCGATGACCGCGACTGTGGCTGCTGTTCCGGTTCCAGCAGCAACCTTCTATGCGCAGCAACAGCAGCCCGTCTACGGCACGCCTACGCACGCAAGAGCCAAGCCGGGGCCCAAACCCAAATTGCACGCGCAATCGGTACCACCGAAGCCAGAATCAGAGCTAGAGGGACCTCGGCCAACTCTGCTTAGGAAGAATCTCCCGACGCCGGCTGATCTCGACTTTCTCCTCGGCGGATCGTCAAAAGCTAGAGCAAGGTCGATTGCACCCAGTAGCTCGATCGACCAATCTCGAAAGCATACCCTAGCCTCGAAAGCATCCTCGGAAATGGTGAATGCAGAGGCCACACGAGATCCAACATCCGCCATTGAAAACCGCCGTTTTCAATTATCGGCGTCAACGCGAACGCCCCTGCACGCTAATGTGTCCGCTACGGCGAGCGACGACAAACATAGCCAAGCAGCTGTCAGGTATATGGACGACGATCTCCCCTTGGGCGCGGAAGCTGTCATGGAGCCGGAACACGACGCAGGTTCGTCTTTCGAAGCCGACGTTGAGGATGCAAGAGAGAAAGATGACCCTAATGACCGCGATTTTCGTCCCTATGGTCGTCCAACAGCCGCCAAAAGGTCAGTCCGCAAATCACAAGTCCCCGAAAAGACGGCTGCAATTTTGGGCGGCACAGACAACCTGGTGCCCAAAAGGAAGCGTGGGCGCCCAAGCTTGGCTAGCACAACAGGCAAGGTTCCCGGCAGCGACATCCTTCCAACACTCCATGCTCGAACCGAAGCTCGAGCTCATAATCCTGACGACACGCCGGACCAGCCCAAACGTAGAGGGCGGCCGCCCAAATACGGGTCCGATCCCGAACTGCTGCATTACATTGAAGAGGCCAACAGAATTATCGCCATTGCTCGCAACGAGCCCGAGCGTTTGACCAAGAAGCCCAAGCTCGATGATGTAGTTGATGTCAAGCTCCGGAAGGTCTTGCCAGATCATCTGCGTACCATTCTTCTGCGAGCCAAAGATACGATGAATCAGCGCGAAAGGAGACACCGGCGAGCTCTAGCCGAAGCCGAAGCCCAGGGCATTGCCGCCAACAACAGCCCTCAGGACGCGTCAAGGCAGCAGGGCAACGATCCCATCCACACCGTAGTCAAGCTTGAGAAGCGGCAGAAGGATAAGCGTCGGCTGGCTGCTCTCGACGATGAGAGGATGGAGACAGGAAGCGGATCCAGCTTGATCGAGCGCGCGAGAGGAAAAGTGTCCGAATGGATCAAGTCCATCAGCAGCGAAGCAGAGCTCAGTGTGGACGCCGACGAACTATCCGCGAGCGGGGCCAAGTGGTTCGACGAGGAGGACGATGACGACGACGAAGCGACGTCAAAGCCTACTACGGTGTCACGCCAAGGCCACAGACTGAACAGAGCGCCCTCCAGCGCGAGCAGCAGCAAGCAACATTTCCGTGCATTGCAACCCTCACGCCCTGACGCAGCGTCACCGCAACCAGCAGCGGAGGGTGATGACCACGCTCAAGCTTCCACCAACACAGAAGTCGATCCTCGTCTCCATCAGTCCAACAACCAAGTCGTTGCCGCCGATGACGAAGAGGACACGTTGGTCCAAGGGTACTTTTCCCGCTTCGGTACCGTCACTGGAGCTGACAAGAGTGCATCTGCACCCAAGACCAGCCCTGAGGCCGTAGGAACGCAGTCCAAGCAGGGCGGTGCTGCGGAAGCTCCAACCTTCGAAGCAGGCGTGGTGGGCGACGAGTATTACTTCTCCAACTGATCTACGGATCACGCACGTACGCACACATTGTATACCCTTCAACATTCCCGTTGTTATTGTCAGATTGCATTCTCGATATGTGTCTCCGTTGAACGCTCAGCATGATTGATACAAGAAAGTGGATCACGTCTCAGAAACGGCGAACCAAGCATCCCTGGCATCGACCGCATAGCTTCGGACAGCGCGGACCTTGTCGTCGATGCCCTTGTTCTCCCTGCCGAGTTGCTTCAGCACGAAATTCCTCAACGGGTGCAGATGGTGATGTTGCAGACCGCCGTCCGATCGTTGAGTGGCGACCGCCACTTCGTCGTCCTCCGGTGCTTTAGCGGCCAGGCTGGTCAGAGTGCGAAGGGCGGCGATGCGCGTCGAAGGTGGTGTGTATGGCGTCGGCTCGATGTTCGACAGCAGCTTGGTGACGATCGAGTTGAGATGCGCCGCGATCAAGGATGTGGGGTCGAACTGCGCGCCGGAAGATGTGGCGGGAGTAGGGATCTTCTTGCCCACCTCGCTTGCCACCGTCAGAGCATTCGCAGCTGCTGAACGAGCCTTGGAATCAGGGAGAGAGAGCGCTTGAATGAGCAGCGGGAAGAGTCCCTCGAGCCGGTCCACCAGCATGGTGGATGGCAGAGAGGGCAAGAGACCGGCAAGCGAGACAAGGTAGATGGTCTTTGCATCTACGTCAGCTTCTTCATGCGGGTGCGAGCACTGCTCGCTATGCACGTGGTTGTGGCGATGTGCAAGTTTGGCGGCGGTCGAGTAGCTCTCGAGCAAGCGAGGGAGCAAGAAAGAGAAGAGCTTCTGCTTCCACAACAATCGCACCGTGAAGCCATTCTCTTTCGTCGTGATGCCGTCCTCGCTTACTCCGACGATCGTGGCAAGGTCACGAGCGGCTGCTCGTGCAAATTTCCAGTCCACGCTGCTCTGCTTTTCGGCTGTTCGCTCGGTTGTCGCGACAAGCTGTGTAGGGTCTTGCTTTCCAACGATGCTGCCAGCAATTTCGTCAAAGATTTCTATGAGCACGCGGTTCAGCATCGCCTCCGAAAGCTTAGACGACTTGATAACGAGAGCTCGAGACAGCCACATCCACATCTGTAGCGCCACGCGTCTTTGGCTTGGAGACGAGGATGCTTCGGAGTAATTCTTGATGTGCGTTCCCCAGAAGGTGTCTAGCAGATCCAGGAAGGCAGGTTGCGTCTCATCGATGAACTTGTTGGTAATGGCAACAGCCATCCAGAACGCACTGTTGAGCTGGAGAGCCTGAGAAGTTTGCGCCGTAGCGTTACCGAGGCCGCTACTCTGAGTGGACGGGCGGGCAGCCGACAGTGTCCAGTCGAGAAGGCACGAAAGAGAAGCCAACGCTGCTTCGTGCTTGGTGGTCGGCCCTGCCGCCGTGCGAGACAGAACAACAACGCCAGCTGCAGGTGCTGCAGCGACAATAGCAGCCGAGAGCAACGCCACAGCATTTCTGCTAGCCACGCTGAATCGACCATCCTGTGTCGATGGCGACACGGCGAAAGGCTCGAACGATTGTGTGAGCGGCGAGCCGGAGGCGATGAGGGGTATGCCTTCGCCGTTTGAGCCGTTGCCGACGAACGTCGATTGATCACGGACGAAAGTCTGATTGAGACTAGCCAAGAACTCGCGTTGATGGCTCGGATCAAGCAGCTTGACGAAAGTACCCAGCAGAGCAGCCAAGTCGGCCACCACAGCCGGATCTGCGGCGATGCTCACTTGTTCGCGTGTTCCGTCCGAGTTGGCACTCAGGCCGGAGAGGGTGAGCCCCACCAAACGAGAGGGCAGGGAATGAGCATACTTGACCAGGTCTCGGTGACCACTTTGTCTCTTGAGGTCGACCATGGTCTGTAGTGTGAGGATCAGGCCACGTGCATACCCGACATTGGCCTCGTGTAAGGACTTGAGCTGTTCTTTGACGGTGGACGAGGGCTTGCCTTCTTCGTTAGTGTCGGTGACACCAACAACGTCAGCGGCACCGCTGCTCGAGGCACTTCGTGCGCTGGGTCGGCAACACAGCTCAAGCTTGGTGAAGAGCTTAACTACTACTGCTTCAAACAGAAGTGGAGCTACGCAGAGGCGGGAGAGCGCACCAAGGCTGCGTCTGATGTTGGCTTTGATGAGGTCAATCTCGGCCTCGGTGTCGTCCATGGCGTTGCCTGTAGTTCGTTCCTCCGGGTCGTCAAAAGGCTCGATTCGGTCCGGTAGCTTTTCGAGCAGCACGGGAAGGACGACCTGCTCAATGACCCTTGCTGTAGGATTAGCCGCTGCCACCGAGGTTGCAGTTCGTTCATTGGAGATGACTTCGATGGCACAGAGCGCCTCTTCACGAACGTCGTCGCCGACCGACGAGGTGAGCAAGGAGGCAACCTCGCGTGTGAGGAAGCTGAGCTCGTCAAAATCGAGCAAAGGCTTGCTCGTCATCGAATCCGATGTGTCAGCGGTCTGCTTGACAGTGGAAGTGGTGGCATCGCTGCTGAGAATGGAGATCGAGACGGCAGACGAGAAGACAAGCATGGCAGATCGGCGATAGGATGTGGATCGCAAACCGTTGGAGAGGCAGCTGAGCAAATCCGAAAGGAACGGGTCCAAAGGCCGGTTGTCACCAGCGTAGCTGCGTTCATTTGCCGTGGCAGGAAGCAAGTGACCAGATCCGATCTCGCTTGCAACGGCTGTGGACTGGCTCTTGACGCTGTCGTCGGCGTGAGCCATCTCGGCGTGGCGATACACTTTGGCCAGCGCCTCGAGAAGCTCACCGATGCCGGCCAAAATGGGTGTTCGTTGGGCGAGGTCTTCAGGGTCGGCAAACATCTTGATCATTTGGTCCATGAAGCCATACACGGCCAGATAGGCTGTACTGGAAGAAGCGCGCACGAGGCAGCCGAGAACCTTGATGGCGGCTTTCGCAAGTGACTTGCCCGGCTCTTCAAGCTCAACCAAGCAATCGTGAACCATGTTCGGAGCGATGCCCTCGGGCGGGTCAACATCGTGGTAGAGCACGTGGAGGAGAACGGTGAGCGTGTCGACGGCGAGATCCCCAGTCTCGTCATCGGTGGCGTGGAAGATTTCGATCTTGAGACCCTCCCAGAGCTTTTTGGCGTTTGCAAGCGCTGCAGCACGGCCGTAGACGGGCATGGCAGCGATAAGAGTGCGCAGCGTGTCGAGCTTGGCGGGACCACCGGCGGCACTAAGCTTCTCGAGCAGAAGAGGGTAGCCGTGAGGAGCCATGGCGGGCGAGGCGCAGATAGCGGCACGCAAGGCCACCTTGAGGTCGTCGGAGGTGATACCGTACGGATCGTCTGGTGGCGGACGGAATGTGATAGGAAAGTAGCAAAAGGTGATGTCGAAGAATTTTTCGGTCATTTCGCGATCCATGAGCCATTCTGTGAGGAGGACCTTGTCGACACCGAAGAGGACCATGAGGTTGCGAGGATCCTTTTCGCCTTGGACCATCTTGACGTATCCTTGCAAAAAGTCTGTGCCTTGGCAAGTCTCGGATCGTGTGACATCTGTAGCTTCATCGTTCGCTGTGTCCTCCTGCATGGGGGTGGATGCAGTTGGTGCCTCATGATTGGTGGCAGCGGATGTAGATGGGGAAGCACGATACGCCTTGAGTGCATCTCTGTGGTGAGCAACAAGGCTGTCGAGCAGTCGGAAGATGATGAAGCGGAGGCTCTGCGGGTGATTGGTGGCGACCACATGAGAAAAGAGGGCATCCGCTACCGAGTGGGCTTGTTCCTGTCCGAAGCCCTTGACCGGAAGCTGATCGGCGGGTGCGGAAGCTGCTGATGTTGAGGTTGGTGCTTTGCATGCGCTGAGGACGGTGAGGGCCCTGAGGGAGCTGACGAGCATGGCACTGCCCTGAAGAGTCTTTTGCTCGGCTTCGTTCTTACGTGCCCTAGGAGCAGTATCTGGAAGCAGTTCCGGAGCGTTTGCAGACCGGACAAAATTGTCCGAGATGATGACACCATCAGCAACCTTGTCTGCAAAGAAGGCGGTCAAGGTGCGTACAGCCTGCACGGTGAATATGCTAGCGAGCGGCTCCTTGAGGTGTTGTGGATGTGCAGTCGGATCGAGAAAGTGACAAGTGATGTCGGAAAGCAGTTGTACGGCTCGCGTCCGTGTCTCTTCTTGTTCGGAGGTGAGGTACTCGCCGAGCAGGCGAACGATGCCGAGAAGCGAGACATGGCCGTTTGCGAGATCATCGATGATGGACGGGGGCAGTTGCTGAAAGGATCCTACGATGAAGGCCCGTATGGCCTGTGCTGAATCCGCCATGGTCTTCGTGGACCGTGCTATCGGACTGGGAAGAGATGATGGCGTCAAGTTGGACGGTGCGAAATCTTGATCTGCACAATCTTTCCTGTCGAAATCTCCACATGACTTCGATAATCTTCTTTTTCGGCTGTCGTTTGTAGGACTCTTGTGGCCTAACAATCCAAAACTATTCGTCGCACCCTCGGCGACTTTCTTCCTGAAAATGGCACCGAAATCGCGACTCGAACACGGTCAATTCTAACAAAGGCACAAAGATGAGCCGCTGCAGCCGCAGCGTATTGTCCAGCCGGATATGCCTCCACCACGGCCAAGGTGCAGTTGGACAGTTGCACAAGCCACCTCACCTCCGTTCCACAGCTGGCCAAGCTTTGCTAAATCTTTGTACAGGAAGCTCGATGCTGCGTTCGACCGACAAGACTCCATCTCTCCAATAAGGGAAAGCGAAAGGTTTGTACAGCTAGAACAGCATGTCGCAGACTCTCCGCGACGCTTCCATGGGTCCCGATCTGGACCCTGGTAGCGTACAAGCCGAAACCATACCGCTCTCTCACCTGCCCCGCATCCGAATCTGCATCTCGAAGCAATCACTTGCGCAAGCCATCGTCCGCGGAGTCGAGCAGCTCGTTCGCCATCATATCCGCCCCGACGTACTTCACCTCCACCAATCGACACAGCCCATCGCTGCCAGCGGCGTACCTCCCACAGCTACCTCCTCGTCAAACTCGGCGTCTTTGGGGCCAGTATGGAACTGGAATCTCGAGTTTGTCGAGGTCACCTCCGACGTCGGCGATGAATTGTACCCTGACTCGAGCCGCTTCACGTGGGTCTGCTCAACCTCGTCGGATACCTTCGCTCCGTTCTCATCAAATGAATCAACATGTTCACAACAGGTCGAGACCCCGTTCGTCATTACCGCAAAGTACCCTTCACGATCGCCACACCTCGCCTTTCGAGCCCTAGGTCACGTACTAGCCGTGGCCAAAGACTGCCTATCGCTGTCCGACAATCTGGACCCCACCCTGACTCTTCACCCACACCTCTTTGTGGGTCCATCAAGCTCCCAGTCCCCACACGGATACTATCTCTCCCCCGCAGCCGCAAACGATAAGCTCAACATCACTCAGACAGCAGATTACGAGACCATAGGCACCATGATTGACTGTTCCCGCAACGGAGTCCTCAACGTCCGCTCCACAAAATACCTTATCCGCACGCTTGCGCTCCTAGGCTACAATATGCTTCAGCTATACACAGAAGACACCTACGAGGTCGACGGCGAACCCTTCTTTGGCTACATGCGTGGAGGCTACTCTCACTCTGAGCTTCGACACATTGACGATTATGCCATCCAGTTTGGTATCGAAGTCATCCCCTGCATTCAGACGTTGGGCCACTTGGGACAAATGCTTCAGTGGCCTCGGTATCTTGGGCTGCGTGACACAGCCGAAGTGCTCCTGCCCGAATGGCCAGAGACATATGTCATGTTGGAAAAGATGATCAGAGCCGCTACCGCTCCTTTCCGCAGCAAACGCATCCATCTGGGCATGGATGAGACCCACGGCCTTGGCCACGGAAGGTACTTCTCCATCTATGGCCACCAGAACAACAAGCCGGGCAGTCAGATCTTTGTCGAGCACCTCGCTAAAGTCAATCGCATTTGCCAGTCGCTCCAGCTTGAGCCCATGATCTGGTCAGACATGCTTTTCTGCCTCTCTGCACGCAATAACTCGCTCGTTGGCTACTACGACTCGGATCAACCTCTAGCCGTCAAGCAGCAGGGCATTCCATCCAATTGCAGCCTCGTCTATTGGGACTACTATCATACCTCGGCCGCTAGCTACCGAAAACGAATCAAGAATCACGAGGACCTGCGCGGTGCCAGTCCCTGGCTCGCCGCCGGCTCGTGGACCTGGTCGCGCTTTTGGACTGCACTGCCCTTCACCTTCCAGACCATCTCTGCCAATCTCAAAGCTGCCAAGAACTCGCCAGGTGTCAAGCACGTCTTCCTCACCATTTGGGGCGACGAAGGCAACGAGGTGGATCTCTGGTCATCGCTTCCTGCTTGGTGCTACTACGCCGATCATGCCTATTCCACCCAGGCGTCCTTGGACGAGACAGTGGAGCCTGGTAATGAAGCGGTGGATGTTCGGCTTCTTAAGAGCAAATTTGACGCCATCGTGGGCGGTGATTGGGACGATTTCGTCCACGCCTCTGCTATCGACCACACAACCAAGGACGGCTTGGACGTGGCTGAAGACGACAAGATCCACTTTGCCCCAAATACGAGCAAATGGATGCTGTGGAGCGACCCTATGCACAGCTTTGCCGAGCCTACGCTTGTTGCTTCGGGCTTCGATGCCGAAGAGCACTACCGAAATGTCGCATCGATGCTCAGTGAGAGGCTGGAGGGTGTAACGTTGCAGGATCCTCTCCAGAATCGCGACCAACTCGTAGTGAAATTCAGCCAGACACAAAGCAGCGGAAAGGCTTCCGGCGGATTGTTTGGAGCAGCTGCCTCGTTGCTCTCAGAGATGACGGGAAGGAGCGGAGCTGCGGCAGTTGGAGGGCCCAAGACGGTGCGCATTCTCTCGGATCATCCCTTCAACGCGCGGTTGGAACTGGCTCGGCTTGTTGCGCAGACACTGTCATTAAAGGCGAACCTGCGACAAAGATTACACCAAGCATATGTCTCGCGCAACTGGCCACAGCTGCAACAGCTCAACCGACGCACAGCTAGGTGCCTGGATGCAGCCACAAAGACGTGGAGATATCATCGAGAAATGTGGATGTCCATGTACAAGCCGCACGGTTGGGAGACGCTCGAACTGCGATATGGCGGTCTAGTATCACGTCTCGACACGCTGTATCGACGCGTTGGAGCTTTCCTGCAACATGTGCTTTCATCCCCCGACGACGAGGCGGACGAGCTAGATGCAGTACAACGGAGCTCCCAACGAGCTGACGTCTTTCTGCCTAGACCGACCAATTTGGATGGCAGAGCGTCAGGGGATAGCTCCAAGCGCTCATCGCTGGACAAGAATGGCAGCGATGAAGAGAATGACAACGACGACAACAGCGACGGCGACGATGAGTCGATGCGCTCGAGAAGTACGCCGAGAAGCACCAAGTGGGGCTGGCAGGAGAAAGTGACGAGTCTGCCAGAGCTCGAAAAGCCGCTGCATCTGGTCTACGGCAGCGCAGAACAATTGCTCGATTATCACCGTGTGTCTCGACCCACTTACTGTTGAAACACCGGAAAGCATATCACAGTACGCACGTGTGTACACTGGAATTGTCTCGTATTGAAATCTGCATTTTTCATTCGTTTCCTGATCGAGGCATCTGGACGACCGGTCGATATACATAGGAGGAAGCAAGCGCTGAGAGGGCAGCAAATGGTTTAGGCAATGAAGGGGAACATTGCTTTCCGCTTAGGGTACTCCTTGCCGAACTCCTTCTTATAGTTCTTGTGCTTCTTGACGGCCCAGGCAAACATCTGAGCCGTGCTCACGGCGGCGAAGAGCGCACTGGCAGGGTTGAGCGTCAGCACAGTGAATGCGGCCCAAGAGACAAACTCGAAAAAGTAGTTGGGGCATGAAACCAGCTCGAAAGCAAATCCCCTTGGGATCTTCCTCACTTTGGACCCGGCAGGGCGGAGGTTCTTCAAGATGATGTGAGTGTACGCGTTGCACAGCTCGGCGATGACCATGACAGCAGCGGTGCCGTATACGAACGCCGGCTTGTCTTGGACGGTGCCCGCTACAGAGGCGGCCGAGAACCAAGGAGAGTAGACGAAGGGAGCCAGGAGGAAGCCGGAGAGGAACCAGTAGTGGGTCGAATTTTTGAAGATGTTGAACAGCGGCATGGTTCCGTTGCTGAATCGGTGCACAAAGAGCGTTTCGAGCTCGCGCTTGACGTAGTGTGCAACAGCCAGGGTGACAGCCACGGTCTGCATGTTGGAGTGAACGAACTCGCGATGCCAGATTTTGGGACCAAAGTAGTAGAAGAGCGGGTGGATAAAGATGGGCCCGGCGTATTCGGTGAGGAAGACGGTCTTCCATCCGATCTGAGGACCAAGATCTTTAACGTAAAGAGTCTCACCCGCCGAGACTCCTAGATCGGCAAGCGATTTGTCGTCATCGAGCAGAGGTTTCTTGTCGTCGGTGGTGATACGCTGACGCTCGGTGGTGAGCTTGCGCGAGGCTGAGGCGATCTGCTTCTTGACTTCACCTAGCGTGGCCTTCTGCGACGAGAGAGACACGGTGAGAGGAAAGCCCTTGGATGCAGGCTTTCCAGGTGCAATGCGCTTCTGAATAGTGATCGTGAAAGCCATCTCGTCGGATTGTATGATCGTAATGGTAGGTGTTCAGGAGTCAAAGGTCAGAAGGCAAGGGAGGACAAGCGAAGAACGCAGATAAACATCATTCGCCGTTGGTCCGACCGCCCTAGAAAATCGAGTCGCACAGAGGCGTTACGCGTGCGCATCGCGGCTTGGCGGCGGCGAACGGATTAAGCGCCGTCTTCCGAGATTGCTTTCGGAATTTTTGGTTTCGAGAAGAAAAGGCGAGGTTGAAATGCTCAAGGGTCCACGAGAGCCAGCTTGATGAGGAAGCAATGCAACCACCATAACGCTTCTAGACTCTCGGCGGCATCATGACGATCGACTCAGCAAGGCAAACCACGTCAGAGGTCGAGGCCGCTTTCCTGCGTTGGTTCCGCCAGTCGGGCGGTGCCTTGGACCCTCGGTGCTGCATCCAGCCCATCCAAGGCATGGGAAGGGGCATGGTCGCCAAAGAATCCATCAAAGCAGGAGAGACTATCTTTGTGATTCCTCGACATATCCTGCTCAATTTGGCAACCTCGACACTAGCACAAAGATGCATTGAGGCTGAGGGCTCACTGCCTTCCACGTCTCGTGCCGGCAGCTCTTATGCATACTCGTGGAAGCAGATCAGCACCATGGGATGGCTACCGCTCATTCTCGTCATGATGTACGAGCGCAGAAGAGCCGCCAGACTGTCTCAATCCGCAGACAATGCGCCACAAGATGGAGATGTGTCAATGGAAAACATCGAAGCAGCCTCGTCGACTGGCGTTGAAATGCTCGAAGGCACGGACGCGGAAGGCTCGACGTATCGCGAAGCACCTCGACCGTTTGGAGAGCAGACATGGGGACCGTACCTCGACATTATGCCTACGGAATTCAGCACACCGATGTTCTGGCTGGACAATGATCTGCAGCATCTGTCGGGCACTTCCATCGCAGACAAGATCGCAAGAGACGAAGCAGAGGCAGATTATCACAACAAGGCGGTTCCTTTCATTCTCTCACTTCCTTCCGTGTTCCTGGACGGGGCGGCGGAGGATCAGCGTCAAGAAGAGCTGCAGCAATGGTACTCGCTCGACACATATCACATTATGGGCTCGAGAATCTTGAGTCGCAGTTTCCATGTCAAGAGCCGCAAGAAGGGTCTAGAGGGAAAGACGGTCGACATGGACGATCTCGATGGAGAGGACGAGGATGAGGACGAGGACGAGGAAGCAGAAGTGCTGGAAGACGAAGGAGAGGCAGGCATTATTGAGGCGGATGAAACGAACGAAGCAGGCGAAAGTGATCAGGGAGAAGATGATGACGACGAAGATGGTGACGACGACGACGATGATGATGATGATGATAGTGAAGAAGAAGAGCAGGAGAACGTGATCGACATCTCCATGACTCCTATGGCCGATATGCTCAACGCCCGCTTCGAATCGGACAACGCTCGTCTGTTCTACAAATCACACGTGCTCGAAATGCGTGCCACCAAGGCTATTACGGCAGGCGAACAAATCTTCAACACGTACGCTGATCCGCCGAACAGTGACCTCCTCCGCCGATACGGCCATGTCGACGAACCGAATGGCAGCGACGTCGTCGAACTAGACGCCAACTTTGTCCTCCAAGCTGCGGTGACACACCTATCCGCGCTGCTAGCTTCGAGCGCAGGAGAACTACGCAAGGATCTGGAAGAGCGTCTCGAATGGGCCTGCTCCTCGCTAGGCATCGATGAAGTCTTCATCCTCAACTACCTCTTCACTCCGGCCAAAAAGGCACCTCATCGTGCACAGCCGGAACGTCCGTCGCCGAAAGAACTCAAGTCTGCGGCCACTGGCGGTGGCGTCTCGGAAGAGATGATTGCTCTCACTCGCGTGCTTTGCCAGACTCGCGAGGCGTTCGAAAAGGCTAAAGCGAAGGGGAAGGGACCGAGCGCGCGCATCGAAGCGCAAGAGGAGCATGTCCTGGCAGGCAGCGGCAAGAAGGTGCGTGTCGCCGCAAGCCAGATCATGATGGAAGCGATCGACTTGAAACTCAACGAGTATCCGAACGGAGCGAGCGTGGAGCAGGAGGAGGCCAACTTGTATGGCTCAAGCAAGAGTGAAGTGGTTGGAGACAACGCAAGACGTGCGCTGGTAGTGCGACTCGGCGAAAAGAGGGTGCTGCTGGATCAGAAGCGCGTGCTCAGGTATGTAGTTGACAGGATTCACGAAGCGGAAAAGGAGGCAGCCAAGAGCAAGGGCAGCAAGCAAGAGGGAGGCAAGAGGAAAGGAGACGGCACTGGTGCCAAGAGCGGCAAATCGAATGGCAACGACGACAAAAAGAAGCAGCGCCGTTGAACCTGGCACATTGCAACCTTGTCGTTGTCCACCATCGGACGAGCTCATCGAGCAGATGGATCGGACCGTATATGAGCAATGTATCGCCGATTGCTGCTGTGCGGCGCGAGACAGCTGCGGGAGCTGCCGCAACCTCGCTTAGATTTTCGGCTGTTGGAATTTAGGCTCTTCACGGAGATTAGTATTCGAGGCGCGCGCGAGTCCTGTGCTGCATTGCACCGTCACTTGCGCACACCTAGACCGATGTCAGGGTCTAGCGTTGAGCCAAGGCCTGCGTACGACTCACTTTAGCCAAAGAGAAGATTGAAGAAGCTGGGAGCCCGTAGATGCCTTTTTTATTCGCTGTAAGATGATATGATGATGGAGGGGCAACAATGTCAACGTCTAGTCGAAGAATGACGAGGTGGAAGCCTGCCGCTGCATGAATCCGAGGCAGGGGACAGCGGCGCTGCTCCCCGCAATCGCTTGCACGACGTACAGGTATGTTCGCCGCGCCTAGATGGAGTCGAAACCGACGGTGTTCTTCGCTAGCACCTGATTCTGTATGTGGATTACCCGCGATCGATTTTCCATCCCCGACGAGGCGAGGCGAGGCGAGGCGAGGCGAGGCGAGATGCAGTTTCGGCTCGCATTCGCCGTTCCGAGCAAGTCTTGTCGACTTCTCCTGCACTCGTCCAAGAAAACAAAGCCTCGTCTGTCGCCTGAGACGTTCGTCTGTTGAAGAATTCGTGAAGAATGCTTTCCATGTCGACCGACGGAGAGGCCGCGCCTTGTTCAAAAAGCTTGTTGGTGAGATTGCATTCCCCGTCGTTCTCCTCACGTCCGATGTCGGAGCCCAACCACATGTGTCCCCGTGCAGGGCAATGCAGGGCAACGCAGGGCGAATACCGGTTTCCAAGTACAATAGTCAAAACAGTGTTCGCCGTTTCGTCAACGATCTAGACAAAGCGGCAAAGGTCACACGGTCAAGTCCGTGCCCGCACGAGCAGCCCCTCGGACGCCTCGAACGGAGTGTCTTGGCCTGTTCCCTTTCCGACCTTTTTTAGAGCTTTGGAACGATTCTCCCGAGCGCACTGTGCCGCAATGCTCCCACGCACAGACTTGTTGCAGAACAGCATGTGGGTTGAAGTGTTTGCATCAATACACGGCCTCAGGTACAGTATGCCCTGCCGCTTCACCCCGCAGAACAGAGCACGGTCAGGGTGGCGCTTCCCGTCAATCTTCCCTTCAGTCACAGAGCGGCGTTGGTCTGCATTCCCGAGCAGCACTCGTGCTCGCGAGACTGGTAACAACCTCTGTGTCAACTAGTCGCTGGCTCTAAGCCACTGCAAGCAGCTCCATTTGCCGTGCATGCTGCGCACGTCGACGACCACCACATTGCATTGTTGTCCCAAGGCGTGGACAGCTTTGCCCCTCGTGTACACGCCCTTCCTCCCCTTACCCCGCATTTTCAAAAAGGTATAAAGCAAAGCAGCCATCGGCCAATTTCGTGACCGGGTCCCTTTTCTCGCCCTCCCTGCTTTTCAATCCGCCCGTCCCACCTTCAAAGGCCCCCTATCGGTGGCCTGTATCACCACGCCGGTCAACACAACATCAAAACTGGGACCATTGTCCTGTCAGCGTTCGAATCTTGAGCCTTGCCAATCATCATCGATTCTACGAGATCATCTGTTCCCCATCGTCCATATCTCATACGCGTTTCCGACCTTGCTCTATCTCGTTCATCTCGCTTCAAAGTCCAGCCGAGCCACTTTGCGAAGGGTTCCGGCTGCGTAGCTCGGATCGCTTTTCCTCTCGAGCTCGACTTCCTTCATCCCGCAACCTCTTCACCTTTGCAAAGTATCGCGTACCTATCAACCTGTTCCAGCTGTTTCGATCATCGGGATGACGCCTCAGCTAAGCGACCTAGTCGATCAGCCCATCGCTGCCACAGCGCCTGCTGCCATGACCGCTGCAAAGCAGGCCGACTCTGCCGCTTCGGAACAGACACGCTCCCGCAAAAAGATGTACAAGAATTGTGATCGTTGCCGTCAGGCAAAACGTGCCTGCTCTGCCCAATATGTTAGCATCGCCGAGGCGCTCGCTAGCAAGGTTGCATGCACCAACTGCAAGAAAAAGGGTCAAGTCTGCACCTTCAACAGCCTCATCAACTCCTTCGGCGGCATTCCCTTGGGTGGCCTCACCGGCGCTGCGTTTGCCGAGAGCTTGCAAGAGGCTGCACATGCTGCAGTCCAGCCTGCATCATCAGCTTCCGACGCTCAGACGACGCAGGACGAGCTCATGTCGCACGCAGAACTGAGCACCGCTGCGGCCAAAAGACCAAGAGACAGCCTTCGCGACGGCGGTCTGGCCGATCAGCCATCCAAGTCGCGCTCGTCGGCGATCAGCAATGTCAACGCTGCTTTCGAGGTTCTCAATGGCGACTTTGCAGATGCGCACAGTCGTGACGATGACGACTATTCAAGAGAGAGGGTTGCCAAGCGAAGAAAACCTTCCCCTACGCAGCACAGCGATCCAACGTTCCAATCCGGCCTCGAACAACCGGCCAGCAGTGCACTCGTCATGAGCCGTGCACAGTCACCCTTCGCATTTGACGACGATGACGACCTGTTTGCAGCCTCTACACAGTCCAATGCGTCGCTCTTTGATATCCTCGGCTTCGACATCTGGGGCTCAGCACCTAGCGTTCGACTCGCACACAACGCAGATCGCATGCACCTCAACTCAGACCTGCTCAGTGTCTATGAGGGCGCTGCCGAGTCGGCCTTCCGCGTCTGGGTCACAGACGCAACCACGCCATATTTGCTCTGCGCCGACTCGATGAGTTCCTCCTCGGCAGCTATGGCGCTCAACAAAAAGGTCTGCTTGTTGGACCATGCCTCGAGACGCATCTTCAAGACCGACAACGCTGCACGCAATGTCGAAAAGCGCGTTTCGGACGCCTACAACGCCGTCCTGCTCGCGTATGCTGCCCAGTGGCCTCGTCATCGCTCCAGTCACAGCAGCAACGCGCAATCCGACTGGAAACCGGACGAGGCACGCATCCGCCTCTCGCTTTGGAAGCAGGCCAGGGATAAGCTCATGGACGCAGCCGACGCCTGGTCCTTCCGCATCGTCTTTGCGCTTATCCTCTTCGCTTGGACCGAGAAGCCGCGCGAAATGCCAGACAGCGAGGCTTGGGACAAGGGAGAGCACGAAATGCCCTCGCAGCTGCACATCCCTTCGCTCGACGAGAACAGCGCGCTCGACTCTACCTCGTGGCAGATTCCAGCAGAGGCGAGCACCATGATGCTTGCAACCGCGATGCGCAAGCTCAAGGCGTTCCGACTCAAGATCCAGCAACTCCGGCGCAAGGGCGTGGATCTGTGGTCGTGCGATGAGCCTGGTCTCGAGCCTAATCAGATAGCCCATCGACAGGCAGAGGCGACACTGCTGGAGAACACATACCACAATCTCTACTGGTTCGGCTGTATGATGGACACCGAGCTCTCCGTATTGCGCAAATATGATGCCGTGATTGGCGACGAAGATGCCGACCTGACCGACCAGCTCTTGTCACCACATCGCGCCAATAGCCTGCGTCACCAGACGGAAAGCATGTCCATTTCCAGCGGTGTGACCGCCACCAAGCCTCTTCGCAAGATCTGGGACGAGGTAATTCCAGCAAACAGCCAAAAGAACCGCAACACCTTTGCCAAAAGCTGGCCATGCAGCGAGGAAGACGCCAAGCGCACGCTCGCCTACGCCACACCCATCAAAGTGCTGCTCTTCCGACACGTCGGGCGTTTGCAGTCGAGCTACTGGCGTCAGGCTCCGAGCGAGCTGATCGAGCGTCAAATCTCCCACGTCCTTTCGGTGGTGCGACACTGGTACGAGGTGTTTGCGCCCTTTTTTGCGAGCTGCATCGCGCACCACGCGGACCTGCCTCCATCGATTCAATCGTGGCACGTCATAACCGCGACCAAATGGAACCTCGCGGCCATCCTGCTCGTTGAACTCGTGCAGACCATGGACCGATCCACTTCGGACCCGTTCAACAGCACAGACGAGATCTTTGCCGAGCTTCGCTCCAAAGTGTGCAACCAGACCGCCGCCCTCATCCACGCCATCCAACATTCAAGTCTTTCTGCGAAGACGCGAACGGCTCAAGCCGAACCGTCCTTCGACTTTATCGAGTCGACCGGAAGCACTATTCTACACAGCGATCCCTGGCCCGAGATCTCCATTCACGGATTTGCATGCGTTGCCAAATCCGAGATCAAGAATTTTGCCAGGCTGGTCGAACAGGGCAAATGGGACGAGATCAGGTGTGCCGAGCATCGGATCGAAAAGTGCATCTGGGCGCTGGAGCAGCTGAGCAACCGTAGCAGCATGGCCGTTGACGCTAGTGTCGAGGTCAGGAAGCTGCTTGAATTGCATTCTCCCTTGAGAAAGCAGGAGCAGGAGCAAAAGCAGCGTGAAGAAGAGACCCAAGCCGGCATGGCCATGATGACCGACGACGTCTGGCAGTCGTGCCTCAAGATCTTGAACGAAGGCGGTGCGAGCAACGACGCACCCTCAGCCTCGCTCGACACGCCCGAGCTGGTCAATGGGTACGACCATGCCGACTGGTCAAATCTGACTCTGTCATCTTCAACCCAGCCTATGCTGTCACACACCGATCGCATGGGCGACGAGCTTTTTCTTGACCCACTAGCCACCGCGACCGCCGAGACGCTTACCGACGGTACCTCTTCACGTGCCTCCTCGAATCACTCGCTCTCTCCTCCGCTCACCAGCGCCACAATGGCTTCGCTGGACTACCCAAGCTCCCTATCGATCTCTCCTGGGACCTCCGCCAGGAGCACGACAACCTCGACGCTGCCGCAGCCCCAGGCGCCGACAGGTCCTTTCAAACAAGGTCATGCTAGCGATTTCGACGATCTTGCCTTTGGCTCTATCGGACCAGGCTTCGCCATGGGCTCCGGCGGCGTGATGGATTCTACCTTCGACTCATACCAACTTCGCGTCTGAAATCTAATGACTCAATCCCGACTGGCCCGCATTCTTTCCAACTTCCGAGTATCCTTGTTCCACTATCTACTTGCTCTCCGTATGTCCTCGTCTTTTCACGTTTTGCAATGTTACAGCATGATCGATCTCGTCTTGTCATCACACTGTTCTCCGTTTGTGGCGTGGCGTGAGCCCTTAATGTGGTAGTTGCAGTCGGGTTGGCGAAATTTCGTTGCCCCTTTTTTTCCATTGATTAATGTCGCCATATATATTTTCCCGCTTTGCAAATTTGCGTTCCTGGAGCGAACGCAGTGGCATAACTCGCCGTCGCCTCATTACAACAGCAATCGTCAGAGGCAACCCGCCAACACCCCCTGTCTTGCCCCACACCTCGGTGTGCGAGAAGTTTGGTAGAAGAAATCGGGGCAGCAGCGTGCTGCTCTCGTTTGTTCGGAGAGTAAAGTTTAAAACTCGTTCGAGTCACTAAAGGTCAGGCTGGGCTTCGAATCCGCAGGACCGAGAACATCTTTTCCTTCGTCATTGATCACTGGATCAGCAAGACCGCGGCAAGCTGACAGTATTTTGCAGCTTCAGACACACAAGAAGACAGGAGAGCAGGCAAAGAGAGGTCGGAGAGGTTCCATTACAAACTTGACTGGGGCCGTTGCAGCTAAGAGAAGACTTATCACGACACGGAGCGTCGTGTCCGATTGTCGGGTTCATCGTAGCGATAGAGGGTGTAAAAAGCAAAAGACATAGTGTGAAAAGAGGGCCAGCGAGCGGGCGCAAGCTGAGAGAAGAACGAACGAGTGAATGTGAGATAGAGCAGGGGCTGCAGCTAACTAATGATCAGTATCCCGCCTTAGAAGCCGGTGTTGACACCTGAGCAGGTCTTCTTGCCAATAGCGAACCTCCTGGCGTAGGGCTTGAGATCAGGCTCGCAGTTCTGCTTGGGACCAGCAACGACGTTGGCGCCGGCGACGAGCAAGAGCCCGCTAGCCTCAGCTTTCTGCTGGGGAGTGAGGGGGTCGGCGGGGAGCGGGTTGCAGTCGGTGATGCTATAGTCGCTGCTCTGAGCTTCACCGGTACCCGAAGCAAGAGCCGACTTGCCAACAATGTACGAGAACTGCGACGTGAGACTTCCGGCGTGATCGATAAGGAAGGCGGGTCCGCAGACCGTTTGAGCCTGGATGTTCTTAGCGTTAAAGAGGTAGCTCGAGTCGAGGGGCGAGTTGGAGACCTGCGGCTGAACGATATCGTCAAAGACACTGTAGAGGTTGGTGGTCGGGACAATCTTGGTCAGACCGCCAGCGTTCTGGAGAGCGGTGAGGTAAGCGGATTGCGCCTGCTGCTGCCAGACAGATTGACTAGCCAGACCCGGCACGGTGAGGAAGACAGCCTCCACAGTGCCCTTGTAGTCAGGAGCGAAGGCCATGAAACGATCGACCTTGCTTCGAATGCTTGGGAAGAACGTCAGTGCCCACTGAGTAGCCAAGCCACCCTGAGACCAAGTGAGGACGGGTACCTTCTTGAATCCCGAGCCAGCGTAGAGCGTGTTGACGGCGTTGACAATGTACTCGGCGTTGACCTGCGAGTCGTTGAGCATGAAAGGAGGGGGCGAGATCCAGCATGGCGAGTAGCCGAGCTGACTGGAGAGCGGGATCCAGTTTGAGTCGAAGGATTGACGACCGGTAACACCGGTACCGGGAACAAGCAGGATTGGGTTGCTCTGCGAAGAGGGAGAGCCGTTCTGGCATTCGAGTACGGAAGCGAGCTGAGACTGTGGGACGGAGAAGGCCGGGTCCGGGCCAATGGGAAGTCGCTTGACCAGAGGGGTAGCGCTGGCGGCGCATACGAGTGCGGCGAGCGCGGTGACGGTCGAGGTGAACTTCATAGTGGTGTGGCCTTGCGACTGAGCGGTAGGTCTGGTGGGTTTAGGGGACGGATTGGAGGAGGAGGAGAAGGCGAGTGACTTGGAAGAGTGGACGTGTTGACGATGGGGGTATCCTCCTTCGTTTATATAGCCGTCAAGGATGTCCGAAATCAAAGATGTCCAAGATTCACCAGGAACCAAGAACTTGTACCTGCACGGTAGCGGGCGCTGCAGCGTCCTTCCTCTATCGACTTTGAACCCGCAAAGTCAGTTGCGCGAAGCAGTCTACCGAGTGTTCTTGTCGATCTCGGTGCGAAGATCTAAGGATGCATTCATGCATGAAAGAAGCACATAGTGCATCGTGAATGGCCTGAGGACATTGCCGTCTACCCCGCAATTATCGGATGCCAAGGGTAAGACCAAGCGGGGAATCATCGTGCTTTTGATTGCATTTTTTAGTCTGGGAACAGCGGACCGAATCGATTCTGGTCACCGGATCACAGAGTTGAGGCTGCTCAGCTAGGGACCTCCTTTGCTTGCTTTTCGACGAAGAATCATGTTCCAGACTCCGACACTAAGCGAATAAGAATTTGGGCGTAAGCTGCCGAAGTAACCTTAGCGTGAGCAGTACAAAACGTGCAGAGAAGGCGATCAGCATCCTCACCGTAGGGGTCCTCGTCGTCTTCGGATGCTGTCGCAGTCTTTGGTCCGTGCTTCACCGTGACTCGGCTGCACTCGGGCTCCGTCGCTAGCGAGTTTCACAACCTGGAATCTTGCCATCGCAGATCAAGGTGATTGTGAGCAGTCAAGGGATGTCAGCTGATTCGAAGGTATTCTTCGACAATACGGTCACGTTCTGGCGGACGTTGGGAGCCGCGCATCGGCGCTTCGATGGACTTTTTTGGTGCCTGCGAGCGGGCTATTATGCGAACCCATTAGCTGGATCGAAGATGCATGCTTGTTCTGCAGGCGTGAGCACTGCGATCGCAATGGTGGGCATATATCAAATTTAGGCCAAAAACAACGTCCGCCATTGCCCCGCGTTATGAAGCTGTATGCAAAACTCGGGTTCTATTCGACCCTAAGCCGCACTTCAATTCGCAGGCTTCATCAAATGTCAAACAGACCACGCTTCTCGGCATCCTGCTCATCTTTCGTCCCCAAGTCGATGCTGTTTGACGGGCGATGTTACCAAACTACATCTAAGTACAAGCAGTGGACGGAACAGTCGAAGCTTATGACTGCTGCTCCTGAGGCTGCTCCTGATTCTTTTGACGGCGGTACACGGTACCTTTCTCGGCCTTCTCGTCCTGGTCGGTACGTCGACCACCGTTCTTCTTCCTGTCGTCGCTGAGGGACTGTGCAAACTTGCTCCTCTCGCGAATTTGAGGACCCTTCCAGTAGAAGATGTAAGCCGGGATGGCGACAAGAATCGCCAAGAACGCGAGCAAAGTCGAAGCCCACTCGAGACCAAGTCGGTTATACAGCGGCGTAGCGTACATCGCAGAGATACCGGCCAGAAAATCTCTTGCCAGAGCGTTTCCTCCCGTCGCCGAAGCAGAATACGGGCCATAGGCTGCAATCATATAGTCGATCGTTGTCATGTATATAGCGTAATTCGCAACGGCGATCATGCACGAGAAGATCATTGGAGCGATCCAATGGACTCGAGGAGGGCCGAGAGAGGTCCAGGCGAAACCGAAGAGACCGAGAGCTTCGAGAGGCGCAAGCCAAAGAAGCAGGTACAAACGCGCTTCGGGCTTAAGCGCGTCAGGGTCCTTAATTCGCCTTTTTCGTTCCCAAATGAAACGTGGAATGAAGATGAGAAAGGCCAAGAGGTATCCTAGGTTGATAGGGATGAATGCTAGGCCGATTTGCACGGTACTGAAGCCCCACTGCTTGTACACCAGCTGGAAAGACTCCAAGAAGATGAAAATAAGCATGTCCGAGAAACCGGAGAGAAGGGAGAGGAACAGTACGATGGGCTCTCGCAGGAACATCTCGAAGGGACGCAGCCAGTAGGCGCCGATCTCTTTGATGCTAAATCGATCGGTTCGGACCTCGTTAGGGCCATAGATGTTGTGCTCACCGTTCTTGCGGCGACGCTTCGCTTCGCGGTCGAGAAGGATCGTGGATCTGGTTTCGGGGACGACGAAGAAGTGAACGAGCTGGACAGCGCCTCCGAAGATGAGCTGCACCCAGAAGTTCCACTTGAGCGGGAGGTAGGCTTGAATGAAACCGCCAATGAAAGGACCAACCGAAGTACCACCTACAGAGGAGAGCACGACGAAACCGACGGCAAACTGTTGCTCATCCGGTTCGAACAAGTCGGCAACCATTCCCAGAGTCACGGAACCACCGGCGGTGAAAAGACCACCGAGGAAACGAGCGACGATCAAGGAGCCGTAGTTGGGAGCCAGCGCTGCGAGCACTTGCCAGATGTTGACGAGGAGGAGCGAAACCTGAAGTACTGGCCATCGACCAATCTCCTCGGACCAAGGTGCCCAGAACTCGCATCCGAAAGCGTAGGCAACGAGGAAGATCATTTGACCCACTCGTGCGGCCTGCTCACTGACGTGGTACTTCTCGGCTACACCCATGACGGCGTTGGGGTAGACAGAGGTGTTGAAGTTCATCGATACTTGGACCGCAAAGATGACGCTGAGAATGGCCCACTTCTTCCAGGTCGGGTACGAATAGCCGGTTGCGAGGTAGCCTGCTCGCTCGGTGAGGACGATCTTGCCGTCCTCCTCTCGTGGCTCGAGATCGTGTTCGCCTTCGCGTTGCTTCTCTTCGTTGGTCTTTTGCAGATCATTCTTCTCGCGAATCGCTTCAATGTCAGCGGGCTCGCTCTCCTCTTGTGTGGACGAGGTGGCATCCTTATCGACTTTCTCGTTCCTTGCCGGTGTGTGGGCAGCCGTCTCTTCGTCCGAGGAGCTGGTGCGAGAGAACGCCCCTGCGCTGGCGTGAGCTGTGTCCGCCATGTTGTGCTGAGGCTGTTGTAGGATGGACTAAGATGATGGTAGGGAAGGAGGGAGCCTGACTGGGACGGGCTCAGAGTTCAATCGCATGCAAGGCAGCCTTTAACAAGGGTTTTACCTGTACTCGTGTACAGCTGCGTGACCTCTGGTAAAGAAGCCGGGCAGGCCAGGGTCCTGTAATCTGGATCGGTCGAGAGTGGGAACGCAGCAGGCGACGACATCATCCTCTGACCGGTGCAGAGGACTCAAATTGATAGGCTAAGCGATTTCGCGCCAACACGGTACAGAGGGTACAGGGGATTGCTGTAGCAAGCTGTACCAATCGAAGCTATGCCGATCCTCCGGAAACGTAGGGCGGGCGGAAAATGACGTCTAAGAAGCGTGCGCGCATGCATCGATCGAGGAACTCTCTTCGGAGACTAAAGATGTGCTCTTTGTTTTTTTTTACGCCGGTAAGCTGCCCTCGTTCTGGTTTGCTTGGCACGCATGGCCAAACGGCGATTGCACCTCTAAGAGGGATCGAGGGCGCGTTGCGGCCTTGGAAAAAATTCTTTTCACGACAGTCTGTCCGATCCCGACGGCGTAGAGTCATGCTCGAGTATGTGCCCGAACTTCCTCGCACCAGATCGGCGGCTGGCGACTACACGGCGGGTGCTACGTGACGTGCCGCTTGCCGCTCTGACCGCGGCCGACCGCACAAAGTGACCCTTGGTCTCTCTGACCACTCCATGATCGATCCGCACGCATAGCGCCAATCTGATGGTGAGGTGGTCCACTTCGAGACTCGTGTCTTTGGGTCGTCCTGAGGCAGCCGCATGCGCGAGATGCGGGGAATGGGCTTATACAAACAGTGGCTTGCACATCGCCTAATCTCTGGTTTGCTGGGGTTCGATCAATACATCCATTTCACAGCACTGCTCGCAATGTCGACGCTGTTGCTCGGCTGCGAACCAGACTTCCGGATCGCGGGTCGACTTCGAAAGCCTCTCTATCCTAAGTTCGTTGGGCACAAGGTGGGTGACGTAGAACGCGATCTGCACAAAGGAAACACCGCAGCCGATGCCGGGTGAAATTCAATAAGCTGACATGTGTCATTGCATCATCGCTGTTCCATCTTCGCGTCTTGCCGGTCAACGACAGGGTCCGCAGTAGGCCCTTTTTCCGACCTGACGCGACCGGACACATTTCGAAAATATCCCGCACTCCGCTATCACCTTAGGCGAGATCGAGGCTCACTCATCATTCCCGCAGCTTCCCCGGTACAGGAACCGACACCAATCGCCGTGATGGATGCAGTTGTTGGCATAGAACATATACGCCACAACGTGGTTACGCTCGTTCACCAGCATGCGAGTGCGGGGACCTTGCTCACAGGCGATGTTTTAAGCACGCCTCGCCTTGGCATGCGAAGGGAGGGTATTTCGGCTGCTGACTGGATGTCCCCCCCCCTGCAACACTTTCGATTGTATTGCCGAAAGCCTTGCTTTGATGTGTACATTTGTCAGGATTCGAGAACGAGGTTGCGCAGACGAGCGTCGACCGCTTCGCTCCACATGCCCGCCTCTAAACGGCAGGCGGCGTTCCACGTCGTCTGCAGCTTGCGCAGCCTCTGCGGTGAGGGTGGATCCTTGGCAGCTTTGGCCTCGACCAAGCGCATCGCTCGCTGGACTGTCGATTGAAACTCTGAGCCTGCGTATGCTTCGATCCAAGCTGCATAGTCTGGGTCGAGATCCTCTTTGCGATTCTGTGCACACCAGAGTCCGACCTGCGCGTATCCGACCATACACGGACTGACTGCAACCAGCAAGTCAAGGCCGTCGCTGGATCGTGCCGTGTCGAGTACAAAGCGCGTGTATGCCAGCGTCGCCGCACTTTCCATGGTCTCGTGTTCGAGTACCGTCGCCGATATGCCTAAGCTCTGCTGGCAGATGCGCAGATGCAGCTCGGCTTCTTGCGCCATGGCCTGGGCCATTTGTGCAAGCGTCGAGACCTCTTCGAAGGAATTTTCGGGCGATGCGGCCGCCTGCGCCCATATGCGAGCGTAGTGACGAAGGAAGAGGTAGTCCTGCTTCATGAACCACTCGAAGGACTCCTTGCGCAGACTGCCATCGGCAAGGCCTAGAACGAAGGGATGTTGCACAAAGGCTTTCCAGACATCGATCGAATTTGAGATCAAGCTTCGGTTGAGCGCGAATGCTGTAGACGAGCTAGTGAGATCTGACGACGTTGATGCTGTGAGGAGTCCCCGCGGCTGGAAGGGATACGAGTGGTCAAGCGGACCAGGCCCTTTGCCAAGGTCTTGGATACCGTTGGCGATCGCGTGCTGCACATAGTCGATAGCAATCGCTGTGGACCGCAAGAGCGAATGACCTTGCGCTAGCGATGCTGCTATTGCCGAAGAGAGCGTGCAACCGGTTCCGTGTGTAGCGTTGGAGTCAATGAGAGGCTTGACAAAGAGCACATAAGAGCCTTTGTCGTCGGATGTTTGCTGGTACAGCACATCGCATACCACCTTGTCCTGATTCGGCGTACCTGCAGGCCCGTCCAGGACCTGACTGAAGGGAAGTTCATCGGTACGAATAATTGTCACGTTACTTCGTCGTGTTATGGTGGCGCCGTCTACTCCTGCAAGCCTCGTAAGATCGTCGTATAGATTTGTATCGCCGGGCATGCTACCACGCGGGGGAAAGCGTTGCGTAGAGGCTGTTGCTCTTGGATGAGAAGGCAGTGGGTTGATCTGCTGTACCTCTTGTGACCCGGAGTCAACGGTTTCAAGCCACTCGGTAATTTGTGATCTGCTGAGTTGTGCGTGTCCTCCTTTGACCAGCACTGCTCGCGGTCCGAGGCTTGCGATGCTTTTTGCAGCGGCCATCATCTGAGGTAGCTCTGTGTTCTCATTCTCTTGCGCTAGCTCTAGCTCGCGTGGTCCTCTCTGATGTGATGTGAATTTGGCAGCGTACTTGAGCAACTGTCGTGCTTCCGGCAAGTTGGGTGTAAGAATGGTACAAAGCGGCAGTAGGTCGCGTATAAGCGTTTCGATAGCACCTTCCGAGAGCAGCAAAGAGCCAGAGGTGGAGACCATGACCGGATCCAAGACGACTGGCACGCCGCTGCCACCGTGAGAAGCTGTCGACTGTTTCCACTCTGCAAGCTTGTCAGCAAGCGCGGCTACGATATCGTGGTTGCAGAGCATGCCGAGCTTTACAGCGTCGATCTCGATGTCAGATACGACCGATTCGAGCTGCTGGATGACGAATTCGGGCGGACACGCATGGATGGCTGACACTCCGGTGGTATTCTGTGCGGTCAAGGCGGTGAGTACCGAAAGCCCATATGTGCCCAGCGAGAGAAATGTCTTGAGGTCGGCCTGGATACCTGCGCCTCCACCCGAGTCGGATCCGGCGATGGTGAGCACCCTCGGCGGCGACATGCTGATGCAAACGTTGATGTAGCGTATGAGATGCAGAACAATGGATGGCTTATGCATGCTCGTTCCTTCTCACTAGGACCCTGACTAACTGCCAAGCTCCGTGCGAGGCAGCCACGATCCAATTCTTCAGTTCTTCTAAATCCGATTGATTTTTGCTTCCGTGTTCCGAGCTTTTGCTAGTTGTTGGTGAATGCAACCGCAAACTTCCCAGCCGAAGCAGAGCCAAGCCAGTTTTTTCTTTGCCTTTTTTTTGGCGAAAGAGGGTCCGATGTGTTTCTCACCGACTTGTTCTGTGTCCTCACAGACATCACCTTCTCGTTCTTGACGTCGCTTGCAACAGTACGGATAGTCAGGCCAGAAACGGTCGGACATCCACCATGACGGAGAAGAGAAAGCGCGCTGGATCGGATGCTGCCGCGTCGGGGCACAGCGAGTCGGACGCATCCGACGACGAGCAGTTTGTCTCTACGGATCAGCCGCGAGCAGAACAGTCGGCGACGCAGCAGAACAAGGCGCTCCTCCCCTTTGGCGACGGTGCTGAGCTTTATGAAGCGCTCAAAACACCATCGGCCGACCTTCTACGTCTGCTGCTCTCCAGACTACGCCATCAAAGCACTCTCACCTTTGCAGAAAACACGCAGAGATCCACCATCCCCGCCAGCGACAAGAGGATCCAACTCGTTAAGGACTACTGCCAGCTATGCGAGGCGCAAGCGTCCAACTCTACTCCCTCAACCTCAGCTGCCGCCTCCGTCTTCTCTACATGGGAGCTCGCAGATCGCCAGGATCTTCCCACCTTGCTGCATCTACCTATCTTCTGCCTTGCCCAGTCGCTTGCGCTCCTCTCCGTCCACTATCCCACCCATGCACTCGGCTCCAACATCATCGAGCGTATTCTTTCATCCAATCAGCCATGGCTAGGCATGCTACACAACTACATCTCCAACCTAGGCGGTGCCAAGTTTGCCGCTTCCAAACAGCGAGACACTCGCTCATCCAAGGGCTCCGATGTAGCGGGACTAGCATCCCTCGTCCTGCTTCGCGAAATCACTAGCTTCGCCAAGGGTCGCTACGCAGCCAAACTCTTCGACTCATTCAATTGGTCGATGAAGGTGCTTCCCCACATCTTCAACATGCGCAGAAGGACCAGCCGCAAATCAAAGACATCCAAAAAGACGCAGGTCGCCAAGGACGTATCTCTGCGTCGTCCCGACATTCGAACCCTCTACATCCTCTTCCTACTCTCCTTCCTTCAGCAAGGCTACTCCCACACGCTGAAGCTTCGACTCTTGGACCTTGGTCGAGACTTTTTGCCCGCCATCCTCAAAGGTCTCCCACAAGATCCGCCAGACGTCGTCCAAACCATCCTCTTGCACCTCCACGAGGATCTCGTCAAGGACACCAAGATTCCCCGTAGCAAGAAGGTCGAGTTCTGGAACGAATGGGCATGCGGTTGTGTCGTTCAGCTTTACTCGCGTGAGGATGAGCATGTCCTTATCCATGCAGATACCCAGGCTGTCGAGAATCCTTCGGTGGCCGAACTCGCACATCACTTTCTCCTCAGCATCTGTACAAATCCCGGCTTTGGTATCTGCTACCCAGATCGAGGCTGGTATCCACGCAAAGCAACTGCGACATCAGAGACCTTGGTCACCGCAAATGAAACCAAAGCCAACGACGGCGCAGACTTTGTTACAGAGTCCAACGCAACCCAGAAGGGCAAGCAGATCGCAAGCGGCTCGATCTACAACAAGGTTCTCTCCGGCGTCATTCGTCAGCTCGCCGTCGCCGAAGATCTGCGACAGCAAGAACTTGCACTCGGAATCCTTAAGGCTTGCCCCGAGCTTGTCGGTCCCTATCTCGAAACCTCGTGCGCTGGGCTCAGCGTGGACCCACGGCCAAGTTCGCGATGGCTCTGCAATGTTGCCTTCTTTGGCCGTGTAGTAGGTCTAGAGCTTCCTTCTTTCCGAATTGCAAAGGTCGAGCATCTCGAAACGCAGCACGATTCTGCATCCGCCGCCTTGACCCCGCATTCACATCGAGCCTTTGCAGCACAGCCGCCTCCAATGTCGAGCATTGTGGCCAACATTCTGCCTGGACCGTTTTATCGATCGCTGTTCAGTCAAGGGCTCAACAACGCAGATCAGCTCGTTCAGTATTCGACCTGTGCACTCTTGTCCCGCTGTCTCGATCGCATGGTTCGTTTCCGCCAAGTCTGCACGAGTGCCATATCGGATCTCGACGAGGACGAGAACGGACCATGGCGAAGACGACTCGAAGCTCTCGAATTGGAAGCGCGCAGACGCATTCCCGATATTTCCGTGGTCATCCAGATTCTTCAAGTGGTCACCTCTCGGCCCAGCGTCAAGGGAAAGTCGAATGAGGCCAGCGCCGATGTCACCCTCGGCAGCGCCGACTCGACTCCCGTCTCGGAAAAGGACAGGATGATCTCCACCGAAGCAGCTCTTCGACTGCTTTCGCTCTACTACCAAGCCGTGCCTAGCTCTGCCTTCGACGCTCGATTCAACGCGGGCAAGCTTCTTACCAACGCATTCGTCCACTCCAGTGAAGTGGCTTCCATCGAAGGGCCAGATGAGGACACCAACATGCTTGACGATACGGAGGATGGGAGCAAGAAGGCAGTGGATGGGACAACTTCTGACAACACTGAAGATGAAGAAGACGCAGAGGACGCTGGTGAGATCGATCTGCAAGCCCTTTGTCAGGTACACACACTGCGCATCCTCTCCCATTCAGCTCGAGTATCGTCGTTTGACTGGACGGTCAAGCCATCTGGTTCTAACGAGAATCTCAGCTATCTTGCCTTGCTTCTCACTCTTTTCGTCTCAACGCCTCTCGACCAAGTGAAGCAAGCCTGCGAGGAGCTGCTTCGTTCACTTCTCTCCACTTCGTCGTTCTTCGAGCACCAGCCTTCGGAACTCGATGCTTGGCTTGCGAGTCTCCCGCAATCCGATGTTGAGTCAGCTCGGAGAGAAGACGGAGACAGACCAGACGATTCCGGCTCTCGTCCTGCAAACAGGACTCTCTCAACAGAGCAGAGTTCAGTCGTAGCGTTCTTGGACGAATGCATACTCAGATGTGCAAAGACTCCTTACCGCTACATCGAGGCCGCACGCCAGTATCTCCAAGAGCACTCCAGAGACGCAGACGGCGCAGACGGTCAAGTCGGCTCCACAAAGACGTCCACGGATGTGCTTGGCTCCCCCTGGCTCATGGCGGTGTTCGAGCAATTCACGATTCGGATCGAGAAGGGATTGTTCGCAGCCGACGACGGAACAGTAAATGCGTTAGTCGCGTTCCTCATCCGCCTGCTTCCTGTCTTGTGCGCTTACACTCGACAAACATTTGCTTTCGAGGCCATGGCGCTAAAGATCGAACGTGGTGTCAAGGCAAATCCGAAGTACGCATCATCCGTATTTTTAGCATCGGTACTTTCCAGCAAAATTCGGTGTCTCAGCAAGGCTCCCGTCGCTGACACTAGGGCGACGGAGAAAGCGATGCAATCAAACTCCCAGTCGACTGCCGTGTTTCTTGGTAAGTGTTTCATATTCAACCTCCCGTCGCTCATGCCCAGCCTGCTCCATCGAATGGGATGATTAGAATCTCCCAATTATCAGAACCGCTACACCAAAGTCACATCCCGCGGCTTGACTGCTGCAGAGATGGCTTGCCGATAACTCTGAAGTCGTCCTCATCCATGTATATGAATGCAGGGCGTCCTGACCATTCGACGCGACGCTGCAGCTTTTTGCTACTGAACACAGCCCAGCAGCTTGCTAACTTGTCACTGTTTGTTCTTTCTCCGATCAGGCACGTCCACGCCCGAACAACTACGATTCAAGTTGCGGAATGCCACCAGACCGTTGCGTCAGGCCCACATTGTCGATCTTTTTCGAGTCACGCAACAGCTGCACGATAGCGGCTTTGCACAAGCATCGCAGATCTTCGAAGAGCTTGACCCATCCACGGAGAACATCGCGGCAGCCGCTTTCCCTGGAGCAAAAGAGATCGCTTACGGATCCATGCCGATGCTCCATCTGCCTCTCAGCTCTCGTTTCATCGCACCGGCTCGTGACGACTTCATGACGACCACAGACGCTGACGACGGATCGATACCGGACGGCCTAGTCCCCTGGAGCTCGAATGTTCATTCACGGCTCGCGGTATGGATCGCTCTGCTTCGATCGCAAGGCGAAGAGGACGGCGAGATTACCCTGTCACATGTACGGTCACTTCTCTCGTTGGTCGACGCTGCGGACTATCTTTCGCAGGAAGATGCCAGGCAATTCCTGTTCGTCGAAGCCTTTCCGGCTATACAGTCCACCACCAGGCAAAATGCAGTCGCAGCAGGGCTCCTGCACTCAATTAGCGAGCTTGCAATCAAACACCTGGATACAAGCCGAAAGGAGCACGTCGAGATGGTCTCTTCACTGCTTAGTCAGTTTCGACCGAGCATGACCTTCAACGGCAATTTCTTGCGAACAATGGCGAATCTGGCTCCCTTCCTAGCTGATGATCGAGTTGATGAAGCCGTGGAAGCTTGCACTCGCGTGCTCGCATCCCACAAGGCTGCGGCAGACGTGCGGCTGACCGCGGCCGAAACCCTCTCCATCCTGACTGCTTCCGTCAAACCGTCGTCCAGACTCTGGGCAAAGCTGATCTTGCGGCTACCGGAGCTCGTTGAGGCAGCGTTCAGAGCGGAAGACATTGCGGTCAGTCCAGACGAGCGCGACAGCGTCGACGCCGTATCGGTACGCCAGAGTCTGCTTCTTGGCGTCATTCAAACAGTCTTGCGACAGTCGCATGACCACGCCACAGCCACACAGCTTCAAACTTTGACAAACGTCGACTTCAGCTGTCTCGCTCAGACAAGGATCGTTTCTCCTGCCCTGGACGGTGCACTGGCGGCAGCCATTCACGCCCATTCAGCGCTCGCCTTGTCCGTTTCCGAAGGACTGCGGTCAATACTGGAAGCCAAAGATCCAAGTCAGACAGGTGTCCTCCAAGCTGTTCCCTGCTCATTGTTGACGCTTTTGTCGGCGCTGCTCGAACACGACTCGCCCGTCCTGGTCAAGTCGAAATGGTCCCCAGCACACGTCGAAATAATTGCAGATCTCGCAATTTCCGCCATTCTCGACGACGAAGTCTCCACAGAGACAGCACAAACGAACGCTTTTTCCCTTGTCGCCAGCTTGCGATGCGCCCAAAAGTTTGGCTGGAAGGAGATGCAAGCCGAGGTGGGCTACAAGCTGCTGGACTTTGCAACAAATTGTGTCCAAACACTGCCGTCCAAGGCTTTCCACGGCCCGCTTTTCGAGGCCTTGCTCGGCCTTATCGACGAGGTGCCTGCATTGCCTCGGCTGTCCGAGATTTTGCAGGCCACAATCGATGCATCTCTTCTCTGGCTCGTGCGACGATTTGCAGAGGACAGCAATGATTCGAGCGACCTTGTCCAGACAACTGTCTCTTTGACGTCGCTGATCGAACGTGCTTGCGATCACCAGCAGCTCAGAATCCAGCTGAAGAGATCTCTTGTCGACCCCGTAATCCAAGCAGCTATCAAGAACAGGCTAGTTGCTCTCGATCAAATGCGACTTGTTCTGACGCTCTGCAGCCGGGCTGACCTCGAGCCAACGCAGCTCTCGCGATATCTTGGAGCTCTCACCGCGCACGCCGATTTCAATTCGGTTATGCGTGGATCAGCCGCTGTTCTGCAACCGCTTCAGCAAGGCGAGGATGCTGACGACGAGAGATGTGGCGATCTCCCGGAGGAGGACAAGCGAGAAGCAGCCGATCAATTGAGGCAACTCGCCACAGAATTCCCTTACACCGTTGCCAGCCGCAACGCTAGAGAACTGCTTCGCGCGCCGCTCTTGACAAGACTCATGGCATTCTACAACGCCACACTGTCCAAGTCAGATCGGATGATTCTAGCTTTGTTCCGACTCTTCGAGGAAGAATGTGGCCAGTCGTTTATGGGCGTTGTTCAAGGCTGGACACTTCCCGCCTCGTCTAGCGATGGCAGCGACAGCGTGATGGGCGGCGGTCAGTCTACACTGGAAGCGCTTCAGTCGCTTGATGCCAATGTCGTGTTTGCCACCTGCACCGAGTATCCTCGCTCTCTCTCGCTGCGCAACAACGATGGATACGGCTACGACGACGAAACTGATGGCGCTAGATTGCCGGGGCAGGTCTATGGCAAGCACACCGATGCGGCTCAGCGCTACGACCCAGTGTTCGTCCATTCGCTCCTTGCCGGTGTGACTGCACCGGGGGTAAAGCTGAGCGGACTGCAATGGGTGTCGGTGTTTGCCACGAACGCACCTGGTCTGGCGGTGTGTGGGCTGTCGTCTCGCTGCAGAGACATGCGTCGTGCCAGCTTGACGCTCATCTCCAGTCTGTATCTTGCTGCCAGAGAAGCGGATTTCCAGGAGAAAGATCATCTTCAAATGGTGCTGGATCTGCTCCGCGATGCGCTGGATTCATCGATCGCCATTCAGGACTCAGCCCTTTCGGAAAGTACTGTCGTTCCGTCCGACGCTCCATACCTCCCAACAACCACGACCCTATTCATTGCCCACGCGCTGCGATCGGTCACAACGCCAGGATCCTTCATCTACCCGGTCATCTCACACTTCCTGCTCCAACGACCCGAGCTCGACGTTGGCGACGTGCCTCTGCTTTACAACCTGCTCTACTCGGCTTCTGACAAGTACAAGCAAGAGCGTATGTGGATGCTGCGATTCTTACGCGATGTTGCACGCTCCGGTGGAAGAAGCGATTGGAAGATCTTCAAACGCAGGCGTACGTGGGACCTCCTCGCTTCACTGTACGACGCCTGTGATGGCGGTTTGACGGGCGCCGGGATGGACTCAGATCGAGCGGTAGAGGAGACGTCGATGCGTGCGTTGATCGAGGACACGACGGCGTGGTTGGTGAGAAACGCCGATGTCGCGATCGAGCTAGTGACGAGGAGGGGACTATTGACGTGGATCTGGCAGCAAGCTGTGCGCGAGGGCGTGGTTGCGCTCGCTGAACATCACAGCAGCGATGGCCCGAGGCTCTCCGAGGTTACATCAGCGGAAGCTTCAGCTCTGTCTACGTTGACACTTCGAAGCGTCTGGATACTGCTGCTGGCCCAACTGACGCGCAGTATCGATCTGGACCGACTCCACCGCGCGACGGATTCAGCCTGGCTCGCACCTATCATCACGCTAACATCGACGACCATCAGGGCGCTTCACAAATGCGCCGCCTCCACCAACAGTCGCAATCTTCCCGCGGTATCAGCCGATCTCGTGCGCACGATCTCATATGCAGCGACGTCGACCATGGAGAAGGTACTGTTGTTCGCAGACGACCCAGCAATGGGCCTGTGGACACGCCAGATGGTGGAGGCACTTGACATGATGATGGATTTGGCGGACAAGGCGATGGAGGTGAAGAAGGATGACAAGGTCTGGGAGAGATGCTGTGTCGGTGTGCAGCGGTGTGCGCTTGCTCTGGCTGCTGCTTCTACAAGCGCGGATGGGCAAACGCGTGTCACGAGTCCGGAGGAGCAGAAGAAGCTCGCTCGATTGATCCGACGAACGACCACGGTGTGTCGTCGCTTGGACAGCGAAACCTCTCAGCTTGTCCTCGGCAACCTCTTTTCAGCCTCTGCGTAGCCTTCTCTACCTGCAAAGACCACATTGTCCAGTGAACTCATACACAATCGTAAAATATCAACAAGCATGGTTGTGATTTCGGAACCCTTTGGCCTAGCTGTCATCGTAATTGACCACGAACTCGTCCCACCGCTTGTCCGCCTCCTGCGGATTCGCTGAGCTGATACGATGATAGGTCCTGATCTTGCTTGCCCAGTCCTCCAACACAATGACTCTGGCTCTTCTCTGCACCTTTGCGCTACCGTATCCCGCTAACGAGGATCCTCCACCGAAGCAGATCCAAACGTTCTGCACGCGTCTGCAATCAGAGTTGAGATGCATATGTCCATGTACGACCATTCGGATTCCTCCGTTGCCTTGGTCTGCTGTTGTCGACGACGATGCGTAGTGGGGCGTACTCGAGCTTGAAGGAGAGGAGGAAGGGTGGGAGTTGAGCGTGGTGAATAGGTCAAAGATTCCTGGTTGAGCTTGTGCGCCTTCGTAGGTGGCGGTTTCCTTCCTATCGCCAACGACGAGATCCTTGGACGAGGAAGGTTGCGTGGGATTGACAACTTTTGGCAGGACACCTTTGTCGACTGGGTTCATACTTTCCGGTACTGGAATATGCATGAACACCACACTGGGAGGTCGACCCATCACTCGACCACCATCGGCATCACCTGCATCCCACACCCTATCCTTCCTCCAAGGCTGTGGTGCCAGATCCTGCGCTCCATCCGGTTTGTACGGCAACAGCACTTCTTTGATCGCCGCGTACTTCTGCTCGAACCACTTGATCTGGTCCTTGTGCACGTATCCGTAGCCAGGTTTCGTCCAGGGCTTCCACTTGTCCTTCTCTGCATGCGTACCTGTGTCCAAGAACCACAGCGTCGCCACGTGACTTTTGTCCACCAATGGCGATCCGATCTTGAGGTAGTAGTTGCCCTCTCCGGTCAACATTGCTGGGCCTACCGAGCTGTACGAGTAGGGCATATTGCCGATCACCTGCATCTGTTCTGCACGCGTCAGCGGACCGGATTCGCTATCGTGGTTGCCCAAGATGACCGCATACGGAACCTTGCGCTTGATCAGAGGCTCCGTCCAGAGCGATAGCACGCTGTAGGGGTCCCAGGACGTGCCTTGTCCGTTCAACTGATCTCCCGTCAAGACCACCATATCTGGCTTCTCTGTGTCCAGCCAGTCGTTGACCAAAGCAAGGGTGTCGTTCTTGGACAAGCAGCCACGCGCCGACCAACGTGGATCTTTGACGTCATAGTCGCGACACGGCTCGGGCGAGACGGAGAAATGCAAGTCGGCCAACTGGAGGATCTTGAACGTCCCATCGGGCTTGAACTGGAGCGGTGTGAGAGGCGGTTTGCGCATTGGTTTGCGTCGATAGGTAAGTGTGACGCGCGCGGATGCCATTGCCGGGTGCGAGTTGGAGACGATACCGGCGGCAGCGAAACCTGGCCAAGGTGGATTGTCGCCGTAGACCAGGTTTAGCTCTGTGATTGCGTCGGTTGATGCGGTGTCTTCCCGCCGCCAGAATCCGAGCATTTCCTGTTTCCTCTGTTCAGGTGATACGGTCCGGTAGTATAGATGCAAGCTCTTCTCTCCGGACATCATTCGAACCACCTTGGAACGCAACCCGTCCTTGATCCTATGCCAGCCATCATCGCCCTTTGGCGGAGTCTGACCTTCCTCGACGAGTCGCAGCTCCACTACGTTCTGCACATCTCTCCTCCTGGATTTGCGGTAGAACAGGTATCGCTGCTCAATGCTTCCGAAGAGGTTGGTGAGCATGCCACCCGCCGAAGCGCCGAGTTGACCAGCAGGACTCAAGCTTCGATCCACCTTGACCCACTTGCCGAGCAATGCATCTTCTGCAGGCGTCGTCTTTGGTTGACATCGAGTTAGCGGCAGGCAGCCCTTGACTGTGATTTCTGTAATTGGTGCTGGGTTGGGTAGGAGAGGAGCGTAAAAGTCGAGTGGAAACATGTCATCGTACAACTGCCCGTCCGCGGCAGCGCCGGTAGTGTCGACGGCATCCGTGATGGCTGATGCTGGTTTGGAGGATGATGCTGGTGGACGCAGGTCGATAGCGGTATATGCTTGCCAGCCGATAATCCTAGAGTTGTGCAATACACCGTCGTGGGCAAGGTAAAAGACGCATGTGAGGAGGAGTGAGAAGCCTGCGGTCAGCAGCACGCCTTTACCGATTCGGTGCCGCATGATTGCTGGCCTTCTGATGTGCAGGTCAGCTCATCCGAGGTGGTGGTGTTGGTGACGTCTTGACCGAGGGTCTTTGGCTAGAGGACGACAGCGCGATATGTGGTACCTTTGATGAAAGAGGAAACGATAAATGTGTCCATGCATCGACGATCATGCTTATTCGCGCAACCGTGCATGAGCAGCCGAAAAAGCAGAGGAATGTAAGATCGACAACCTGATCTCAGATCGTGACAGCACGACACTAGTTTGACATCGGCGATGGGACAAGATCTCTAGCTGCAGATTCGAGCCGAACGCTGCAGCAACGGCACGTCGAGCGATGCTTGGCAGTCGACAGGAACGCTGCAAAAGAACCATCGGCTCTGAGAGGTCGTGTCGATGCGAGCTTCGCATCTGTTTGTTGCTGCATTGACCTCGCTTCTTAATAGGAATGACCTGCAACGAAGATCGTGCCACATACCGTGGCCATGCGGTCGGCGCATCGACACCTCATCGAACAGTGAACGATGGTACTGTATACGTCACTTCGAACGAGCCGGCAACATCGGCAGGCATGAGGTGGGGTCCTGTCCAGAGAAGCTCGAAGCTCGATGAATTGTCGTGCAGGAACGGTGGTCAGATTTGCACGCTGCCGCAAAGATCTCATCTCGTTAGTGTGGCAGAACTTTTCCACTGAGCTAGCCTAGCGGTGCGCCGCTGCATTGCTCATGTTCCACAGCAGCTGCGCTAAGCTAGTGCAAGGCCGTTGCTGATGGGAAGAAGGCCCAAGGGCTGGACAACGAGGCAGAACACGTCGCGCTGTCGTTGCTAGTGGAAAAAGGGGCATCTGCCAGCAATCCACCAGAATGTCTTGGCACTGGAACAGACGCGCTCCGAGAAAAGGAGACGCGCTCCCACCGAAACATGCACACCGACCCTTAAAAAAGGTACACAAGGCACTAAAGCAGAGCCCGACTTCGTCGATATCGACGACACTTCCAACTCCGCTACATTTTTTGTCCCAGCTCGGCGGGCGAGAGAAAATTTGGAGCAAGCTTGTTCTGTTGTGCGGCTTTGCTTCTGCCGAGATGTACAGCAGCGGCAAAGCCAGTACGACAGCAGAGCCTACCAGATATCGTTCGGGAGCAGCGTCCGAGCCAGACCGCCACATTCCGATCCCTGCTGTTCCTTGAAGGTGCCTGAGATCGACTTCGCTTATGCTGGCGGAACAGCAAGGAAAGCTTCCACTCCAGTTCTTAATCTTGCGACACAGGAGCGAGCTGCAGTGGGAGGGATGCATCAAAGCTGCAACGCGCTCAGCGTAAGACCAAGACAATGGTCGTAGCGCTGCGATGACTCTCGAGCCTCTTTCTGTGCCGTCGCTACCGTGCTTTCGGGGCAGGCAGAATCCACGACTACTACATGCGCCAAGCTTGTTGAACTTCGTCACGCTGCTATGGAATGTGCGCTCTGCACAATGTCTCGCGCTTGACACAGATTCTAGTGGCATTGATCATACCGAGCTTGAGATTCACGAGGAAGGACAGATACGACGAAGACGAATGAAGCGAAGCTGTATTTCCTTCAAGATGAGGAGGCAGGCCGGATTGGCAGAGCCGTACGTGCTTCGCTATATGACAGGAGCCCTACTTCCCACCCAGCCGCCAAGCCTGGCTGTCCATTTTCCTTTTCAACCTCCGAACTAGCCATCCCGGACCCCCCTCCCCCCTCCCCTCCCTTTGCAGGCCCTCTCAGCTCTCTACACCGCGTACTAACTCTGCCGTCGACGCCATCGCTCGTCCGACCCCTTCACGCTCTTTGCAACACCACCACCTTCCTTTGTTCCGTATCTCTCCTCTTCACCCATCGTATCCCTCCGCCCTCCTCTCTCTTGGCAATACCACCATCACTCCTCTCCTTCCAAATCTGCTCTTCTTTCAAATTCTCAGCAAGGGCCTCCATCTGACCGGTTCAGACAGTTTGACCTCTGCCTGCAGTATCTCGTATCACTTCATCTCCTGCTCACGACCCTATCCCGACTCCCTGCTGCTCGTCTCCTTCCCCCGCTTTGAAGCCTCTGGTAGCCCTTCTTTCGATCATCGACACGCTCGCTAGCTTCATTCATCAGAGGATTCTTTACCACTAGCTCTCGCTCGTATTGTGCTCGACGACCACATCCACCATGAAGGTCACTTTCCTCTCGCTCCTCTTGGTTTCGTTGCCTCTCCTCTCCACTGCATCCATCGAACCCTCGGCGCATGTTCGTGCGCGTCATCATCGCCGCGGTCGAGGTTTGCACGCCGACCCATCCTCCCCGTCCGACCCCGCCCTTTACTCGCGCGACCTCTTCGGCGATCGTCCTCGCATCCAACCGCGCTCCGAACCAGGCACCGCCATCGCCAAATCTTACACCAAAGTCACCGATGAGGTGTTCGACTACGTCATCGCTGGTGGCGGAACTGCAGGTCTCGCGCTCGCAGGTCGTTTGTCCGAAGACCCAGATGTGACCGTCGCCGTTATCGAAGCCGGTCACACTGGATACGCCGATGACGAGGCGCTTTTGGTCCCTGGCAATGCTTACTTCAAGTCTTCAGTCGGGAGCGACCTCGACTGGCAGTACACCACGGCACTGCAGTCCAAGTTGCAGGACGCATCCGGCAACCCACGCACCGCCAGCTGGCCTCGCGGTAAAGTTCTCGGTGGATCCTCCGCCATCAACGGCATGTACTACGTCGCTGCCAGCAAGCGCGAGCACCAAGTGTGGGGTCGCCTTTCCGGCGATCAAGCAACTTGGGGCTGGCACAGTCTTCGAGACGCCATGAAGAAGTCCACCAACTTCACTCCCAACACGATCAAACAGCTCGACGCTAGCATTCAGAACCAGACCGAGCACATGGGTGATAAAGGTCCCGTTTCGATCACCTATCCTGGTGTCAGCTACCAGCCTGTCGCTGACTGGGTCCCCACTCTCGCCGCTATTGGGCTTGACCACGCTGAAAGCCCGTACGATGGTGAGAACCAGGGAGCCTTCATTGCTACTTCCACCATCAACCCGAAAGACTGGGAGCGATCCTTCTCTCGCAGTGCTTACCTCGACCCCATCGCCAACAAACGCAAGAACCTCGTCGTGCTTCCTAACCAGACTGTGACGCGTATCATCTGGGACACGGAGCTCGATGACGAAGGCAACGTTCGAGCCCTTGGTGTCGAGTTCGCTGCTAACTCTAGTGCTCCCCGCGTCCACGTCACCGCGCGTCGCGAAGTCATCCTCAGCGCTGGCGCCATCGGCTCACCGCAGATCCTCCAACTCTCTGGATTCGGTTGCAAGGAGCTCCTCAAGAAGAACAACGTCACCCTCGTCAAGGAGCTTCCTGGAGTCGGCCAGAACCTGCAAGACCATCTCTCTACCAGTGTCGCCTTCACCCCGGCTTCCGGCCTCATCATGCCCACCGCCACCAACCTCACCAAGCAAGCCTCGTTCGTCGACTCTTCCGTCGCCTACGTCACGCTCGAGAACATGTACGGATCCAACGAGACCACTGCCTTCCTCGCTCGAGCCAAGAAGTTTTCGGCAGACTACATCAAGTCGGCCACCAACGTTCCTGCTGCCGTGCGCCGAGGTTGGGCGAAGCAGTACAAGTTCTTGCTCGAGGATCTGCTTGCTCCCAAGAGCCAGCATGGATTCACCGGTGCCGCAAAAGGAGCCATGGAGATGCTTCTTGGAATCAGCAACGGCGCAACCATCCAGATCGAGACCGCCCTGCAAGCTCCCTTCTCCCGCGGTTGGGTCGAAATCGCCTCCAACGACCCCTTCGATAAACCCACTATCAACCCGAACTATCTCCAACACCAATCCGACGTCGAACTCCTCCGATCCGGCATCCAACTCGCCCGTAAAATCGGCACCACCGCCCCGCTCTCCTCCCTCACTTCCTCCGAGGCCACACCGGGTGCCTCGACCACCTCGGACGCCGACATCGACAAGTTCGTCGCATCCAGCGCTCAGACCGAGTACCACCCGAGCTCGACCTGCAGCATGCTCGACGAGGACGACGGCGGAGTGGTGGACAATGAGCTGCGCGTCTACGGCACTGCAAATGTTAGGGTGGTGGATGCGAGCGTGATTCCGATCTCCTTGTCGAGCCATTTGATGTCGGCCACGTATGCCATTGCCGAGGTCGCGGCGGATCTGATCAAGGCTTGTCCGTTCGAGGTGGTCGATGAATGCGATTGGGATGGTGGTGATGATGAGGACCAGGAGGAGGCTAAGGTATCAGCGGCGAGCAAGGCTGATGACAAGGAGGAGGACTGCGATGACGGTGAAGCGTAAGCCTTTCGGTCACGATGCTCGTCAGTGGATACCCTACGATACCTTGTCCTCAGATTCGACACTGGATCCATGTTCTCTTGCTCCTCTTTGCCTTTCGTATTCGTCTTCGTTCTTCCCAGTTTTACTCCTTTTTCACCCTAGCACTGCGAGCTCCACAACGGGCGTCGCCGGACGTCGCCTCTGCTGGGTTCCAGCTGCTCGGCTGTCTGTACTTTGATTTTTAAAGTCACACGGTTTCTTTCCCCCACATCGCAACCGAAGAATGGACTGTGATCTCGTGAGCGTGTGTTGTGCCCAGAGCCCGTACTTGATGTCAGTAGAATGAATGTATTGAAGACGCTTCTCTGCGTCACAAAGCTGATGTGATACAGGTCCTGCCTGTCTGTACTGATCTAGAAAGTGTGACTGCCCGTTATGCTGTTTTGGATCAAGCAAGGCCCAGCGCGACGAGAGCGACCCCGCCGATCACCGCCAGCGTGCTTGCAGAAGTGCCAGTCTTGGCAGCTCCCGAGATCGACGAACCCGACTGCTGTTGTCCCGTCGACGAGCTTGCCGTACCCGTCGATCCCGTCGAACCCGCCGCACTCGGACTGCTACTGCTGCTACTTGTAGTCGGCACCCCCGCCGCGTTGTACCCTTTCGGCCTCCAACCCCTCTGCACCTTACTCTGGCTCTTCTCGAACAGCACCGTCCTACCCTGCTGACTTCCGAACACCTCGTCCGCATTGTGCGTCGCTCCCTCGATCACCGTCAACGTATGACTCAACTTGCCGCCGCTCAGCTTGCTCCAATCCGGCAGATTCGCCAGCGTCAGATTCCCGGGCAAACCACTCACATCCTCGTTCGTCCTCGCCAGCATGTTAATGTACTTCCACCACGCCAGATTCCTATCTCTCCTCGCCACACCACCTTGCAGGATAGCCATACAGTACTGATCGCCATTTTTGGCGGTGTCGTCGTTGCCGACAATGTAGCGGACGTCGCGTTTGACGTTCTGCGCAAAGTACTCCTGCGGGGTTTTGAGGCCGTCGAGCGTGCCGGTGAAGTTGGTGAAGCCGTACCTCCAGGTGTTGTAGAGCGGGCAGGTGGACTTGGATGCGATGGAGGGGTCTGTGGTGGGTCGATCTTCGGTAAAGTAGGCGGAGGAAGATGGGTCTCCCGCGATGAATCGAACGGAGAGGGAAGCGGAAGACATGTCCTTGGCAACGATACCGTAGCGGTTGATCAGCTGTCCTCCACCTCCATGCCCTACGAACACGAGTTCCTGCAGCGCGGGGTACTTGGTTCTGTTGGAGAACTCGTCAAAGAACGCATCGAGTGCATCGAAACTGGATTCTTTCGATCCTTTCGGGTGGATGGCTGCCTCTCCCGCCTGCCACGCATTGATGTCATCCCACGCCAATTCATGCTTCTTGTATTGCCCCTTATTCAACTTCTTCGAGTAGAATTGCGGAGCCACGACGATGGCGTTCTTATCGGCAGACGAGTAGGACGCCTTGACGGCAGAGGTGAGGATGTCGTTCATGGTCTTCCAGTAGTCTCCGCCATTTCGGTTTCTACCGTGGATCATGACGAACGCCTGTTTCGCATGGTGGTTGGACGGATTGCGCGTCCAGTACACGGCAAGTTTGTGCGAAGCGCTGCCAACGTCGATCGAGGTGAGTCGGGAGCCTGAGGGCACTTTTGGTGTCGTGTGCTCTTCATAACCGAGGTTAGTGCCCTTTTCTTTGGCGGTGAGGGTGGAGGCGTCGCGAGCAGCGTGCCAGTGCGGGTCGTGGTGGCCGAAGGGGACGTAGTCGGCGCTAGCGAGGGCGCAAAGTGTGGTGAGGAGCGTCGTGAGCACAAGCGCCACTGATGTCGTCGATGCTCTCATGATGACGAGTATGCGTATGACGAGGTAGCAGGTCAAATGCTATCTCTTCATGGAATGAATGCAAATGTGGTGGAGGAAAGGAAGCGGGACCCTCTATACGTCAGTCGAGGCAAGGGTGGAGAGGATCGTGGTGATGGCAACAGGATGAACAGCAACACCATCAATGAAGCCAAATGAAGCCAGAGTCACAGCGTCACAGACGCTGATCCGGCGCGTCTTCCGGCTGCTGCCTTCGTCTAGAAAGAGAGGGTCGAAACTCGACGTCACAAGCGCTAAGCCGACTGTGCCAAGCGCAAGCTTACCTGCCAAGAACGAGGATCGACAGCGTCAGGAAAATCATGCACTCGGCGAACAACGCATCACGCGGTCGCCTTGTCATTGATGCACTAGTCGCCGAGGCGGGTTGGGCTGTAACTGCTCCTGCGCTGCCCTCCGCCTAGGACCAGATCAACCTCCTCACTCTCCCTCCTCCTTCTTCTTCGCAGCGCTCCATCTTCCAGCAGTTGATCCCGAACAGGAACCAAAACAACCCAATACCAAACGCAAGATGTACAGGTTTCCTCTATTTCCAAAACCATGCGGTCCGTTCTAGCCGAAAATCCAAAGAACGCCGAAACGAGGCGCAACGCGGACACTTCTGCACCACCGTTAAGGGGTATATTTCGCCGAGGCACCCTGCGTAATTATGCAAAAGCCACAATTTTATTTTTATTTTTCCCATTCTTGACGGGCGTGGTGAAGGTGGCGCTTTGCCTCCAAAAATTGATGAGCTGTCAAAAGAAAAATTTTCGACAGCGGTCGGCGTGCCAAGCCTCTGTGCAGTTTTCATGCAGCGTGCTGGTGGTCGCGCGCTTGGCATTCCGCATTCTCCAAGCCAGGCAAAGTTCCGACTTCAGATCGAAAGAGAAGCTTCTGCCGATCAGGCACACGCACACACACACACACGATTGCGCTTTCGACACTGAATCTCTCGATGCTCCGTGTATTCATTCCACTTTCTCTACAATCACTGCTGGAGGAAAGCTGGTGGCAGCTCCAGCATGCTCCAGAACTCTCCTATGCTCGTGTTTGCAGGGTTAAAGGCAAACGGAGACGTGTTGAACGGTTGCTCGGACGCGGCGGCTGGTTGAGCGGGTAGTGCAGCGTTCATCGACACATCTGATTGCACCTGAGTCGGCATCGGTGGTGGCTGCTGCTGCGATGCCTCGAGTACGTTGTTCCGCTGCTGTGCAGTGTAGCCGCTGACCGGGTAGCCGGCGGAAGCGCTCGTCGACATCGGCGCGTTCTGCATCCCGTTGTTGCCGATCGGATATCCCGCCCCAGGACCACCCCCGAGAGGAACCCCAGCGTTGAATCCTCCAAAGGTTACACCTTGGACACCTTGCTGCTGCGGCACGCCACTCTGCACATTGTTCGCTGTCGTCTGGTTGAACTGCATCCCCACCAACGCAGACACGTTGGTCGCGTTCTCGTTCCAGAAGAACGATTCGACGTCAAAGATGCCCGGCGCGAAGTTGTTCCAGTTGCTGGTCGAGAACGGTGCGTTGTCGTACGTGTTCTGCACACCACCTTGGCCTTGACCTTGACGATCCATCACCTGATTGGTGACCTCGTCCGTCTTCGCGACGCCGCTCGGGTCCTGCTGTCCCCCATTCAGCCCTTGCAGCGCACCTTCCGTCTCCGCAATCCAATTCGACACTTTGAAACTAGCGACCGTCCCCGGCGTCCCCGCATTCGCCGCCTGCAACGCCGCGATGCTCGGCCTCCTCCTGCTCTGCGCATCCGCATCCTGCTTCGAAGCGTCCTCTCCCACCACCGCAAACCCATCCAGCAGCAACCTGTGCGCCGAAGCAGCCGGCCACGTGTCCGCCAGCATCTTCAACCACTGCACACACAACCCGTACCTCCTCCTCGCATCCGTCGCAATCTTGAGATCCGGCAACCTCGCATTGAACACGAACATCACCGCTGCCGTGAACAGGCAGTATCCCAGATCGGTCGATAGTCGATCGACAATGTCCCTAGACGACGCCTCGAGCAGGTCGCAGATGGTGTTGGCTGCGAGCGTGCTTTGTCGGTGACTGTCGTTTTCGAGTACTTTGGACATGGCCAGACCCTCGTCTTGCGGGATGAAAGGTCGGTGGAGCAGCAGTCGAGCTGTGTAGTACCACAGGTTGAGCGCGAAGAAGCTTGGGAAGGGTCCGTCGTGGGTGCTGTCGTCGAGGTGAAGGTGCGGGGGAAGCTTCTCTTTCCACTCGGTCAGCTGTCGATCGAGATCGGTCAATACTTGCCCCTTTCCCTGCCTCCTCAGCAACGCTTTCCTTCTTAGCGAGTGGACCTCGTCCAAAATCCTTTCGACGATCTTGAACAAGTGGACACCCCAATTGAGGCAAGAGGGAGCATGCAACCTCCTCACCGGTCCCGCAACGCCACCCTGCTGATCCGCCGACTGCATCTCGGTCTGATCCGACCACAGTTCGAACTCATCCTCCTCCGTTTCCGACAACAGCGGCACATCTATATCCTTAGCACGCAGCCCCACCGGTCGACCCATCTCAGCGCACAACAGCTTGTCCACGATGTAACAGTGCCAGATCACGCGGATCCGTGTCTCGCGCTGAACACGATCCTGCACGATCTCCGGTCGATAGATAGGCCAACGGTGCAACCCCAGATCGACCGCCATCGAGCTGGCCAGGTTCTGAAAGTTCCATGCACGCGAGAGATCGCCCGTGCCATGCGAGTAGAGGCTGAGCAGCCAGCACGTTTGGATCGAGGCAATGTCTGGTCGCAGTCCTTTGGCGAGAACGTGACCTTCGGCTGCCCGGCAGAAGAGCTGTGCACGCTCGAGGTTGAGCTTGTGCGCGGAATCGTCCGATTTGCCCGACGATCCCTGAGACGCGCTTCCTGGGACGACGCAAGCGCCGATGGCGTAGATGGCGAACAGCAAACTTGGCTCGAGGATGTTGCGCAACTCCTGGCGCGAGAACCCCACAAACCACGGCTTGTAGAGGATCGGATAGAAGGGATGGAACCCTTGCCAGTAGTATCGGAAGAGCCGATCGTTCTCTTCGTCCGAAACAACCGGATCTTCGGCAGAGACATGGCTCGTGGACGTGTGGCCATCGCGACTCGTTCCGGGATACAGACTCGCCATTTCGCGTCTCGGGGTGGCCTTGCTAGGACGTGGGGATCGATCGTGCGAGCTGACGGTCTCGGCGTCACCTACCGGTCGAGGTGAAGAAATGGGCAAAAAGACAGGAGCCTTAGCGTGCACGACACCCTCTCCCGAAAGACGATTGTCACGGGATCGCGGTCCAAACGGCACAGATGAGCTCGATGCGGCCGATCGATTGGCAGCCGTGGGCGATTCAGCGCGATGCTGGCGTTGCAGAATCCCAATGCCAGAGCTGGATCCGCGATAGACAAGTTCACCTTGACGCGTTTCGCCAATCACATCTTCTTCCGCCTCTGCGGCCGGATCATCTTCGCCACCGTCGGAATCGCGAGAGGCGTTCAAACGGCCGGAATCGTCGTTCGACGTGAGGTGCTCAATTTTGATCCTCGAGCTGGCACGATCTTGCTTCGCACGAGAACGCTTCGAGGACGTCGCTGCATCGACACACTCTGCCTCCTCGAACGATGCCTCGCCGATAGGCAGGTGTCTCTCCCCCGACACACGGACAATTTCCGCGCCCGCCTCTTCCTTTCCGAGATGATTGACAAGATCACGGATGGTGGTCTCGAGCGTGCGTACGAGTTTTGCTCTGGCCGACTCCTTGGGACCGGAGCGAAAGCCTTTTGGCGGACCACGCTTGAGACCGGTGTGGTTGTAAGTGCAGGGTGTGCCCAACACCTGGCAGACAGAGCATTCGGGCTGTCGACCGTCGCATCTGCGCTTCTTGGTGCTGCACGGTTGACACGCCTTGGCCACCCGGGTCGAGGCTTTCGAGTCGATGGCATTTGGATCTGACGTATCGTTGGCGGATGCATTCTTAGTGGCGCTGTGGGGCGAGCTTGCAGCGGCAGAAATGACGGGAGAGTCATCGGCTGACTGCTTGCGGCGTTTTGTGGGTGAGGGCCCACGCGACGAAGCTGCATCGTACACCCCTGCTGTCGGACCACGGGAAGAGGACGCTACGCGGGAAGACGTGCCTAGATAGTCGCTAGGAACTTTCCTCGTCAGATCGTTCTCGCTGAATGCTTCGGGGCTAGAGGCGTTGGAGGCGCTGTGGTAGACGTGAGAGCTTCGTGCTGACGAAGCATAGAGAGGTGCAGCTCGTGGTGACGGTGAGTACGATGCATGGTCCGGATGTTGGAGCTGATGCGCTGCTGAGCGGTAAGGATGCGGAGATGACGGCATGGTGTAGGCGATGAGCGAGCCAGCTGCAGCCAAGAGACTGTTAGGCTGGGATCGTTTGGATCTAGCTTTTGAACAGACTCCAACCTATGGAGTGCTTGATGCAGCGAATGAGAGCGTGTTACGAGGATCTCAAGCTTTCATGCTGGGTAGCTTCGTGTCAGAAAGAGGAGAAAGCTGGGCCGAATGCTTGAAGATGTGTAGTCACGGGTCCGGCGAACGACTGATGTTCCTGGCACCGATCTGTCCGTGGGGTAAGAGGATCGATATTGGAAGCAAGTAGGACAATGAAGCAGAGCTTTTTGCAGCCTTGCCTTTGATGAGCGACGGAGTAGGCGGCGGTTCGACGACAAGGAAAGGCGGCAAGAAGGAGTGGCGAGGAAGGACCAATGATTGTGGATGGCGCAAGCGCGACTTGGTGGGAATTTCCCGAGCGCTTCATCTCGACTTTGCCGGTGAGATACTGCTGGTGTGCCAGATTCGACGGACTGATACACTGTATGCAGGCATCGAAAGGGTCTTGATAAAAATAACTATTTAAATGCAGTCAGAGGCCGACACTTATCAGTCTTCACTCGCGAATCAGGGCTCGATCGGAACGGCCCATAGATCCATTCCGCTGTCAAACACGGCGCAGTCAGAAGTTGGTGGCCAATGGCCATCGACACCGTTCAACTTGAGCGAGGAGAAGCATACACCCCCTTCCACTCTGGCTACAAGGAAGAATCTGACATGGATTGCAAACACTGACTGACTGACCGACAAACTAATTTACCGAAAGAGACCTCGAACCGACCATCTGCCTAATGCCCAGCGATCTTGCTCCTCCTACAACGTGTACCGGAAGTGCGGACTCCTATCACCGATCGGTGCCCTCGTCTTACCCTCGTCCACAAGCCTCTGGTACTCGACCCAGTTTCCTTCCCTCCTCCCTTGCTCCCTCGCCCTGTTCTCGCTCCAGCACCACCAGACGTTGACCGCTATGAACAACCACGCTAGGATCAAACTACCCAACGCCACCGAATGACCCTGGATGTACTTGGGAGCCCATTTTGCCTGGTAGATGAACGTCGCAACGAATCCGGCCAAGTTGGCGATCATGAGCTGCAACGCATTGACGGTACCACGCTTGTACAGACCCGACGTGTTGTTGATCGGAAGCGAAAGAATGCACGGTGCCGTCGGGTAGAGCCCCAGAGCGATCAGGAAGGTAGCACCGTACTTGACCTTGGCGTCGTTGGTAGCGAGGAGCATGATGTAGCCGATCATCGAGAGGGGGAGGAGAGCGAGGATGAACGGACCGCGCATACGTGTCTTGTCGGCGAGGTAGGCGATGATGATGACGAGAACCGTGGCGGGGATGTAGGGTGGCACGGTGAGAAGTTGGAGTCGCGTCAGGCTGATGTTCGGGTAGATGCCGCGCAGGATGGTGGGGAGGAAGAGACTGAATGAGTAGAGCGCGTTGCAGATGCACAGGTACGCCAGACCCGTGAACCACGCCTGTGGCTCGACCAGCCCACGTCGAACTTCGCGCCATTCGAACTGCTCCTCTTCGAACACCATAGCTTGATGCACAGCGGCGTTGCTCGCATCGTGGGCGTTGACAGGTCCGACTGCATTGGGTGCGCTGACAGGTGGCAGATTGACTTGCTTCTCGCCGTCGTTCGTCAGGACGGGAGAGACTCCCGCCGCCTTGGCTCGGTTGTTCTGCTGATCCCGTCCCAGCACCGCAAGCATGAGTTCCCGTTCGTCCTCCTTCAGCCCACCAAACTTCTTGACAGATGAAGGCAGGCACCACCACGCGAAGCAGGAAATGACAATTGTCAATAAACCTTCGATAATGAAGATCCACCTCCATCCAGCTACACCCTTCTGCGTCGCTGGTTTTAGAGGTGCTAGATATCGGTTTTGGACACCAAGACCTTGCATATGGATCAACCCAGAGGCGAGCAAGCCTCCGAAGGCGCCGGACAAGCTTGCACCAGCGTAGAAGTACGCGAGGCGGACCTGTACCATGTATCTAGGGTACAATTGCGAAAGATACAGCTGAAACGAACGATGAGGAGCATGTCAGCAAAGTCGTTTCTTCTCCCCAATCTCGCTGTATATTCGCCATTAGATCTCGTACTTACTGGCATACCAGGCAGCAGCCCACCCTCGAACAGCCCCAGCAACAACCTAATCACGATCAGCCCGGCGTAATTCTTGACGATACCGAAGAACACGGTGATGACGCCCCAGCAGAAGACGATAAAGGGCAGCCAGAACTTGGCACCCAGTTTGCGCAACATCATGTTGCTCGGTATCTCGCTGGCAATGTAGGTGATGTAGAAGACGGCGAGGGCGATGTTGAACTTGTTGCCGTCGAGTTTGAGGTCTGCAGTGAGTCCTGCGACTTTGGCATTTCCGATGTTGGACTGTCAGGGGAGGAAAGAGGAGAATCGTGGTCGGAGCGTTGAGTGCGGGGAAGGAGGAGGCAGTAATTGACGTGGAAAAATTAAGGCAGAGATGAAGTGGGTTGCATTCGTGTCAGCCTTTCTGCAGTCTACAACTGACGTCGATGACGATGGTTATTCACCCTATCGATAAAGTTGGCCCACCAGAGCAGCGTCAGCGGTGGCACTGCGCGCCAGTCGAGCTTACGGATGCCTCGACGCCAGACAGCGTACTGCTCCGCGTCGGCAGGGAAGCCCTCGGCGTTGAAGCGAACGGCGCCGTCGCTCTCGCCGGCATTGTGGGAGGCAGTGGATGGCGATCGGTCGAAAGCGTATGTGTCATCCTTGGTCTCGTAGATCGTTTCACCGACTTTTTCTTTCGAGCTGGACGCCATAGTGGCAATCTTTTGATCTGGATGCCGGAGTGATCTGCTGAGATGTATGAACAAAGGAGGCCGAAGAGGGAAGCGCAGGAATGGACTTTGGCAAGGAAGCTGAGACGGAAGGAGGGAAGCAAGATGGATGAATAGCTGAGTAGCAGATATATATTGAGCACTCCTGAGTTCAGCTTCCAAGCTGACCGACTTCGATAGCATACAAGCAGGCAAGTTTGGCTCGGATGACTGAGGGAACCTTGATTCCAGCTTCGCACAGGCCGTGCTGAATCAGAGCCACAGAACAGCCTTATCAAGGCACATAGGTGGCGAAAATAACGATTCTGGGGCGGTGGAGCAGAGGAAAAGCAGCGAACGAAGTGCGGAGTTAACCGCTGCAGTCTAACCCACGATACAATCCAAATGTCAACGAGCGCGGCGGCGGCTGAGGAAGAAGAACCGCTTGCGAGGCACCATCTCAGGGTAGCAGCCTCGGCGTGGACGTGCAGCAGGCGACATGTGCGGGGAAGCGAACCCCACGTTCAGCCACAGCGCCCCACACGATGGACAGGTGGCATGCCGTGAACGGCGAGGCCACTGTTACGCAGTCAATCACGGCAATGCACACGTCCAATGCAGGGGCCTTGCTCACTGTCTGTTAGTGTCTGTTGGATCGGAGCACAGCTGGATTGTCGAGCGGAAGCGGCTGAGAAGAAAAAGAGACCGGCGACTGAAACAGCACGCGGAATCGGTCAAATTCGAGAAGCGAACTCGAAATATTGTGGGGTGTGGGGAAACCTCGCGCTGGCCAACCGCCGATTTGCAGGCGGGAAAGCAGAGCAACCGACAACTTGCTCACCGCCACGCGCGCGATACCGAACAGGGCTGCACGCAGCGAAGAGCCTGCTTCGCTTCTCGCTTCCCATCATTGAACCTTCTCGGCAAACACGGAATCGAGAGCAGCTTTGGACGATACACGAGACCAAAGGCTTGGCGATGCGAGCCAAAGTGACGATCTTGCTCTCAAAGTGTTGTTCAGGAACGTCGAATTCCTGCGTCATCGGGATCAAGTTCAGTTGGTCGTTCCTGTCTTAGTGCGATGGCTGCACCGGACTGCAACGTGTCAAAGCGACGAGATAGCAGTCCAAGGCTGCATTGGCACAAGCCCCCAGACGACTGGAGAATACTTTCGGAGAGACTCGACCGTAGACGACCGTAGACGGCCGTAGATGATCGCGTCTTGGTCTTGGGGCCACAACCTTTGTTTCCGCACTTTCCCCGCATTTTCAGAGCCGCTGGTTCGGAGGCGGCGTTCCACACGATCGACGCCTTCTACAGCACGGCGGAGTCGAAAGCGATGCCCGCTGCGTGTTCCGCTTCTTTGGATTCCCGCGGCTCGAAAGACCGTTTCGCTGTCCTTGCCTGCACGGTCATGACCGACCGTCTACCGAGTCGGCGCACAGTCATGCCGAAGAAACGAAACAACTCTCAGTCGGGAGACGTCTTTGTGTTCAGACTTTGCCTCTCGACAGTCGCTCCAGATAGAGCGAAGCGATCATGTCGGCAAGAGGCGCAGGTGTAATCGAGCATCGTTGGTCCAGGTACACGACGATCGCATCTGCAGACGCGTCAACTGCAGGTCGGGACCGCAAAGCGTTGTCTGTCAAAGATTAGCTGCTTGGGCAAAGACCCAAAGTTGCGCCTGTGCTGCGAATCTACTTGTCAGAGTTCAATCGCCCGAATCGGTTACATCCGCATCGAAGGCCCTATTCTGCAGGGATCACAGCATCGATCTCGCCTTTGATCACCAAACATGGCCTGATGCAGCTATGAATGTGTTTATATTGTAACGCACCATCGGGTTTCATTGAAACCCTTGACATCTCTTGCAGTCGCCGCTGCAACCTATTTGCGCTTCTTCTTCGCCGCGCCATTCGACTTTATCGCTGTCGAAGTCGCCTTGGCCGCCAGCTGCTCCACTTCGTCATCTTCGTAGCTGCTCTCGGCATCGCTTCTCGAATCCACCGCGCCTGCCTTGGTGACCACCCTATACGCCACTCTGCAGATCATGTAGAACCACATCAACAAGATCACCTGCAAAGCACACAGCAATCCAATCAGCGTGAAATACGACGTCTTCGTAAAGTAATCGCCCGTCAGGCGGTTTGGTGGTCGGAAGGACATGACGGAGCGCGCATCGAAGATGCAACTCCAAACCACTCGCATGTAGAGGATATGCCTTGTGACCAGCCACGAAACCATAAACAGCCCGAAAGCAATGTCGCACGTGGTCTGCCATCCAGCGTACTTGAGCATCTTTGCAACGTTCAGTGCAATGTCACTTGGGTCCATGAGACACAGGATGGCGTTTCCGACGCGGTGGTAGCTGCACACGTAGGATCCGGCGATGAGTGCGATGGTGATGACGTGGTGCGAGAACATCTGCCAGTGGTCGGAGCGACGTGCTTCGACGTGAAGGACGAACAGCTGTTGGATGTAGAACGCGCAGGACGCCAGATAGTAGAATTTGAACAGAGGTTCCAGTTGGAACTGCGGATAGCTGGTCCAGTATTCGACGGTGTTGAGTGGCCAGTAGGATTCGCGTGAGGCGATCAGCAAGCCTAGACTCCAGGAGCAGGTGTAGTAGATGAGACTGAAGCCTTGTTCGGCAAATCGCAGAACCTCCTTCTCGCGAGTGCGAAGCGCCTTGGCTCGCTCGTTGAGAGCCTCGGTTGATTGGCGTTCCGACTTGCGCGGCTTTTTGACATGCGGCACGGCGAGCTCTCCGAGTGGCAGCAGCAGAAACTTCATGAGAAGCGCTCGAGCCAGGGTGAAGAGCAGCACTAGCGTGCCGACAAAGAGGGCGTCTCTGAGGCCACGCTCGTACAGGTAACCGGGAATGCCAGATAGAAGAGCCCAGGGAGCAGTGGCAGGCACCGAGTCGCCGCCTACAAGACGATGCGCCTGATGCTTGAAAGCAGCGATTGGCGACGAAGAGGGATCGGGTACGGGGTAGGAGAGCCCGAGACAGGCACGAGTAAAGTTGTGAAGTGCTGTGAGCGGATGTCCAAATCCACGTGCGTCGCTGCGGAAGGGACCGAGGCTGGCAGCTTCGCCGACGAGATCAGACCAGACTTGATGGCCGCCCTTTTCGGAAGCGTTGGGAAGGTCGGAAGCAAAAGGTGCTAGCGACGGCAGGCGAAGCCAGGATGGAATGATGGAATGGAGCGAATGAGGCAGATGCAGGTGTGAGGAGAGATGTGCAAGCGAGAGGGAAGAAGGGGAGGAGAGGGTGTGCATGACCAGGAGGGCGATGAGAGCATTGAGGGTATATTGGATCTGTATGGAAAGCGATTCTTCGGCGGCTCTACGTGTTGCAGACCATTCTCTGGACCTGCCAGATGTTTTGAATGAGTTGGCCTTGGAAGGCTTGTGGAGTGACGACGACGACGACGACGCCGCCGCCGCGGAGGACCGCGAACGAGAAGCGGACTTGGCCATGTTGTAGAGAGCTATGGAGTGAGACTGGACGAGGGTATCGAACGTATCGACGTCTAGACCGAAACGATGACTGGACCGCAAGTACGATGGTAGAATGAGGAGAGGCTGCTGTGCTCGGACGACGACGGTCGCGGTGAAATGAAGTCGAGCGGAAAGGGACGCAACACGGTGGGTCGCTTTTGAGTTGAGGATACAGCTACAGCAGCTAAATTGAGTTCAATGAGCCACCGATCAGTGCGAGATCCTAGCAAGTCGATTCGATTCAATAGTGCAGGCAATACCGCTGCGAGGAACCAGCGATGTGATCCGATAGTGAATCGCACCGAAGGCGCAAGTCCGGGATGTGTAGGGAGTTGTCCAGATCGTCGGCGGCGGCGGCGGCTTCGATGGAGGCGTCCTCGAGGAAGTGGGCTGGACACGATGTCAGCGTCGATGGGAAAGCCGTCGAAGTTACACAGCTAGGTCCGTGGTCCGTGGCGAGGGTTGCCGATGAGGATGGTTGGGGGACCAAAGGTGGAGACGGTGTCGGTATCGAGGTGGAAGGGGAGCTGCAAAGGGTACAATGCTAACCAAGATTTACGTCTCTTGGAGAACGTGGACCGCGCTGGCTGCATCGAGAAGCAGAGAAGGCGAGGTTTGAGCTTACTTTGCTCACCGAAGGCCAACCGTTACCGCTGCAGACTGGCTCAGACTCGCCTCGCTGACGGTTTTGACACGATCCAAGAAGAACTTCGCGTTGGCCGTCGTAAGATGAATCTCAGACATTCGAAACTCGCCCTTGCATGCAGCACAGCGTTGCAGGCCTGAGAGCACACGCCATCCAATAAATGGCAGAAAAAATTAAAGCTTGGGAAAAGGAGCGAGCAACGCACCCGCGAAGAAGAAAATTTTGCCACGGCTGCCACGCTTTCTTCTGACACTCCGCTCGGACGCGCCTGCAACCAACCAGCATAGGCCCGTGTCTCTCTATCTGCAAAGAACCTGCACTGCACAACACTCATTTCATGGGTGAGAGCTCATCAATCTTGGCAGCAATCGAGGCGCACGAGCTTAGCAACGGCAATGTATGCTGTAGCATCCCGCTTTGACAATGCTTTAGATGCATGCGCGTCCAATCTGCTTTGTTCCTGTTGCAGGTTGCGAACACGACAAGACAAGCACAGACCACTCGGCAGTTTCTTAGAGAGCTGCCGACCCCAACATTATTGGCATGTATTCTGAGCTGCAGCCGACGCACACGCACGCATTCCGTGCCAAAACGCGTGTGGGTCTGGCTCTGGAAGGAAAGATAACTAATCTCGATTGTCTTCTCACAAAGGATGGCCCGATCCATGCTCATCTGCCAGACAAGACGACGTTCGACAGCCGACACACACACACCTTCTCGATTTGGAGAATTTCAAAGCAGTTAGAGCAGCACGGTTCGCGCTCTGGATGCGAGAGGAGCAAGTGTTGTTTCACGCTGTTCTCGCTGCACAGGCGTTTGCAGTACGCAACTGACGCACTGCCGACTCCTTGTCCCACACCTGACCATCACAAGGAACACTTGACTGGCATCAGTCGTGACTTATCTGACCAGCTGGGTGAATGACGGACATGCGCTAGCCATCTCCAACACCATGTCGCCTCTTTCAGCCTCCACCTCTTCGAATCTGCACCAGCGGCGAGCGCCTGCTGCCCGCGAAGCCTCCTCCTCCAGCGTCGAGGAGGATCGCAAGATCTCTGGCAGCCAGATCAACCACACCATCTCTCCCTCGTCCTCCTCGACGCCAGCTTCATCCAAGTCGAACCGTCCTGCACTCTCCGTCAACACCGACCACAGCACTCAACCCACGGACGGCACCTTGCAAAAGCACAAACGCGGGCACGTTCAGAAACATGAAAAGATCGAACGCATCGGTCTCCTTCGCGGCTCCTCCTACGTCAAATCAAACGACAAGGACTCTGTCGGTGAACACGAGCTTACTACGTCCATCGGCTTGCAAGACGACGCCGTCTACGATGCCTACCTTCCCCGACCTATCGCCTTCCTCCGACGTTGCATCGTCGCAATCCTTCGAAGAGAGGCTCCGTTGCACGAACGACACCAACGTCTGGTACGCAGACCATGGCTCGACAGGTACTTTGTCAACACCTCTCTGCTAGGGACACATTCCTTCTTCCTGGTCTTCTTACCCATGGTATTTTGGTTGGGTAGTCCGCGGTTTGGTCGAGGTCTCATCAACGTTCTCGCTTTCGGCGTCTATCTCTCCTCCGCCATCAAGGACCTCTTTTGCGTACCACGGCCCTACTCCCCACCCGTCACACGTCTCACCGTAGGCACACACCATCTCGAATACGGCTTCCCCTCCACTCACTCCACCAACAGCGTCAGCATCGCCCTGTACATCTACCTCTGGGTTCGAAAGATGCGCGAAGCTGCCGACCCTTCCGACTCGTCCCTCTTCGACTCGTACCTCTGGGAAGCGGGTCTGCTCTTCTACGCTACCTCGGTCGTCTACGGCCGTATCTATGCCGGGATGCATTCGGTCATCGACTGCATCGCAGGTTCCGCTTTGGGCGCGGGCATCACTGCGGTGCAGTGGACCTTTTTCGATCACATCGAGCAGTTTGTCAAGGTCAACAGTTGGGGCGTCCCTGCCGTGATTGTTCCGGCGGGGCTGTTGATGGTTTCGGTTCATCCGCAACCGGTGGACGATTGTCCTTGCTTTGAAGATGCGATCGCATTCGTTTCGGTTGCGATGGGTGTGGCATTGGCGAGGTGGTGCCTTCGATTCGGGGTTGTGCTTCATACGGATCCTCTGCTGCACCCTTTCTCGACGTTCTTCGACCCAGCAGCTGAATACTCTACCGTCAACACAACCGCGACAACTTCGGGGACGCCGCTGATACAGATCCCCGTCGCAGGAGCAGCCGAGATCTGGATCAAACGAGGTCTCGTCATGGCCATCGGTCTCGTCAACGTCCTCCTCCTCCGAGTCATTGTCAAAACCGCGTGCAAAGTCATCCTCCCACCCACGTTCCGTCTCGTCGACCAACTGATCGGCTTCAGCCTGCCACGAAGACACTACACACCAGCGAGCGATTACAACAAGATCCCCTTGGCAGACCTCAGCGCCGTGCCATCGGTGATCGATCTTCCTTCGCAGATCATCGTTACGGATGAGAGCGGCAAGCAGCAAACGATCCAGAGTCCCATCCTGTCGCCCACCTCGTCGAGTCGGAGGGGCAGTGCCGACGTGCGCAACGGTGCAGCGATAGGCGGTGGCGCTTTCAGTCCGTCGCTGTTGGGGAGGTCTCCACTGCATTCACCGATTCCTTCGAGGACGCCAAGTCCAAACCCCTTGGAGATGCGTCGAAGTCTGGCTAGCACGGGAAAGTCGCCCAAGAAGAAGATCCAGTTCACCATCGGAGGAGGTGCAGCTGACGAAACCGATGCAGACTCCACCCCAGACACGGCGACGGATCTTCCGATTCCATTGACCCAGTCCAGAGCGCATCCGAATTTCATCCCTCCCGACGAACAGTTGGCCCGAAATCTAGCAGCGGACATCAAAGGCTCTACACCCAAGGACGTCGAACAGCAGGTCAAGCACTACGACGCCGACGTGCTGACAAAGGTCATCGTGTATACCAACATCGGTCTGTTTTCAGCTGGATTCATCCCGGCGCTTTTCCAGCATCTGGGTCTCTGTTGAACTTTCGTCACAACTGTACTTTGTATCGCAATCTACCTCTACACACACACACGACGAACACAGCTACGGCGCACACTGTCTCCCCTGTGGATGGATGGATGATGAATTATGCTTCTGGATCAATTTAGCAGATGGTCAATGACGCCAGATCTTGACATTCCTATCCCGTCCTCCACTCGCCACCTTATCCGCCACGAAATCGACACAGTACACCTCGTCGGTATGACCCGGCAGATCCTTTCTGATCTTGAACGTCTTGATGGGATCCCACAGCTTCAACGTCGAATCCTTGCTCGCCGACACGAGCAATCGCGAATCGCTCGACCAAGCCAAACGATACACACTGGCCACGTGTCCCCGTAGGGTGGCGATGAACTTACCCGTGGACGCATCCCAAAGCTTGACGCTGTTATCGAAGGATGCAGAGGCGATCTTCTTGCCATCGGGGGAGAAGGCGACGTGGTTGACCGTCTTTTGGTGTCCGGTGAGACGTGCAACGGGCTTTTTGGGTGTGGAGGCGGAACCGTTGATCTGGGGTGGCCAGAGGAAGAGAGTGTGATCGTCCGAGCCGGTGATGATGGTCTCGGGTTGAGAGCCAGAACCCGTGGTTTCTTTGTATCGCTTGAGTGCCGACGCTTTGGCCTCTTCGTCAGTAGGCTGGACGTAGGAGGGGGAGGAGGAAGTGGCTCGACCCGTGTGATCGAATGGACCGGTTCGGAGGACGAAGTCGGTCGAGAGAGCAATGGTGTTGACCCAATGCGCGTGCTCGTTGAGCGTTCGGATGAGTTTCCCTCCGTCGGCCGACCACACTTTGACGGTTCGATCCGAGGATGCGGTGTAGATGGCACCCTCACCACCCCATCGCACACAGTTGACAGAGGCGGTGTGTCCGCCAAGTACGTACTCGCATCGGCGAAGAGTGGGGTTCCATACGCGAACGGTGCCGTCCTTGGAGGAAGACGCGAGACGCGGGTTGGTCGGGTTGACATGGATGGGTTCCCACGAGAGCGAGGTGATCCACTTTGTGTGTCCTCGCAGAGGCTTGCCTGCAGGCGCTGCGCTACGTGCTGCTCTGCGTTGCTTGACACCCATCTTGGCAGGTTTGCCTTCTGCGTCGCCACCTTCCGCGTTGTCGAGCTGTTCCTGCTCAGCCTGCCACTCTTCGTCCACCTGCTTGCCGGACCGTGAAAGCCAGCCTTTGCGGCCGGTAAAGGACGCATCGAGCGCCTCCCAGATCCACACCTCTCCATCCATGCCACCGGTAGCCAGCTTGCGTTCTCTGCCTTCCCATTCCGCACACAGGACCCAGTTGGAGTGACCGACGAGCGTATGCATCGGCGTTTCCGTATCGAGATCCCACAGCCGCGCAGTCTTGTCGCCTGCACCTGTCGCAAGCAGCGAGCCTGTTGGTGAGAAAGTGCTGCAAAGAATCGGCGAAGCGTGACCGCTCATGGTGCTGGAGCAGCGACTGACCGGTCGAACCTTGAACACAGCCTGCGGTTCGAACACCACCGTCAGAGTATCTTCCTGGCTGAGCCCCAGCTTCTTCGCCGCCTGGGCGTTCAAGACATCTTGGGTGAGCGAGTCGTTGATGGGCAACCTCGCATTGCTCTTTACGAGCTCCTGCTTCTCCTCGGATTCGATGCCGGCACTAGCAGCCAGCTGCTGCACATCGACGTGGAAAGCGTACGGCAGATCCTCATCATCGTCTTCATCGTCATCCGAGCTTGCATCGGGATCGTCTATTGAGCGCTTCTTGGGACCTTGTGCCTGTTTGAGTTGACGTCGAAGCTGGTTGATGATGGCTTGAAGTTCCTTCTGACCTGTCGCGGCGGGCAGGTTGATGGTGGGACCGAGCAGCGAGCCATCTTGGCCTGACTGGAACTGGATGACGAGTGTTTCGGTGGAGGGACCGAGTTGACCTTGCGCCTGAAGCAGAGCAGCTTCGCGAGCGGCCTTCTCGTCTGCCAGACGTTGCCTCTTGGCAGACCTTTGGGGTATTTGCGTCGCCATTGTTGTACTCCGAGGGATGGTGTAGCAGAGGAAGAATGTCGAGAAGCTCTTCAGTTCCAATTCTGCCGATCTGCTGCCCTCGTTGCGTGTGGAGAATTTCTCAAAACTTTCCGTCGAGAAGAAAAGTGAGAAATGCAAAAAAAGGCTCTTCAGGGTCCAGCAAAATCTCGAGAATCGGCCCCGATCTGTGCTTTCTCAGCTGCCGCCGCTCCCGAGCTGTCCTCCTTTTTTTCTTCTTCGGTCGCTTTGAGCTGCAGAAGCAAAATATGAAATTTTGGAAAATCTTGAGAGAAGTGAACTCGAGCAAAGCGCCTCTTTGTCCTCGCATTCTGTGTTCAACACCATCATCTCGACAGCAGCTCGACATTGGTAGCACACAAGACTTTTCGAGAACAGTCTCAATACAGCGGCGGGGCTCTTCTCACGCCTTCTGCACTGTTCCAACACTAGCAGCCATCGTCGCCTTCAGCGCACCTCCTTCGGATCGCATCTAGGAACATTCACGACACAATGGCAGCGGCAAAGGTGGCTTCGGCCAAGGCGTCAACGTCCACTCTACCCAACGGCACATCGCAATCGCCAAAGAAGACTCTTCCAAAGTCACGGCCATCTGCTGCCTCTAGCACGCCTAACGGCATCGACGCCACTGGTGCACCTTCAGCTTCCACTTCGGCACAGGCATCCTCCTCATCGACCCTCCTAGGCAAATACATGGACACATTGACTAAGCACAACGCCGCCTTCACCTCGCTCCTTCACCTGATTCCACCCCAATTCTACCTCACCCGAGATGACGCCGAAGATCTGGCCGAAGACAGCGTCTCTTCCAAATACATGAAGAACAAGCGCAAAAAGGCAAAGTCAGAGATCGAGGCCAAGGAACGCAAGGAGAAGCTGCGAGAGGCCAAGAAGCAGAGGCTCGATCCGGACAACTTTGCCACCGTAACCGACATTCAAGCCGAACGCGCTGCGGCCAAGGCTGCTCGTGAGGCCGCCGAGGCAGACTCGGATCTCGACATGGATGTCGAAGGTATGGTGTCCGTGGACGATGAGGAAGACGATGATGACGAGGATGAAAGTACATCAAGAGGCGGGCCCAATGGTGCTGCAGGTGATACTGATGAGGAGATGCAAGACTCGGATGTTGAGGATCTTGCCGTCAAGCCGGCAGCGGGTGCCGGTACCGGTGCTGGCGCCGCTGGTTCGGCAGTCGCTGCACCGAAGCCCATTCAGACCGAGGGCGAACGCAAGGCATCTATCGACGCGTTGCGCGCCAAGTTGCACGCCAAGATCGCCGGATTGCAACGCAAGCGAGGTCTCCCCACCGATGCCAACGACGATGCTTCGGAGGACGGCAGCAGCGTCATCAGCTCCAAAGACGAGCTTTTGGAAGAACGTCGCCGTCAGCGATTCGACGCTCGCGAGCGCAAGAAGCAGGAAAAGAAAGACGCAAGAGCCACAGCCAAAGCCGCGATTCGTGCCAAGCGTGCCGGCGTCGAGAATGCAGCCAACGGTCAGAAGTCGAGCAACAGCTTCAACGTCGGCACCAAAGCACCGGCACTGTTGGTCGCAGAGCCAGGCTACGGCGACAACAAGCGGAACGGCGCATCCGCTTCCGGCGCCTCGAACATCGACGTCAACGGCAACTCTCTCAACTTTTCATCGCTCAACTTCAAACCTGTAGGTGCTGCAAGTGCGTCGCTACCCGATTCGTCGGCAAACGGCAAAAAGAACAAGCTGGCGCTGCCCTCGGACCCCAAAGCGGCGCTGCAAGTACTCGAAAGCCGCAAGAAGCAAGAGGAGGCGCGACGATCCAAGCTTGCCGCCAAGCTCGGCGATGCGCCCGACGCGCTCTCCGCCAAAGTATCCGAACTGGACGAGCAAAAGCAGTGGGACAAAGTGCTCGCCTCCGCAACAGGCGTCAAAATCCGCGACGACGAGAAGCTGCTCAAGAAGGCGGTCAAGCGCAAAGACAAGCAAAAGGAAAAGTCGAGCAAGGCGTGGAACGAGCGACAGCAGAACGAGACGCAAAAGCAGGCGGATCGTCAGAAGAAGCGCCAGGACAACATCGCTGCCAGGAAGGCTGCGAAAGGTGGAAAGCACAAGAAGGGCTCTTCGTCGACGTTGTCAAAGTCCAAGACACCAGCGGGTAAGAAGCCCTCGTTTGGCAAAGCCAGACCTGGATTCGAGGGTAAGAAGATTGGGAGGTCCAAGAACTGAGGCTTCGTCCAACAGATGGCATCTTGAACGCATTCGACCCCTTCCTTTTTTGTACTGGTCACCTCTGCACTACAATCTCATTCTGCATACAAGGATTCGCATTGCAGCGCCATTGTCTGACGTGATGACGGATGGCAGTTGCTGTGACTACATATCACAGCACATGGCTGTTCAGTATGAGAAGTTCTTGCTGTTTGCTACATTGAGCAGTGTCTCTTGTTGTCCAAGCATTCTCGCGCGGTAAGAAGATCTGTCCGCTTTTCCATCTTTTTTTTTTTCCTCCTCGCATGATTGGAAATTGAAAGTGTGGGACTGGTGCACGAGTGCAGTGTGCCCGGGTCGAGTCATTTTTTGTGTCTTTCTTCTTGATTTTATATTTATTGTTATAAAGTATTTCATTCCGAGCATCGTGGGGCAATACGTTTGCCGGTCAACAGCCACGACGACCCTCGTCGGATGATTGACAAAGCTGGACTACTTGTCCAACAGGAGCAGAGAGCTGCTTGATCGAGCGAGTGAATCAAGCCACCGAGACTGGATCAGACGTGGAGGGACGATCAAGATTGACTGAGATTTTTAATTGTTGCTGGGCAGTCACCGTGTAAAAGTGCCTGCGGCGTTTGAGGGAGACTAGCGCTTGTGCGACTTTAATCTGATCGGAATTGGCACGACGAGGCTGTCTGCCTTTGCATCGACTTTGTTCTTCCATTGTCCTTTCCTAGTCTCTTCCTTCTTGTCTTCGTCGTCGTACATCATCTCATCCCTACTCGATCGTGGCACCCTCTGTTGTCTGCTTGACCTCTCGCATACGCTCACGCCGCGTTGCAAGGTCGAGCTCACCACGACAACCGATCCATTTTAGCTTCCCAGCTGCCACCCAGGCCTGGATCGACCCGTTGCAACGATCTTCTCCTTCCTTCTCCTCCCCTGCAACCCCAACCGTCAAAGGCTTTGCCATTCAACCGTCTCATAAAGCTCGTCGCTAGCCGCGGCTCAAGCCCGTCGACACCCGCAGTCTTCCTTTAGCTCCGGCAACCTCACAATCCTTCAAAAGCCACACACTTTGGCCCGTTGAAAGACCAGCTTCGTCTTTCAGTTTCACATTCATCCATATCCCAAAATGGCGTCCGCAGCATCAGCACAGCAGCCTGTGCTTAGGACAAAGACACCTTCCTACCATGCTCCTCCCTCCACCAACCCTCTCTCCGGCGCGACCATCCACACGCTTCGATGCTTGGATACGCCCATTCACCTCGGCTACCACCTTATCCCTCACATCGCCAAGACCCTCCTCTCCACGCTCCCATCTTCTACCTACGTCCTCATCACCGACCAGCATCTCGAATCAAGATGCAGCGTCACCACCGCTTTCCGCCGCGAGTTCGAAAAGGCCGCCTCTGATCTCTCTGCAACTCACACCTGGAGGCTTCTCACAAAGGTCATCCCGCCCGGCGAGGCTTCCAAAAGTCGAGAGGGCAAGAACGCTATCGAGGACTGGATGTTTGAGCACCGTGTCACCCGAGACGCCGTCGTTCTCGCCGTCGGTGGTGGTGTCATCGGTGATCTCGTCGGTTTTGTAGCAGCTACCTTTATGCGCGGCCTCAAGTTTGTTCAGATCCCCACCACGCTCCTCGCCATGGTCGACTCGGCCGTGGGCGGCAAGACCGCAATCGACCACCCGCTCGGCAAGAACCTCATCGGCAGCTTCCACCAGCCAAACTACGTCTTCATCGATGCCGCCTGGCTCAAGACACTTCCCGCCCGTGAGTTCAGCAACGGCATGGCCGAGGTCGTCAAAACTGCGGCCATCTGGGATCCCATCGACTTTGCAAAGCTCGAATCCAGTGCGCCGGCCATTCGTTCCGCTGTACTCGGCCCCTTCGCAAAAGATGCCCCACTTGACCAAGGTAGGACCCTGGACACCCGAACCGAGGCCCAGTCGCTTTTGCTCGATGTCATCCGCGGCTCCGTCGGTGTCAAGGCCTACATCGTCACCATCGATGAAAAGGAGACCGGCCTGCGCAACCTCGTCAACTTTGGACACACCATCGGTCACGCCATCGAAGCCGTGCTCACACCTGAGATGCTCCACGGAGAGTGCATCTCGATCGGAATGATCCTCGAGGCCGAGGTCGCTCGCTACATGCACGGCCTCAGCCAAGTCGCCATCGGTCGTCTCACTCGCTGCCTCAAGGAGTACGACTTGCCCGTCTCGCTCTCCGACTCGCGCGTCACCCGTCTCGCCAAGTCGCTCGATGTCACCGTCGACCGCCTCCTCGACATCATGAAGGTCGACAAGAAGAACTCTGGCAGCAACAAAAAGATTGTCCTTCTGAGCTCGATCGGTGACACTGTCGAAGACAAGGCTTCCACCGTTAGCGACGACATCATTCGCCGCGTCCTCTCCCTTGGTGCCACCGTCACCCCGGTCTTGGAGCAGCCCAACAATGCAAAGGTCACCCTCTCCACCCCTGGTTCCAAGTCCATCTCCAACCGCGCCCTCGTACTCGCCGCTCTGGCTGGCAACACCTGCCGTCTTCGCAACATGCTCCACTCGGACGACACCCAGGTTATGATGGCCGGTCTTCACGATCTTCAAGCCGCTCGTTTCGAGTTTGAGGATGGTGGAGAGACCATTGTCGTCCACGGCAACGGCGGCGCGCTCGCACGCCCTGCCAACGACAAGCAGATCTACCTCCAGAATGCAGGCACTGCTGCCCGCTTCATGGCCACCGTCGTCAGCTTGGTGCACAACGACGGCAACCAGCAACCCGTCGTCATTACCGGCAACAAGCGTATGAAGGAACGACCCATCGGTGCCCTCGTTGACGCCCTCCGATCCAACGGCACCTCGATTGATTACCTCGAGGGCCAAGGTTGCTTGCCGCTTGCAGTCAAGGGCACCACTCACGGCTTCAAGGGAGGCAAGATCCAGCTTTCAGCCACCATCTCTTCGCAGTACGTTTCGTCCATCCTCCTGTGCGCTCCGTACGCTGCCGAGGAAGTCGTGCTTGAGCTTGTTGGCGGTCAGGTCATTTCGCAGCTCTACATCGACATGACCATTGCCATGATGGCCACGTTCGGCATCAAGGTCGAGCGTCTCTCGGATCCTGCTACTGGTCGTCCTTCGAACACCTACCGCATCCCCAAAGGCCACTACGTCTCGCCCGACATCTATGACATTGAGAGCGACGCCAGCAGTGCCACCTACCCTCTCGCCATCGCTGCCATCACCGGCACCGAGTGCACCGTGCCCAACATCGGCTCGGCCTCGCTCCAGGGAGACGCGCGCTTCGCCAAGGAGGTTCTCGAGCCCATGGGCTGCACCGTCGTCCAGACCGCCACATCGACCACCGTCACCGGCCCTAAGATCGGCCAACTCCGTCAGATTGGACTCGTCGACATGGAGCCCATGACGGACGCCTTCCTTACCGCATCCGTCCTGCTCGCCGTCGCTGCTCAGCCTCCTGCCAACGGGTCCACTTCCACCGCTCGCCCCTCTACACGCATCACCGGCATCGCCAACCAGCGAGTCAAGGAGTGCAACCGCATCCGTGCCATGATGGACGAGCTCGCCAAATTTGGCGTCGACACCAAGGAGCACGAAGACGGTCTCGAGATCTTCGGTATCGACTACCGCCAGCTGCGCGCCAACGTACACGTCCACTGCTACGACGACCACCGTGTTGCCATGGCCTTCTCTGTGCTCGCCAGTCTGGCTCCGGGTGCGATTCTGGAGGAGAAGCGATGTGTAGAAAAGACGTGGCCAAACTGGTGGGACGATCTCGAGCGCAAGCTCGGCATCCGCGCCCACGGTGTCGACCCCGAATGCTCGCCCAGCCTCTGCATCTCGCCTTCGCACTTCAACAAGGCCACTGCTGCCACCACCAACGGCAGGCAGGCAGCGTCGCTGTCCCAGCTGACCTCGAGCAAAGCCCTGACCCCGCGCAAATACAGCAAAGACGCCACCATCATTTGCATCGGCATGCGTGCTTCCGGAAAGACTTTCCTGGGAGCCATCGGTGCTGCCGCGCTCTCGCGTACCTTCATCGACGCCGATGTGGTCTTCAACGAGAAGCTGGGCGTTAAGGATGGCCTCGGTGACTTTGTCAAACAACACGGATGGCCTGCTTTCCGTCAGAAGGAGCTCGAGATCCTGCAAGAAATGATCGCTCGTCATCCCAGCGGCGCACTCATCTCGCTAGGCGGTGGAGTGGTCGAGACGGAAGCCTGCAGAAGCATCTTGGCCGAGTACGCGCAGACGAAAGGGCCGGTCGTCTACATCGTCCGCGACACGGATGCCATCGTCAGATTTTTGGCCACCAGCGATCGCCCCGCGTACGGCGAGCCGGTGATGGACGTCTACCGTCGTCGAAACCCTTGGTTCGGCGAGTGCTCGTCGGCCGAGCTCGTTTCGTACTCGGAAGGCGAGTCGTTGGCTGTCCAGCCTTGTGCGATGAACGTACCCGATCCTTCATTCACGATTCAGAAGAAGTTTGGCCTGGAGTCGGAAGTGGCGCGCTTCTTCAAGTTCATCACTGGCGCGGACACGAATCAGATCGACGATCTCGTCGTCGACAGTCGCAAAGGCGGACGACGAACGTACTTCCTCAGTCTCACCTTCCCGGACGTCGTGCCCAAGCTGGAGCTGATCCGAAGCATGGAGACCGGCTGCGATGCGCTCGAGTTCCGCGCCGATCTGCTCAACCCCTCCGGCCAACCCGTCACCTCCCCTCAGATCCCACCGACGGAATACGTCAAGAACCAACTCGCCGCCTTGCGTCACCGCACGTCGCTCCCCATCGTCTTCACCGTCCGGACCCACTCCCAGGGCGGAATGTTCCCCGACGGTAACCCCAAAGAGTACTTCGAGCTCATCAACCTCGCGCTCCGTCACGGTTGCGAGTACATCGATCTCGAGCTGGGCTGGGACGACGATCTGCTCGCCGCGGTCGTCGAAGCCAAAGGTTACAGTGAGATCATCGCTTCGTGGCACGATTGGTCCGGTCATCTCGACTGGGAGAGCGAGTCTACGGCAAAGATCTACGCGAGAGCGTGTCGTTTTGGTGATGTCGCAAAGATCATCGGCAAGGCGAATACGATGGAGGACAACTACAGCCTCGAACGCTTCCGTGCCAAGGTGTCGGCTAGCACGACGAAGCCTCTGTTGGCGGTCAACATGGGTGCCGTGGGTCAATTCAGCAGGATCGTCAACCCGGTGTTTACGCCGATCACGCACGAAGCTATGCCGTCGAAAGCTGCGCCGGGTCAGCTGTCGTTCCGAGAGATTCAGATGGCTCTGTCGCTGATCGGACAGGCTGAGCCTCATCGGTTCGCGCTCTTCGGCACCCCAATTGCTCACAGTCTGAGCCCGTTGCTGCACAACACTGGATTTGCAACGCTAGGTCTGCCGCACCGATACGACCTGTTGGAAACAACCGAGATCGACGACACCATTACCGCCTTTGTCCGTTCCCCCGACTTTGGCGGTGCCAGCGTCACCATCCCCCACAAGCTCAACATCATCAAACTGCTCGACTCTGTCACCGACGAAGCGAAAGCCATCGGCGCCGTCAACACCATCATCCCCGTTCGAGATGCATCGGGAACGGTCACTTCGCTCGTCGGAGACAATACGGATTGGATCGCGATCGAGACTCTGGCACGAAAGTCGTTGCGGACGACGCACCTGGCGGATCCAAATCTGACCGGGTTGGTGATCGGTGCTGGTGGTTCTGCGAGGGCGGCACTGTTTGCACTGTACCGGATGGGTGTGAAGCGGATCCTGCTGTTCAACCGAACGTTGGAGAACGCCGAGAGGCTGGCGAAGGAGGTTCCTGTGGAATGGAACGTCAACGTGCTGACCTCGCTGGAGGACGTTGCTTCGCTGCCCGTCGAGCTCTCCCCCTCAGTGGTGGTCAGCAACATCCCAGCCGAGGGTTCCACCCTCACCGCCGAACCAGGTCTCATCCACCTTCCCCCCTCCATCCTCCGCAACCCCGTCGGCGGCGTTGTCATCGATATGAGCTACAAACCCTACCACACCGCTCTGCTGCAGCTCGTGTCGCAGGTCAACACGACCACCGAACTCGCGATCGGCACAAACACAACGAAGGCCCCGATCCGAAAGCTCTGGACTGCGATCCCGGGCATCACGATCTTGTTGGAACAGGGCTGCCATCAGTTTGCCAGGTGGACGGGTAGGGAGGCTCCGAGAGCGCAGATCGAGAGCGCTGCTTGGCAGGAGTATCTGCAGCGTTGATTGTGGCGCGAGAGGCCGTGTTTTGAAATTGCAAAAAAAGGGTTTTGGCGCAAGGAAGATACATGCAGGCTATGCTCGTGATATACAGCCCCTGAAAGATGCCTTCAAGCTTCATAGCAGTTGAGAAGTGCGAGAGTATCTGTTGAGTGCAAGTCTAGAAGCTCAAATAGACACGGCGCCTTGACCGTGGCAATAGTGTCCCACCTTCGAAGCCGTCTTAGCCCCAACGTTCGTGATAGAGTATTGGACACAGGGAGTGTTCGACCAAGCAGGGTAATTGATCGCGACCATATCGACTCTGACCTTGTCGGTGGTGAAGAATCCGGTGCTGCCTGCCAGACCGATGATCACGACGAAACCTGGTCGGAGGGATCCGCGATCGTCACGAATTTGCAGAAAATTTGGAATCAGTCAGCTTGGTCCTGAGTCTGGTGTCTCTGCATGCGTATAACCTACCCTGGCCATTGATGGTTGTAAAAGCAGTCAGCTCGTTCGATCCTGCTCTGACATCTTCGTTGATGTTGGAGGACGTCTGGAAGCAGATGGCACCGAGATTAGGCGCGGGAGCGTTGCGGCCGCAGTAGCCTTGGTACTGCGTTTCCCCTTGGATGAAAAAGGTATCTTGGGCGCCGACGCTCACCAGCAAGATCACCGTGGCTACAAGGGCGATGAAGGAAGTGTAGGCTTTCATACTGTATTTGTGTGAGCGATCTCGATGTGATGTCAGTAGGAAGATTTTGGCTGATACTGTATGTTGGCGGACACGAGATGGGTTGTGTTCAAATATCAGTGAGAGTGAGAGTGGTTCAGTCTGTGCGGACGTTGCAAGGTGGAATGAAACTCGAGGTCCTGCCCTTGGATCTTTCATTAAATCGCTCTGAAAGCAACCGCCTTACTCCTTCATCTCTTACCCCCTTGCAACCAATTCACTTGACAACCACAGACGCGGTCAGATCGTTTGTTTTCATCTCCGGTTGGCAGGCCGGGATCGAAGAAAAACTTCATTTGGGTTGAAGCAGATTCGGCTGGCTGCATCCCCAGAATCGGATCGACCCGTGATAACTGAGACAGGCTGTGAACCGATCACAGCGGCATCATGGAAGATTCTCCTCCGAACGAAGTGGACCGAGCCTTCGGCGACCTCAATTGAACGCATCGAGAGGTTGCGAGATCCGTGCCATCTTCATGTCCATTTTCACAGTACTGTATATCCCCAAGAACAGTGCCACCGCAACTGAGTCGTCCGCGTATTTGCGCCGGACCGTGCCTATCAAGATCACTTCCTGGGCGGACTGGATCCCTATCCCGACCGCCTGGTGTGCCATCGAGTGGGCGTCTAGCAGCGTCGGTGGGTGCGTCTAGCATTCCCCGTGTGGGCGGCTGCCCCTTGGCACCGACTCGTGTCGCGGTTCTGTGGAAAACTTTGGCAGGAATTCAGCAGTTGCAATGCTGTCCGACCAGACGGAAGCGGGGATGAAGCGCACTCCTGGTTGCTTGATCGTATAGTCTTGAGGCGGCCGCGGCGGTGATGCTGGCAGAAGAGATGTTTCTGTGGCACAGTGATGTCTGTCGACACATATAACATCCCAATTCTCCTAGATACCTGTAGAATACTCACTCTTTCGGCCTCTTTGTGTTCCACGCAGCGCCCGACTCCCCTGTAGGTCTTTCCCCTCCAAGCACGCTGCCCGGCCTCTTTGTCTTCCCTCACAGTCCTTTCACGATGGCCTCCACCTTCAATATCGAAGCAATGTACGCGCACGGCACACCGCCCCTCTTCATGCCCATCTCCATGGCTGCTGCCATCGGGCCCTACTTCATCCTCGTCTTCCTTCTGTCCGTTCTCTGTGGCATCAATCTCGCGCTCTTCTGCATCTACTTCCACCTCTACTTCTTCAAACCCCAGAACCGCGATCCTTTCCTCCTCCGAATCTCGGTCCTATTGTCCGTCCTCTGCAACCTCGCTCTAGCGCTGTACGGATTCATCTCGTACTACATTGGCGATCTCTTCCAGCTCTACTCCAACCCAGGATATGATGTCAACAAGATCGAGGTTTACGTCGTACCGTTCCACACCTTGAGCGGGATACCAGTTGCGATTGGACAAATGTACTTTGCTATTCGAATTGCGAAGCTCTTCGACTCACGAAGCATTTTCACCCAATTCGGTTTCGCCTTCGCAGTGATTACAATCTCCGTCCAGTTTGCACTGATCAACTGGTTTGGAGCAGCATTCTACTCCGTCGGGTATAAAACCCGTCTCCTCGACCCGCAGAAACAACACTGGGTCAAAGGCATCCTGGATTCCTGGACCGTCGTGTTCATCTTGATCGAGCTGTGCATGCTCCTCACCACCATCGCTAGACTCATGGTGTTGCGAGGACAAACCAGTATGGACGCCGCTCGAAGGGTGATCTGGAAGCTGGCGATGTACAGCATCCAGGGTCAGATCTTGTTGACGGGCTACTCGTTGAGCAGTCTGTGTCTGTTCAGCAGTAGCGAAACGGGTTGGTACAGTCCTCTGTATCTGTTGAGTGGGGCGTTGTATACGATGGTGATGTTGGCGAATTTGATTTTGAGGAGAGTGGTGGCCGAGGAGATGAAGGCTGCGCGGGAGGAGGGGGAGCAGTGCGAGATGAGGTGTGGATCCGACTTGCGCGAGCTCAGGGCGTGTCAGACAAGGCGGCACGAGCAGGTCTCTTCGAGTCAAGAGTACTGGCAACGAGATCATCCAGAAAGTCTTCCCCCGCCGGTTTCTGGTTGTAGCGAGGGAAGTCACGAAGGCGATGGAAAGGCTGAAGCTATGGTGGATGGGAGAAGGTGGCAACTGAGCCCCTTGTCTACTGACGGCAGATCGCCAAGTCCCTTGTTGCCGCTGGTCTTGCTTCAAACGAGGCGTTCAACCGGACACGGTCCGATGATAGTATCGCCTCCGGTGCCACCACCTGTTGCGAACTCTCCTTGTTCTCGGTCCCCCTATCTATCACCTGTTCGACCGCAAAGCTCAAAGAAACGATTCTAGGCGCACCTTGCTGTCCTCCGGATTCACCCTCAATCCCAACTGCCTTCTGTTCAGCTCAGATGCTTTTTGTTCCAATCAAACAGGCTCGGACTTCATAGGTGGCTTGAAAGGAAGGGAATGGATGAGGAATCGAAGCCTAGTTTTCGGAAGACGCAACACGACGATACAATCTGTCCAATCTGGAAGCTCGTCCCCGATCGTCGGTGCTAGCCCGAATTTCGTGACCCTGTTTTTTTGCCCATTTATTGTGTACAAGTATATTTTTTTAATACAACGTTGCATTCGGGACCCAAGCTTTTCCTTCCACTTCTTTGCAGCCAGCCCAGGTGTTGTGAAAGCATCGTGCATCCCAGGGACCCTTGCGATTGCTTTGCCTCTGAGCACACAAGCCGGTATGTCCTGGTCAGACACAGGGCTTCTGGTTCCAAATGTTCTGGCTATCTGGGCGAAACTGGGAACGTCGGCGAATTTTTTGCATCTACGCATGCACGTCAGATCGCTGACAAGTGGAGGCCGTAGCTGACACACCAAAAAACCCTCGACGCCAACGACTGTCACATTGTGCCTTGGCTCTTCATTCAGCGATACACAGCGGTGCAATCCTACGACACAGTTTTGTGGTTCCTCACTCATCACGCGTCGAGTCGTGCAGTAGTCGGAAGATAGCCTATTGTGTGCTCATGTGCAGTCAAGTTCGTGTTCGTGTGCGATGAGTTCACACGACCGGAAAGGTGATCCATGGACAGGGTCAGGGTCACAGATTGTGTCGACGTCAGAAGGACCTCGTGAGAAGAAAAGCGGTTGCGTCACTTGGCGAAGATCATTGTAGCTACAATGCCGCTCGAGCCAAGCTTGTTGATCCCTGCTCGCTGCTTGGTTTCACTCTGCCCGACCTGAGTGACACGACATATATACCTTCGCCCTCAAACCCGTCTCCTGGCTTTCCACCAACAACAGTAACATCATACCCTTCTGTTCACGAAACCCACACACATCTCTCAAACATCATGGCAGGATCAGGCATCAACCGAGGCCCCCACACCGGTTCCGGCACCGAAGCCGCCGCCTCCGACCTCAACGGCCCGCAGCGCAAATCCATCCTCTCCAACTTTGACTTCTCCGAGATTGCCTCCCTCCAGCTTCCCTCCGCCTCCGGTATCGCCGAGTACGCCATCTTCGACCAGGAAGACGCACTTGCCGTGCACGGCTCCCAAATGTCCTTCACGAAATCCTTCGAGCCGGAACAGGTCCGTCAACTCATCGACGTCTTCACCCAAGCCTCTGCCCCCAGCGTCTCGGAGCAGGAACTCAAGGAAAACTCGAGGGAAATCACACTCGCCGGCAAGACCTACACCTTGAGCGGTCCCAGAGGCGGTCAGTACCCCTTGGAGGTTGTAACGTTGCACGAGAAGGGCGACGGCGGAGACGTGCTGTTCGCCGCCCCAACGGCGACCTTGTTGTTGGTGTTCAAGACGGCCGAAGGCGCCAATGTTTTGCATCAGAGCAATGAGAAGCAGGGCGTTTGGACCGCTGTCAGGTCCTTCGCATTCGCTCTCTCGGAGAAGGGTCTCTGATATCTTCTACACCGAATGTCAAAACCAAAATGTACGAATGCAAAAGAAATTCGAAACTAGATGACGACGGAGCATGTGTGAATGAATGATACAAATTGCTTCAATCCCAAAACAATGACAGATAAGCACAACCGAAGAACAGTGAATATGCAAAGCAAACCCAACCCTCTACGCAACAATAGCCCGATCCAACCCATGCCAGATCCTAATCTCCCCCTTCGCCTCTCCCCCATCCCCAACGAGAACAGACAACCCCGTATCCCCCGCATCCGCATACACACGCGTGGAAACCGCCACAAGACCGTCCACAAAGATCTCGAGCACAGAGTTGTCCACAAACATGCGAAGCTTGTGCACCTCGCACGCGGAGAGGGATGCTCGAAGCGTACCGGTGTTGACCTTGATGTCTTTGGCCAGAACTGAGGTTTTGCCTGCAGAGTAGGTTCGATCGACGACGAGGTGGTTGGACGCAGAGACGTAGATGAGGGTGCGCGTGGAGAGGTCCTCGCTGTGAGCGACGACGACGCCGGGTTGCGCAGGGATGAGATCCATCTCGAGCTCATACGAACGGCTGGTGATTGTCGGCACGTGCACTGCAGACAGCGTTTCGGCGTCTCCGATCGCACCTTCGGTCAGCTCGACTGTTGTACCGGGAAGCGTACTTTGCGGAGAGAAAACAATCTTTTGAGCTCCACGGCGCAGTTCCTCGACCTCTGCGGCCGGACGGATGCCCAACTCGCTCGAAGTCGGGTGATGAAACAGCTCCCTAGGCAACGAGATCAACCCCGCCCAACCCTGCTTGTCGTAATACGACTCTGGCAAATCATCCTCCGTGATCCATCCCCACATGATCCTACGATCGTGCTTCTCGTCGTGGAAACTGCTCGCTGCGTACAGACATCCATGATCCAGCAGACCCACATTCGCCGGCTGCAAGCGAATCTCGCCGTCCTCTCCGATTCGCGTCGCCTCCAGATCCAGCTTCATGTACACCGGCTGCCTCGCCGGACCGGGCTCCGTGCACCCTTCAACGTTGATCAACAGGTATTCTGCTTCAGCAGCTCTGCGCTCAGCATCCCTTGTCGTGAAAAAGTTGGCGACTTCCCAGTTCTTCCCGAGATCGACACCGTAAGGCGCAGCTTTGCAGTTGACACCGACGTCGGCTAGCATTCCCACGTAGGCCCATTGGCTGAGATCGGCAGGGTTGATGGAGTAGGCAAAGGTGGTGGGTGTGGTGTCTTTGATTCCGCCTGCAATGAGGGCGTACAGACCAGGGGTTTGAGGGTCACGACCGAGTAGCGTGTCGAGGAGCGGCCACTGTGCAATGTACGGGTCGCGCCAAGAGATGACATCGAGATGCTCGGGAGGTCCACGAACAACGATTCCGTGCGGAGTCCACGTTTCACCTCCGTCAGCTGAGGTCGAGAGAACGACCTTCTCGCACCCGTAGTTGTACGGCAAGGTGTGGTGGATCGGCAACATGGATACAGCCGTGTAGAGTGCCGTCATCTCCGAACTGTCTGCAGCTTCCTCGGCTGTGCCGAGAGGAGGCCTTTGAAGCACGCATCCGGTGAAGACACCTTCGGAATCGTGATTTGCGCCAGGACTAAGCACGGGATGGGATCGAGATGTCCAGTGGATCATGTCGCGGCTGTAAGCGTGCCCCCAGCTGATGTTGCCCCACGTCGAGGCTGTCGGGTTCCATTGGTACCAGAGGTGATAGAGGCCCGTGCGTGGATCGTAGGAAGGTCCGCAAGGGTCGTTCATCCACCCATGAGGACCGAGGAAGTGCGAAGTCGGTCGCCACTGGTCGAAGAGGACGCTACTGGATTCGATTTCGGTTGCTGTTGCGCCTTTCATCGTTTGCGATTCTGCAAGCTCGTCTCGTGGAGACGGGATGCCCGATGATGCTGGTGTGGAAGTTGGGAGCTCTGCAGGAGATGTAGACGATGTCGGCGAAGAGAAGCTTGAGAAATCGGATCCAGCTGCTGAAGCTCGACTATCGACGAGCAAGGAAGACGGCGCGGAGAGCTTCTGCGCCGTTTCAAACACCGATGCATGTGCTGTCTGCATGTCGTCTTGAAGCACAGAGATCGAGTCCTGAGTGGGAACGGGCGACATTTCAAGAGGGTGATGGAGGTGCACCTGTTGCCGGCGATGAAGTCAAGGAGGTTATCGAGCCGCGGGTTTTCCGACTGAGCAAAGAAGATGAGCGTCCGGCGTTCAAGGGTCGGGTGTCGGGGAAAAGATAAGCGCGGTGTTGTCTGCCAAGCCAAATGAGAGTTGGAGCCTGTCCGGGAGAATGGCTGTACAATGGCAGACGTAAGGTTTTGGGCGAGTGCAGCAAATCTCTTTGACGCGAGTGACGTGAAGGTATTCACGGAAGCCTGTTGCAGAGCGGAAGTCGGGCTCGAGCTTAATCCTATGCTGAAGAGTCCGGCCTTGATCGAAGAGTTAGCTGAATAAGCGGCAAAGATTGACGAGTCCAGTGAGGGCGGGGCGTTGCGTATCGCACTTGCTGGCTTGCTGAGTCGAATGAAAGCCTGTAGACCAGAGTTGTCGCTTTTGAGCTTGAACGGTTTCAGATTCCCCGAAAGAGAGCGGAGGTGGCGGTCCTCTGCGTTAGGATTCACACGGCGATAGGTTCGGAATTAGTAGCTACGATGCGCTGCTCTTGCTGCTGTGAAATGGTCCAACGCTTTGTTCTGATGGTGTGCGTCGCGAGGATGTCGTGGGGGTGAAAAGAAGGAGGAGCTGCTTCCGAAGTGGTTAGAGCTACCCTGAAGTTGTGCAGTGACGGCGACGAGCAGAAGCGTAGATGGAAGGTGGTGGACGGGAACAACGGCGGCGAGGATGATGCTGAAGATGACGGTGTGGAGAAAGATAGCACGCAGGACAATCTCGACTTCCAGCGAGAGCCCCGAAAGGGCAACAGGGAGGGCTCTTGGTGATGGTATGAAAGCAGGCCAACGGGACGAGAATGTGGACACTCGTCGAAAGCCTCCTTTGGTCGAGAGTTCTGGGCTTTGTGGGGAGTTGCCTCGGCGCTGGTGTGCAGCTGCTGCTTTCCAATACGGCGGGAATCGCCGCTCGCCAAAATTTGTCCGCACCGACGCAGCAGCGAGACCGAGCCAAGGAAAAAGAAACGAAAGCGGGCTGCTGGGCGTCTCAGTCACCAAATTCCATTCAGCAGCGCGATAAAAAGGAGCTCGGTCGGAGCATCACCGGAGATCCTCTCGACGCGTGGGAAGAGTCGGTCTCGCCGGCGTCCTGTCCTTCCCCACAGCTCTGTCCAGTACCCTCATGCCAGCTCTGAACCTCACCCTTTGATCAATCATTGCAGCGCATCAAACGGGGTACTGAATCGTGCAGCACTACTGGTGTACTGTGCTCATGACAGTGGTATGAAGTACCACCGTGGATGCAAAACCGGCCAAACCCCTGCGGATTATGTGTCTGCGTGGACGAGTAACCGCCCTTTTCTGGCAGCAAAGCACCCACCCTGCACCGCCTGTCATCGCAGCGATTGTCGAGGGCGTACCCATGAACAGCCATGTCACTACAGCCGGGGCATTGTCACAGAGATACCCGAAGAAGATCGTCCGATTGATTGTCCAACCGAGCTTCGACCGTCAGTCTGCTTCTGTGGAGCCTACATGAATTAGGCCGTAGTTGAAGCGAGCCAGCTTCCCCTGCACCGGTCAATTCTTTGTCTCAGCAATAACGCAAGGTCGGGCCTTGAGTTCGCCGATGAGATGGATGAGTTGTTTGTGTGTGAATCGGATCAGCCCACGCCGTGCTTATTGTATTAGCTTTCGACGAAGAGAGGCACGGTAACGAGGGTCGAGCTCGCCGTGACGCTTACAATTGGTTCTACCGACGACAGGCTCGAGGAAGCCCATCGACTCAGTTGGTCACCACAGCATCGTTCCGCGGAGAGATGCTGTCCCTCGCTGAAGCCGGTCCCGTCGAAATGACTTCCGCGCTGCTCTGCCCACACCACGCCAATCTCAAAGACCGACTCCTCTTTGCCCCCAAACATGCTTAGGCACAGAAACCGTTTACCTGACCGATCTTGGGTACTCTACACAATCCTTCAGCGACACGTAACATGATGTCTGTGCTCAGTTGTCCTTGGCGTGCACACCTTGTTCTTCAACCATGGTGCTGATTGACGATGTGTACACTGGACAAAGGAGGAGAACGATGCGACCGAGCACTTTCCGAAATTGCTCTTCTTGCCCCACGGCCTCATCTCGGTGCCATGTCGGCGCAATGCATTTTCTCCCGGGGCCGGGACCTCTGCTGCCTCTGGCTCCTCCCAGCTCGACTACTGTCAGCAGACCGCCCGGCCTTTTCATTGAACTTCATCTCAACTCAATTCTGCCGGTCTGCGGGGTAATGAAGAGGCTTCTTCCCCACCTCATTTGAGTGCGGCGTTGTGTCCACCGCCTGTAGGTTACGAAACAATTTCGCCGGAGTGGCTCCGCGCATCAGCATCAGGTTGGATCGCTTTGGGGTTCTGCCGCGAAACACATTGTGCTCTGGCTTGGCTCGGCTGGACAATCGGCGAAAACGCAGGTCCAAAGTTGACCGGTCAAAGGACTTCTTTGAACCTCACAGATCTCATCGTGGTCTGTTGAACGGCAGCATCGGTCGATCATCCCAAGATCGATCGACAAACCGTGGGTGAGCACGGCGCGATCGGACCCGATCATCAATGTCGACCGCATACGCATTTCACCGAACATGTTCTATTTTTGGGCCTCTTCCTTCCTGCGATTCGAGCCCGTCTCGCCTGCGCGACGATGCGGGTCCAATTGTTTTGACGATCATCGCAGCTGCAGCAGATGCACCCGCCTCGTCATTCCGCCGCGGATGTAGCGCCTCAAGCGTGACTCCCCTGTGGAAGGTTGTTCAAACACGTCGATTCAGTCAGCCTCCAAAGAAGAGATGGGCACGAAACCCTCGACAAATCGCTGCTGTGGTCGCTGTGCAAAGAGAAAAGTGCGGTGGTGCAAGGCCCTAAGCAAGCCTCCTCTGCAACTTGTTTCCGCACTCGATTCCTTCATGATATCCAGTGTCCTTCTTTCAGAGAGACAACAATGTCATGGTGCGAAGGCAAGCTTTCAAAGGCTGCAGACGCTGTACACGACTGAAGAGACTCGCACTCAGTCTATGTCGCAATTGTAGTGATAGAAGCCTGCGTCTGCGCCAGACTGAAGCTGGTGAAAGAGCCATCCAACCCATTCGCCGTGAGCGAGCAGATTGGCTCTCGCTCGTGACTGTGCTAAAGCCCTTCTTCCTCCGCTGTCTGGAAACGGACAAACAGAACGGCACCTGGCCAGTGTTCTTTCAATGCATCTCAGAATATTTATTTTTACCTGAGCGCCTCGCCTCGCCTTCCCTCCACCTTCGGCGTCCGGCGTGCTTTGGCGCTGTACGCAGAGACAGCAATTGGCCTGCTGGCTGCATGCCGTTGTCGCTCGCAGCTGACCGTCATCGTCCAACGCTGCTTCGCACTTCCTGTTCCGATTCGCCAAATCGCGGTTGCTCACCATTGCTTCGCTTCCAGTCTTGTTTGGCTTTCCATCCATCCGTTCATCCCTTCCTCCACCCTCGAGACGATCGACCTTACCTTCGTGTTCTGCTTCGGACCGCTTTCTTAGTCACCTTCCCTCACATCACGCGGAAAGGCGATTCGACAGGACATACTCATCCTTCTAGCTGCTCACTGATACCCTCCGCTACCTGGATTTGATACCCGAGCAGTCTGCTTCTAGCTGCCGCGAGTACACCCTCAAGTCGTCTAGCTTGGTGACACGCAGATTAGCAACCCTCTTTTGGCATCGATCCAGCCCAGGAACGACTTTCGTTTGGAACTCGACCCGCTACACTGAGCTGCACCAAGGTTGATCACCCCTAATCACCACCCACCATGTCGTACGCACCGCAAGCCATCCATTCCAACCTTTCGAGGCCTCATCCCACCGACTCGAGACTGCTTCAGAACTTGATCAAAGGCGAAAAGAGCTACATCGACAACCTCGCAGCCTCGTCCATCTCTGCCTATGCCGCTGCGAGCGCTCTGGCAGCTTGGGGAACCTCTGAGGCACCCGACATCTCGAAAGCTTCGCAAGCGCTTGCCGAGATCCTGGGCACCGTGGCTGATGCGCAGCGCACCCATGTCCAGGCGCTGGAAGGCTACCGCAGCGCGCTCAAAGACGTCCTAGATCGCGAACAGAGCATCCGCTCCGTGGTGCGTGACCGTGACATCCTCGTCGGTCGGCTCATCAAGGCGAGCAAGAAGAAGGTGTCCAAGAAGGACTCGGGTCTCAGCCAAGATGAGAAGATGGACAAGGTCAACGCAGCGCAGCGCGAGCTGCACGCCTGCGAGCAGGTGCTTGCCAGCGAAGAGGCAGCTCTTGTTGGCGTCAAGCGACGCACGTTCAAGGAGGCGCTCACCATGCGCATGAAGACCATGGGCGATGCCGGCGCTGCCACCGTGGAAGCCGCCAAGGAAGCCATTCTGCTGCTCGACGAGTTCGACACGCACGGCCCCTTGCTGCAAGTCACTGGCGGTGGCCAATACGAAAGCATGTACGCCGACGGTGGCATCGAGACGGGCGCCTACGACAACCACGCTCTCGACCAGGGCTACTACGCCGGCCAGCATCCTGGTGCTCCCGGCCTGCCTCCACAGAACGCGTACGCAGACGGCGGCTACGATGGCGCCCATGGCTCTCCTGTCGCTGGCAACGGTGCCAACCTCACACGTGACGAACAAGGCCAGTTCCACAAGCATCTTCAAGGTAAGTTTCGAGACCAGTCGTGTTCTGTCGCGGCCTTGTGGCATTCTCGTTGCACGTCGCACATCGCAAGATCGACGCGCTCCGTGCTCTGCGTCGGAGGCAAGCAACCGATATCCCGCTCAAGCGGGCTTGCTTGCTTCGCTGCCGACGAATTGCGACTCGAATCCGCCATCTCGAGCCCAGACCCTCTCTCTTTCGCTCCATTGTGTGCGGCGGCTGCCGTCGGCGAGAAAATGGGATCGCTGACGCTATTTTGCATGTTTTTCGTCTTTTCCCTCCCACACTGCCTGTCTTGACCTCCCTTTGTCGGATTTTCGCCCCGATCTGCGTTCTGCACTGCACGGACGCCGAATTCGCTGCCCAAAATTACTCGGCTGGATGCACTGCTCCGCTTTTGGCCTCTGCATCTCATGCACATCCTTTGTCACCAATTTCCCTCTCCGTCGTTGGCCCTCTCCACTTTCACCTCTCGCCCTGCAATTCCTTACTTCCCTCTGAACAGGTCACGACCATCGTCACCCGCAACCTTTTGACGGTGCTTCGGTAACACCTTCGCAATCCGCCAGCCAAGTCATCGACCACGACCGCTCGCACGTCCCCCTCGGCCAGCGCTACACCTCGCACTTTGAGGACGTCGAGGAGCAGGACGGCATTCCTTCCGACACGGACAGCGAGGAGGACTACCGTCGTGCTTTCGTCGAGCCTCGCTCGCGCCTGCCTGCTCCGCATGAGCTTGGCGTAGCAGCAGACACCCACGATTCGTTCGTCCCCAACGCAGCTGCCGACGGATCCGCACCACCGCCTCCACCTCGTAAGGAAGACGTCGCTGGGCGTGTCCCGATGCCCGCCGTGCCCACTGCGCCTCGATTTAACCCCAACCACGCGCGCGGTCAAAGTCAAGACACCTCTGCCGACCAGGGCTTCACTCCCGGTTCCCCTTCCAGTCCACCCCGCTATTCCATGTCTCGACGCAGCGGCGACTCTGAAGGCGGTTACGGACATCAACGCAAGTCGAGCAACTCGCTCATCGGGAAAGTGAGCCGCCTCTTCAAGACTGATATGCGCAACGGCGCATCCGCTGAAGACGAGCGTGGCGGTGGCGGCGGTGGCGGTGGCGGTGGTGGCGGTAGCAGCAGCGGATGGAACACCCGCACAAACGCCAACGTCGAGCAGGAGAGCGAACGTCGTCGCTTCGCCTCGCTCCGACGCGCCGGGCCCGACAGCTCGGACGAAGAGGATACTCGCGAGGTGTTCCGCAACGTCAATCAGGCACGTCCCGGCTGGGATGCAAAGGGCGGCAGCGATGTCGGAGGCAAGAAACTCACCTCTCGCATCTTGCCCGGGCCCAAGAGCAACCGTGCCACAGAGGCAGAGCAGGCAGAGATTGACCGCATCCGCGCTTCCGTGGTAGGTGGCGGCATCGGCGCTGCCGCTCCTACCAAGCTCGCCAGTGGAGCTGACAGCATCCGATCCAACACAACCTTGACAAAGAAGAAGAAGAAAAAGCGTGCCACCGCTGGCAGCGAGATCGGCACTGCACCTACGCGCCCCTCGGCCAGCTACACGGTCTCGAGTGACCTATCTTCCCTGCAATACAACACTAACGCCACCGACGCGAACGCTCGCCCTGGGCTCTCGCGCAGCTCCACGCTCAAGTCGACCAGCTCCAAGAAGAAGAACCGTGCCAGCATAGCCGGCACCGGTCTCGTTGGTGGTAACATCTTTAATCCCAATGCGGGCAAGTACGGCGCCGACTCGTGGATCAAGAAATCCGGCAGCCAGATGACAGCCTACGAAGCTGTCGCCATGGCGGGTGTTGTTCCCAAGTCAGCGGCTCCCAAGGAAAAGCCTGCTGCTCCGGCACCTCCTGCATCCAACACTCCCGCCTCTTTGGCGCCGCTGCCACCCGCTCCTGCAGCTGCCAACACCTCGCGCCCTGCTTCGATCATCTCCTCCGCCAGCCAGAAGCCACCGCTCAAGTCGGCACTCAAGCCCCCAACCTTGAGTCGCAGCAACAGCACCGCCAGTGCCAAAGCCGCCCCCTCCTCTCCCACTAAGAAAGCGGCAGCGCCTCTGTCTGCAGGTACTTCCGGTACGCCAGGTACACCCATCAAATCGGCGCTCCGCAATGACATCACTCAGAGCATCCGAGCTGAGCCCCTGCCGCAGCCAAAGATGGAGCCCATCCCGAAAGCACCGGCGCCTGTCACGTCGACGCCGCTTCCGGAGTCTGTCGCGCCAACGCAGCCAGCCGCAGCCCCGCCATCCGCATCCCCACAGATCGCAGCACCCGCTGCTGCACAGACACCTGCAGCTCAGGAGCCTGCAGCAACCCAAGCTCCTGCGGTGGAGACGGCCGAGGAAGCCAAGTCGACGGCGCCAGCAGCGCCACAGTCGGTGCTCAGCATCGAGGAGGACAAGGGCTTTGACGGTACTGGTCGTCTCGATGTCCCTGTCGATGCTGGCGAGGGCCAAGATGTTGAAAAGGAAGAGCCTGCAGTTGTTGCTCCACAACCCAAGGCACCGATGCCCAAGCTCGAGATGCCTAGCTCCGAGCCCTTCTCGGTCTCATTTGATGGCGCACGACGTGGCTCTACTGTGACAATGGGAAGCAACGCTGAAGACGCCGTCGTCACTCCGGGCGCTGAGCAAACGTACAAGGCATTCTTGCAGCAACACGGCCAGTCTCCCTCTGTCGAGAGATCCGCCAACGCGACGCCACTTGGCACCGTGGTCGAGCACGTGGGCGTCGAAAGGTTGACGGACCGCAAGGTCAAGATCGAACCAAGCCGCGTCTATGGAGCGGGCGCGCCTGAAGTGAGCGACACATCGTCCGAAGAGGGATCGCCCGTCAAGCCCTCTCACCATGCTGAGGAGGGAGCTCAGAGGGCTGCCCAAGTGCAGGCCTCGTCGGCCCTTGCCGATCCAGCTCACAAGCCCGATGCAGGCCTGCAAGGCCTTTCTGGTCCTCCTGCTGCAGTCGCCGCACCGGCCCTCGCCGCCGCTTCGCTCTCACCCGCTAAAGCGATCAACCACTCTTCTTTGGCGATGGCAAAGGCGCCCAGCGAGTCGGGCAGCGCCATCAGTCGCCGCAAGAGCGTTCGCATGGCGCCGGATGTCAAGCTCCCTCCTGACACGCCCACCGACGCCGAAACGCCTCGAGGCACAGAGCATAGCGCGAAAGACCCACTCGCTGCGCGCGGCGCGCAGCTCAGCAGCCGTATTGCGCCTCCTCCAGCTGCGCCTGCGAAGCCGACCAAGGAAGCCGGTCCCATAGATCTCGCCGGAGGCCGCCAGAGCTCCGGCTGGACCAGCCGCGTTCGCGATACGGCAGACAGCAGCGATGAGGAGAATGTTGACGATGATGGGTATTCGAGCGCACGAAAGGCCTTTGGATCTGCCACTCGTGGCTGGGGCGAGGCTACGGGCACGGTCAAGCCCAAGACTAAAAAGACGGCTGGCGATGCTGCCTCGGTGCGATCCGGCACTAAGAAATCGGCGGCTGGCAAAGCAACTGCACCCAGCAGTGCTGCCGCTACTGTCGCTCCTGCGGCTCCCCAGCCATCGATCGGATACGTACCTACCGCGCCAGGTTCGATCTCGTCGACGCTTTACACAGCCAAAGCGCCGGGCTCTTCAGTCGGCGTCAATGCTAGCGGTGTTGCACCGTCCACGTCGATGTACTCGGTGACAGCGCCTGGCTCTTCGATTGGCGGCAATGCCGGCGCTGTTGCACCGTCTACGTCGATGTACTCGGTTAATGCGCCTACCTCCGTGCTCGTTGGGGTCATCTTGCCACCGCCTGCTTCCACCACGACAGGTGCAGCCCCGGCCTCCAGTACGCCCGCCCCCGCCCCCGCCGCGGCTCCGGCTTCCACCGCTCCCACTGCTGCCGCGGCCACCGCACCCGCGCCTCTCACAGCCTCCAACCTGAACGCTCTGGACAGCAAACCCACCATGCCTCCCGTCCCCGTGGCACCACCAGTTCCTGGTCAGAGCACCATCAGCGTTCCGACGGCTCCACCTCCGGCCATCTCGGGTAAGGCGGGCAGCTCGGTCAGCAAAGGCGGATTCTTCCGCAGGTTCAAGCGCAACAAGTAAAAAAAAGCTCTCTTTTGCAAAGAAGGTACGCGATAATATCACACTCTTTTGAAGGTGGAACGGTTCGTTTTGGTTCTTTGTATGTAGTTTTGATGGAACTATTTTGGTTTCAGAGACATGGTTAAGTTACAGGGTGAGTGTGGGGGACTGAGGCTGTTGCTGAGTGGTAGGATTGAGATGGACAGACGACGAAGCAGCACAGTCTGATTGAGAAAGATGTTGTGATTAGACAAGCGACGGTTGGTATAAGATAAAAGTGCGATGACTATGGACATGTGTGCGGGGGTTACAGGTGAGTGCATAGCGACGGGGCAGAAGAGGGGATTAGACCTCAGAGGTTGACGCGATTCCTATCGAAGTAATTGATGACGATCCATAAAGAGTCTGTCAAGCTGTGACGCTCGCTAGCTCAGCAATTGCAGCTGTCTCTCGCAACGCCCATCCCATACCCTACAACTCCACTGGGGTCAGTCAATGAGATGTTGCCTCTACTGCTATCCGCCGCATGTGCCGCTGGTACGCCCCCCGGCATCCTATCTCCTGGCCTCCTCTCCCCGGGCGCTGTCTTCTGCCACAAGCTCGGCGTCGAAACGATCCGATTCACCAGTTCATCGAAAGCGCCATTCACCCCCACACCTTTCTTCGCACTGCACTCGACAAACAGACATCCCATCTTTGCCGCAAACTCCTCTCCCTCCTTAGTGGTCACCACCCTCGAGTACTCCTTGTCAACTTTGTTTCCGACGATGACCTTGACCACATCTTGGCTGGTTGTGAAGGTTTCGAGTTCGCTGAACCAGGTTGGCAGGGCGTCGAAGGTGTCTCGTTGCGTGACGTCGTATGTGATGATGACGCCTTGAGCGCCGCGGTAGTAGCTGGACGTGAGTGTTCGGAATCGCTCTTGACCGGCAGTGTCCCATATGGACAGTTTGAAGCGTTTGCCTCCGACCTCGATACCTTTGATGCGGTAGTCGACACCGATGGTGGCGGTCGTCTCTTCAGGCGAAAGGAATTCATCGTCTGTGAACCGAAGAAGGAGCGAGGACTTCCCGACCGCGGATGCTCCGATGAGAAGGATTTTGAGCGTTGGTACGTCGCTGGAGGACGACATTGTGGATGCAGGCCGAGGTTGGCCAGTACGGTGAATCGCTGCGAGTTGAGAACGAAGCTGGTCCTGTGGAAGTCCTGACACTGCCGGAGGGTGCGATTGCGACAATCCAGTGATCCAGAATGCGAGCTTCGAGCAGGCGACTTCGGGCGGTACGTGATGATGGTCGTAATAATGGAAGAGTGCAAGCCAGACACGACCATAAGCATCCAGGCGGATGCTGCGCATTTCAGTATCAGATGCATGTGAGCGAGCTAGGCTGCTGCTTATTTTTGGGTCGCAGGCCGAGACGACTCAAAAACTAGCATGAAAGCCTGATGTGGAGGCCAGACTGCTGTTGTTACAGTCGTTCTAACACTGTTCAAGCTGATCTGCTTCTCGCACGAAAGGACGTCGTGTGATCTTGAACGGTCTTTTTTCCGTCCTTTGGCCTGGAAACAGAAAATTTCTGGCCGCAGCAGTCAAGAGAAAGCTTTCTTCGAGGACAGATTTTGAACTTGCTTGCCGCTTGGCACTCTTCCTTCTCGTCCAATCCATCGATTCAATATACCCGGCCTCTCTCCGTCAAGCACGAGACGGCCACCACGCACTCTTACTCGCTACGTCAGCACTCTCCTCTCTTGGAGACCATACCGGACCAGCACCTGAACTGTTCGACTGGGAGCTGGTCTCTCCACTGGACCACCCACCTCGTCAATCTCATACAACACCGCCCGGTGCACAGGTGGCGACCTCGAACGCAACAACCACCGCATCATGCCGGTCTCGTACTACGACGAGATCGAGCTGGAGGACATGTCCTACGATGAGGAGAAGGACCTCTTCCACTACCCTTGCCCCTGCGGCGACCGATTCGAAATCACTCGTCAGCAGCTCAAGGAGGCAGAAGATGTGGCACGATGTCCGAGCTGCTCGTTGATCATTCGAGTCGTGTTCGATCCCATCGATTTCGAAGACGACGACGACGAAGCGCCAGTCAACACGATCGACGTGGCCAGCCAGACGGTTGCTGCAGCTGCGTGATCGATCGTACTACTGTCCGCGGACTCCCAGTAAGTGTTCGAATGCACCCCATCAAAACTGGCAAATCAGAGCAAAGACGAGAGGCAATGGCGGAAAGCAACGAGGACAGGTCTCCGACAACACGCGACCAACTCCCGAAGGATTAAAATTAACTATTCAGTTCTGCTTCCGAAAAGAGACTTCGCAATCTCTTGTGGACAACATATACCATACCAAAATACTTTTTATGACACTTGGATCGGATTTAGCGCCTCTTAATCCGATTCGAAGTAGGAGTCATCGGTCTCAAGGACAATCTCTCATCAGCACTTCGCCTTGCCTATTCGCCTTTGCTCTCAGGAGGCCCGTCCTCCGGTAATACTATCAGCCAGGCAGCGTTGCTGATTTTGACGATTCTCTGACCATTTCGTCGCTCGCAGATCATTACGCATATTTCCGCAGGCTGCTTAGGTTTCAATCCATGCGACGCCAGGTTAGTATCAATCCCCGTCCTTGCCGCAACCTGCACGCCGTGCTGGGCGCCTCTTTATGATTAAAACTAGTTTATCCATTCTCTGAGGGGGTGGGGTGTCTGCCGTAGCCTGGATTCAGCGAGATCTTTGGCGTCTTGTCCTTCCCTTCGGAGAAGTTGATGGGATGCTATTCTCGCTTCAAGCTCCAGCTCTTCGGCCCCTCTCTTCTGGCTGCGCCGTTGGCAGGAGGACGTTTAGGTACGTTTAGGCCGCTAGCGCTGCCTGACTCGATGACGATTAACTCGCTTCGGCGGCATGCGAAAGACATCGAGTCGGCGGTGACGGTGTGAAGCCTTCGTGCTGTCTCTCTTGCCGGCGGTGTCAGTTGGGATTGCAGGGTCGGAGAGGTGTGTTGCAGCCCCGACCGTCCGTAGATGTATTATAATCTTCTCTATGACCTCCCCTTCCATCTTGAGCGATGTTTCCTCGCCGACACCAAATAACGAAACGGAATAAGTGCGCTGACGTACCACTCTTTCGTAATCGTCCCATTCTGGACAGCAGCAATCCTGTTGATCACAACCAAGCGATCTTCGAACTCAATTTCACGGTCACGTACCAGCATCTCTGCTTCCAATCGTAAGTGTCCCTCGGCCCACCGACCACCTTTCAACGACGTTCCGAACGGACTTGCGATCAACGCCCTCTCTTCCGATCTTGAGCCATCGAGATCGGCTTTGGGGATTGACACGCGGTCTGGGCTTTGATGAACGTATATCCCATACTCTTTTCTACCGAGCTGTGAGCCTACGCAGTGGCGGGGCTGAGATCGCTTTGCTCAAAACATGCATCACCAACTGAGCCCTTCTTATCATCAGTCAACGACATTCTCGAAGCACGATCAAAAGCGTAAGAGTGCTAACGCTGGCTCTCTCTTCCTTATGATCCCTGGCTTTTCGTCTGCAGCTCTACTCTTGATGAGCCTCTCCAGGCGATCAACTGGAAGTATCATTCTTCTCGCTCCTGCATTGCATCTCTGTACTACCACCATCGCATCTAATTAGCAACTCTCTGTATTCACACCTTTTCCATCGACCGGCGACGATTCCTCGTTGTGTTTGATTGTACCAATTACAAGGACTCGTACCGCATGTCTGTCAGCGCTCAGCATGTCTACGTTGCGCTTGACCTTCTCGTCAGAATAGTGTATTGTGCAGAGTCCAGCAATGCCTGGTGTGAGCCATCAAGCATGGCGAGCAAGCTCTGGAGGAGGGGATAATTAACTTCCAGGCGCCTGGCAGCCTTTATGAATTCATTTCACGAGGTTCACTCATTCGAAAAATGTATTCGAAATTGTATTTGACAGAAAACCTAAGCGCGGTCGTGGGAGCGTGTGTCTTTGTGTCAGACAGACAAGTGAAACACGCACGGACGGACGAGAAGCAAGGGTGCGAAGCGGTGCGTGCGTGCGTGTGTGTGTGTGCGTTTGTGCGTGCGTTTGTGACAGCGAGAAAGAAGGAAAGATGCGCACACACACGCACATTGTCAGGTTGCTGGAGTTGTTCTTTGATCACCATCACCTCCTCGCCTCCGCTTCGTTGCGACGCCGATCAACAATCTTTTCTGCCTTTGCGCTACCCGTCAGAAGGTCAAGCTTCTTCGGCTCATCTCACACAACTTGATCTGATTCCCGCCAATTCCCATCTTATCAACCTCCAACCGGTACTCGCGTACGCAGACACACGCGCAAAGATGGCTACCAACGGCATTGGCATTGCCAACCTACCCAACCAGCGTCACAAGATCGTGGCCAAAGCTGGCGGTCACTTTACCCTCATGGTGGTCGGTGAATCTGGTGTTGGCAAGACCACGCTCATCAACACGCTCTTCAGCACCGAGCTTGCCACTGGCAAGGACCACACGCGACGACACACCAAGCAGCTGGACAAGACTGTCGAGATCGACATCATCAAAGCCGAGCTCGAAGAGAAGCAGTTCAAGGTCAAGCTCACCGTCATCGACACGCCCGGCTTCGGAGACTACGTCAACAACCGCGACTCCTGGACCCCCATCGTTGACTTTATCGACGACCAACACGAGCTGTACATGCGTCAGGAGCAGCAACCCGAGCGACGCGAGAAGACCGACCTCCGCGTTCACGCTTGTCTCTACTTCATTCGACCCACCGGTCACACCCTCAAGCCGCTCGACATCGAGACCATGAAGCGTCTCGGAACGCGCGTCAACCTCATCCCCGTTGTCGCCAAAGCCGACACTCTGACGCAGACCGATCTCAACCTGTTCAAGCAGCGCATTCGAGAAGCCATCACCACGCAGAACATCCGCGTCTACTCTCCACCCGTCGAAGTCGACGACGCCGCATCCGCCGACCACGCCAAGCTCCTCATGAACGCCATGCCCTTCTCCATCATCGGTTCCACTGACGACGTGCGTGCTGCCGACGGCCGCGTAGTCAAGGGACGCGAGTACCTCTGGGGTGTGGCCGAAGTCGAAAATGAAGACCACTGCGATTTCAAGAAACTCCGTTCGCTGCTCATCCGAACCCACATGCTGGACCTGATCAACACCACCGAAGAGCTGCACTACGAGAACTACCGTCAGGCGCAGATGGAGACGAGGAAGTTCGGCGAACCCAAGGTGAAGAAGTTGGACAACCCCAAGTTCAAGGAGGAGGAGGAGATGTTGAGAAAGCGCTTCACCGAGCAGGTCAAGCTGGAAGAGGCGAGGTTCCGACAGTGGGAACAGCACCTGATCGCAGAGAGGGACAGGTTGAACAAGGATCTCGAGACTGCCCATAGCACGGTCAAGGCGCTCGAGGCTGAACTGGATGCGTTGCAGAACGGGTACGGTCGCGGATCGCAGCGTCGTTGATCGATGGGCAGAGCGAGATGAGTGCATCGCCGCTGTGTTTTCACGGTGCTATGTTGTAACTTCAATCAGGCTAGCAGATTGAAAGGGTGGTGTGACAGATAGCGTGAACAGTGTGACTATGGTGACTGGGAGAGTGAATCGGATACAAGTTGAGCATTGAGGGACGAGGAGTGAATCACGGAGGTGCTTCGTAAGATGACTGGCTGAACTTATTTGAGAGGAGAAGGGAAAAAAGATCAGACGAAGGGCAAGACTACAAAAGAGAAAGAACATTTGTCAAGGCGTTTGGGAGAGACAACGACAAAGCTAGATGAAGGTCATCTGTGCAGAGGAGTTCGACTGCGTGACGATGCACTTGTTCTAAAATTGAGAGGCAAGTTTCTTGGCGGCAGGCGCAAGTTTGGCTATGTTAGCGATGTAGTCTACGAACCACTTAGGGTACTGGTCGCGGATGGCCTTGTCGACGTTTTTCCAACCGCCGGTGTTGTCGAACCAACGCAAGATAGCGCATGTGAATTCGCGGTCGAGTCCGAAATCATAGAAGACGACCTCCATTCCCAGTGGAGCCCTCGGGAGTCGCTTCTTGGCCATTTCGAAGAGGGAGCGCGTCTCCTTGTCGACGTCAAACTGGAGCGAATCCTTTGGTGCTAGACGCGAGGCATTCTGCTGAGGTCGGGACGTGCTGAGCTTGCCAACGAACCAGCCGGGGAAAGACGCAAGGACGTCCTTGTGGATGCGAGCCGGACCGCCGGTCTCATACCACCAGACACCGGCGAGATGCTCGAACAAAGCCTTCGCTACAGCAGACTCTGAGTCCGGACTGCTGTTGATGTGCTGAGCCACTTGAAAGAGCGCACGGGTAGCTCCGACCTTGTCAAAGGGACGTTGGTTGTCACGAGGCTGATGAGAAGGTCCGAAAATCGATCCCGAATTGGCAGGGTCATTCTTCTGTGTATCTTTTTGCTTCCTTTCCAGCGCGACAGCTTTCATACCGGAAAGCATGGAATGAGCGGCTCCAACGAAGACGATAAAAAGGGGATCGTACTTGCCAGAAATGCGCTTGTCGACGTTCTCCCAGCCGCCGGTCATGGTCCACCAGCGCCAGGTTGTCTTGGCGAACAGCCTGCCCAAGCTTGCAGCTTCAGGGATACCTTCGCTTTGACTTTTACGTGTGAGTTCTAGATAAACGCCGTACAGAACCTCGGTTTCTTTGGCGACATCGAATTGCGCCCTCTCTGCAGCACTGGGGGGCGGAATCGAGTCAGTGATGGCGGAGACATCAGGGACATGTGAGCCACCGAGGTTGATGATGAACATCCTAAGCGGCAACAGGATAGAGAGTGATTGTGTATGTGTGTGTGTGAGTGCGTATGAGTGTTTGGTTGCGTGGAGCAGCTGCCTCAACGAGCGATGGATGACGACGGGAAGCTTTCGGAAGCTCACGAGCACAAACAAGGCCCATTTATACGCTCTACATTCTTGCTCACGGAACAGCAGGACTCAGCCGAGACATCGCTGCGCAGACGAGTGAAGTGCCCAGAAGTGGACAAGGTGACAGCTTCAAGTAGATATGAAAAGCGGAAAGGAGACCACATCGAAAGCTTTGAGCGGAGCGTCTGGCAGAACAAATGAAGTTGACGTTCTGCGCTGCGCAGCCACGAGGCGCAGTAGCTGCTCAGTCTGGCGCTGAGTGGGGGACTCATGTCGCTGTGGAGGGTCGGAACAGCCTTGCCGAACAGCTGTCGAGAAGAAGAAAAAGAGCCACGCGCTGGCGCAGTCACAGTCGTTGGCCGAGGGAAGGGTGAGCTGACCACGCGTTGCACTGCCTCTTTCGAGTGCTGTTTCTCCTGCTGCCCTCCGATTTCTGAGAAAAATAATCAAAAATGTCAGCGTCTCCATGGCGGTACGAGACTCGATCTGCAGCCTCAGAATCCTGTCTCACCGAGATTACAGCCGACACACGCGCACTAAAGTCAAAGCGTGACGGCAGAGAGAGAGAGAGACGGCGCATTGGCTCATGCATCGCTGATGCGCAAGCCAAGAAAGCGCTTCGCAGCGTCACAGCGTCACGTCCCGCTCACTCACTGAGCCAACATCGTCTCATTCCGCTCATGCTCTAGGTTCACTCCTGACTCCCATCTCGGCCTCGTACCATCAACCTTGATCTGCGCTCTCGCTAAAACGTGCATCCACTCGTCTTACATCCATTGCATCCGAGCAGCACATCCTCAGCTTCCGTTCTCCTTCGATACCCTGCTCGATCGAACAACGTCAGTCGCAGAGCCTCCACTTCATCTCACCGAGCGCGCCCTTGATACTCGCCGGCTCCTCATCTTTCGCATTCGCACGCACGCTTGCACACATCAACGGTCGTTCTTGCCCAAAACAAACTTTCGCGCATCCTCTCTCTTGCTCCCTCGGCTCAGTCGCCGTCTGCATCCAATAGCCTGACATCTCCGCACCGAAAAGCGATCCGCATCCAACCCAAGTTCACCGGCGCGTCCGATCTTCGCATCCCGTGTTCATACCCTCTCCAAGTCTCTGAAAGTGACCAATCATGTCGCTCCAAAACATCTCGAAATCCGCCGTGCGCGTTGGCAAGAACTACATCAAGGGCTACTCAGACGTGCAAGTCAAGGTCCGTGATGCCACATCCAACGATCCCTGGGGCCCAAGTGGCACCCAGATGAACGAGCTTGCGCAGCTCTCTTACAACCAGTACGTGCCGAGCCGCATTCATCTTCTCTTCGGTAGTATGATACTAATCACTGTCATTCCCTTTGCGTCCTGACCCCACAGAAACGAGTTCATTGAAATGATGGAGATCCTCGACAAGCGTCTCAACGACAAGGGCAAGAACTGGAGGCACGTCTTCAAGTCGCTCACCCTTCTCGACTACCTACTCCACGCCGGCTCCGAAAATGTCGTCATCTACTTCCGCGACAACATCTACATTGTCAAGACACTCAAGGAGTTCCAGTACATCGACGAGGTGGGCAAGGATCAGGGTGCCAATGTTCGACAGAAGGCCAAGGACATCACCAACCTGCTCCAGGACGAGGCACGTCTGCGCGACGAGCGCCGTTCGCGCTCGCACATGCGTGATCGCATGTCCAACGGCCCAGACGACGACGACGACGAGAGGAGAAGGAGACGTGAAGAGCAGGACAGGAACCGTCGTCGACCCAACACCAACGAGGACGACGAACTTCGACGTGCCATCGAAGAGTCCAAGCGCATGGCGCAGCAGGAGCAGGATCGCATCCGCGCCGAAGCAAAGGACGAAGACGAGCTGCAGCGTGCGCTCGCCCTTTCCAAGAAGGAGGAGGAGGAACGTATCAAGGCGCTCGAGGAGGCCAACAAGAACGCCCTCTTTGACGACTCGATCAACCTGGATGGCCCCAACGCTTATACCCAGAACCAGCAGGTTGATTTCTTCGGCAACCCCCTCGTCGATACTTCTGGCTCGCAGAACTACGGCGTCCAGCCACAGTATACTTCATTCAACCCATACATGCAGATGCAACCCACCGGCTACAACCCTTTCCTTCAGAATCAACTGCAGCAGCAGGAACTTATGCAGCAGCAGTACATGCAGCAGCAACAGGCCGAGTATCAGCGACAACTCGAGCTTCAGCAAGCCGCGGTTCAGTATCAGAACATGATGACCCAGCAACAGCAGCCGCTCCAACCTCAGCAGACGTCGTTCGGATCCAACAATCCGTGGTTGCAGTCTGGTCAGCAGCAGCAACCTCAGCAGCAACCTCAGCACAACGTGCCTGTGGGAGATCTGTTTTCGTCTGAACCCACCCCTCCGGCGGCGCAGCCAGCACCGCAGCCTGCGCCGCAGCCAATGCCTCAGCCTCAGCAGAATCGCCCTGTGCGTGCAAAGGTCAACGATGACGGCAAGTACAGCGAGCTGAACCGCTTGCTCGCGCTCGGCGATGGCGTCGATACGTTTGGTAACACGGGTGACATGAGGATGGGACCCAACATGGCGCAGTACAACCAGATGCGTGCTCAAAAGACCGGCATGAACTTCAACGCCAACACGTCGAGCAACGGTGGTGCGGGTGCGAGTCAGCAGGGTGGTGCTGGTGGCGACAACAATCCGTTCTTCAAGGTTTGAGTGTCGAGGCTTTGCGGTGTCCTTTTCGTTACGTTCGACCTGCTTTCTATTCCGTCACGTTACACTTTTCGAATGCAATCATATCATTGAAACATCTCATGGGGAGCGTCACGATGTCACAGGGAAGGTCTGAGTCGAAGCATTTGAATTAAGAGCTGAACGTGCGGGTGTGCTGACGAGGTAAGGAGCCGAGACATGTGGAAGTGTCGAGTCGTGTGTTCATTCGTTGGCAGGCAGCTTGCTGACATGGTTGGTTCCATACTTGAGCACGACGGGTTTTGTCGGGTACCTTCTGTGTTCGCTTTCCTGATCAGGCAGAGGAACGTCGTCGCTGGAGAACGCCTTCCCATCTTGCGGACTGACGGACCTTGTATCTGGGAAGTTGAACAAGAACGCGGCGTGAACCGCCTTGATCTCGAGCTTTGCAAACCTCATCCCCAGACAGATGTGTCTTCCTGCACCCCAGGGGACGAATTCTCCATCACCTTTGCCTTCACCTCTAGCGAAGCGGGTGGGGTCGAATTTGAGGGGGTCGGAGTAGATGTTGCTGTTGCGGTGGGCGGCGGCTAGCCAGAAGGATACGAATTCGCGGTTGCGGATGACGTCGGAGGAGATGTGCGTGGTGGTTTGGGTGACTTTCGAGGGGGTGAGGAGTTTGCGACGGAAGATGAGGGAGATGAGGAGGAGGCGGAGGGTTTCGTCAAGGACGGTTTGGTAGGTGGGGAAGTCGGTTTCCCAGACGCTCAGGGGGACGCGCGAGAGCTTCTCCGTGAGGGAAAGGGAGTCGTAGTCGTCACCTCGCTCCTCCGCTGATCGACGGAAGACTTCATCCATTTCGTTACGAACTTCATCCCGCAACTCTGGGTTGGAACAGAGGAAAATCAAACCGTACGCCGCGACACCGGTCGAGTTAATGATCGCAGCAAACAACCCACCCATGACGAAATCCTCGATGGACTTGGTAGACGCCCCGCGATCGATCATCTCCTGAACGTGATCGTTCTCCCTCCTACCCTCCTTCTTTCGCTTCTCGAGAGTCTTACGGATCTCGGTGGACATCTTGATCGCTCCGATCCACTTTTTCACCGTCGACGGCCACGGCAGCAGTGGGAAGTGCGTAGCCATGAATCCGGTGTTATCGGCGAACTCCCAAAAGGGAGTTTCGAGCGCCTTGACGGTGTTGATGTCGCGCGCGTGTTCCTGCAACCCGATGAGCAGAACGCTGATCTGGAAGACCAACGGGTAGATGGTCTTGTGCACATCCAACTCACCACCTTCGCTCGGGTAGGTTTTGAAGTTTTCGACGATGATACGAACGATGTCCGGGATGGTCTCCGTCAACCTCTGGCCGCCAATCGCCTGTTTGAGATTCATCACAAACCCGTCGATACCGGCATCCTCGGCAGGCGGAGTAGGCGCGATCCAAGCGGGCAGCTGCGGGACCCCGGCAAACATGACCTCGTAGCCCTGGTTAAAGTCGAGACCTCGATCGTTGAAGAACGTCTTTGCGTCGGCAGAGACGTCGTTGACGATGGTCATGACGTGGCCGCGGGAGTTGAGACGAAGACCATTCTGCTTGGGTGGAGAGGTGTGCCAGGTCTCGGGGTCGCCGAATGCCTTGCGGAGGAAGGTGTTGCGCTGGGAGTAGAGCGTCAGCGGACCGAGACCGGGGAGCAGCGAGAGGCGGTACGGCTTGACGGGGGATGAACGGTGGAGCGAGGCGGGTGGGAGGAAGAGGTTGTAGATGAGGATCGAGGCGAGGATGGCAGCGACGGTCCAGAAGATGGGCGAGGAGATGAAGGTCGACTCGGATGAGATGGAGAAGATGCGTGAGGATGCCATGGTTGCGATGGGTCTCTCTCCACTGGTTGTCTAGAGGAGGAGATGGTGTCAGAGAGCGAGAAGCGGGGACGCGGGTCTGATTATAAATGTGAACATCGCAACGGAGCTAGGGATCTTTTGACAGCCGAACCCCAGCTCTGAGATCTGGTTCTGAGCCTTGCACAAATCGCTGCTTAGCCCTTTCTTTGCTGCTTGACGCCGCGGACCATATTCCGGTGGAATAAGTGTGGGCTCGAGCGGATCCACGGCATTTGCATCACACACACTCACAGAACGGCGCTAAGTCATAAACCCACACACAACAATCACTTATCTGACCGAATTGAAATTCCGCCAAAGAGTCGCCCGCTCAGACCGGCGTTTTAATTCGTTAAAGTTAGCATTCCTCAAAGGCACCTACCTATCCATCGACGAGACCAAACATGAGCTGATTTCGTGCCGGCATGCTGAACGCTTCTTGCTCACCCCCACACGCACATTCTTTTGGAAGAAGCTGAGCCCATCATCGCAGAGCAAGAGCCAGGAATAAAAATCGTGGCACTGCTTTCCGATTGACGACATTCGCTCCGAGACAAAGGGGGAAAAAAATCAGTTCCGCCGGCGTTTTTTGTATGTGTCCCACTGTCCTGGCTTGGCTTGGCTTTTCCCAGCTGTGCCGTCGGAAGGATGCAAAACTAACCACCAATCCATCCTGTGCAGTCCTGCACTGTCTCTCCGGCTGAAACCGCTTGATAGCCAGAACAGGTTGATCCTCGAGCAGAGGTCGATTGGCAGACAGGTATTCTATGTACTTGTCCATATTATGAACGCATTGGTAGCGCACTCCAACACTCCCGGTCGAATGCCCGAGTGGTTATGGGGCTGGCTTCAAGAACGCGAAAGTTTGATTTCTTGGCCACGTTATGGCAACACCTCCAGTATATCCTGGGTTCGAATCCCAGTTCGACCAAATATCCTTTTTTGCTTTTTGCTGCGAGTAGTAGTGGAGGGTTAGTGTGTGAATTGCGGGGGGGTTGACGAGACCGCTCGGCTATCCGGAAGGCCTGAGCATCCGGCTGTCGTCTTTGTGCACGTACTCCAGTCTGATTCGCATTTCTTCTCAACACCATCTCCGTCTCTCATCTCTCAACATACTCATCGCGTTTGCATCTATCGTCGCATCGCATAGGGCCTCAGGTATCGACAGGAAACGACACGATCGTGACGCAGACACCTAGCTCATCAGACTAGCGACTAGCAAATTCCTGGCCGAGTCGTCAATTAGGCAGGGACTCTCTCGTCGTCATACCCACATCATGTACCCACCGCAACCGCCACTAGCGCGGATTCGCACCCCCGGGTTCGCCGGCTACGGTCTCGCCTGGTCACCCTTCTTCTCGCACCGACTCGCCGTCGCCTCCTCCGCCAACTACGGTCTGGTCGGCAACGGTCGCCTCCACATCCTCTCGCTCTCCCCCAACGCATCCTCTCTCCAGATCGAAAAGGTGTTCGACACGCAAGACGGTCTGTACGATGTTGCCTTTTCCGAATCGCACGAGAACCAACTGGTCACCGCATCCGGCGACGGATCGATCAAGCTGTGGGATTGTGCGCTGCAAGACCATCCGATACGAAACTGGGCCGAACACAATCGCGAGGTGTTCTGCGTGGACTGGAACAACATCAAAAAGGACATCTTTGCGAGCTCGAGTTGGGATGCGAGTGTCAGGATATGGCATCCAGAAAGACCATCCAGTGTCATGGCTATCACGACGGGTCATACCGGTTGCGTGTACGCGTGTGCCTTTTCACCCCACAATCCGGATCTGTTGGCGACGGCGTGCGGCGACGGTCATTTGAGGTTGTTCGATCTCCGGCAGCAAGCAGCCGGGGCACAGGCCAGTGTGACGATACCCGTGGGTGGAGAAGTGCTGTGTTTGGATTGGAACAAGTACAGGCCAATGACGATCGCCACGGGAAGCACGGATCGAGTGATCAAGACGTGGGATCTCAGGAGCGCAGCAGCACCACAACCTGGTAGCGGAGTAACACCGTTGCAAATGGGTACACCGACAGCAGCTATCTTGGGACACGAGTACGCCATTCGCAAGGTAGCGTATTCACCCCATTCAGCTCAGATGTTGGCAAGTGCGAGCTACGACATGACAGCGAGGATCTGGGATACCGATGCCGCCGCCATGAGTGGGCTGCAAGGTGCTGGTCAGCAACAACCGCAGCTAGGTGGAGGAGGAGGGGCAGCAGCGATGAGGAAGATACACGATACGCACACAGAGTTTGTCGTGGGAGTGGCCTGGGGGTTGTTTCAAGAGGGCTTGGTGGCTAGCACCGCTTGGGACTCGGAGACGCACTTGTGGGCCTCGCATTAGACGCAATACACAATTGCCCCTGCAATGCCGAGAGTGTGGTCGTTGGTCGACTGCGTCTGAGCGAATCTGGATCGACCATGGTGAGGCTGCGAGGCTGGAAGGACGATCATGTCTCGATCATGGTGCCAATGGGCAAGTGTTAATTTCCAAGCCTGTAATTTTGCCGCGCTTATATGCGCACGGTGATGGGTAAGCGAGTCAGATTTCATCAATTTCGACGTTGGTTCCACTTCCCATCACTGAAGCCCGCTCTTTGCCGTTCTGCCCTCGTTTCTCGTCCCCGCCTCCATTCCATCACCATCACTACACTACGAAGCGCTTGCCCACAGCTTCTCGTGAGTGACGTGGTCATCCATCTCCCACAATGGCGTCGACCACCCCCACGACGAGCGCCATTGAGACCACGCCGCTGCTCACCGTGGCACACCAACGCTACACCATCCACTCCACTTCGGAAACCCCCTCCTCCTCCTCCCTCGTCGACATTACCAAGTCACGCTACGATCTCGGCACCTTCAAAGGCCGTCTTCTCCACTTTGCCACCGTCACCTCGCCCCTCACGCTGCTCGCTTCCAATGCCGAGCTTCGCGCAGCCCAGGAGCTCGTCTGGTCGTACGAATCACGCTTCCCCACGAACCGCACCACGGGCAGCTTTCTTGTGCCTCAGTCCGAAGCGGCAAAGTACTACAAGGCCAAGCAGCTCGTCGACTCCTCCGTGCACCCCGACACTGGCGAGGTGATCCTGCTGCCGTTCCGAATGGCCGCGTTTGTGCCCACCAACCTGCTTGTCGTCGGTGGGATGCTCATGCCCAACCCCTCGCTCGCCTCGATCATCTTCTGGCAGTGGATCAACCAGTCCCTCAATGTCGCCGTCAACTACTCCAATGCCAACAAATCCGTCCCCATGAACATGAAGGAGGTCGGCATCGCGTACGCTGCCGCCACCACTTCTGCCGTCGGGATCGCCGTCGGCATGTCGCGCGGGGTACCCAAACTTCGCGTTTCACCGGGGATCAAATCCGTGCTCACCAGCTTGGTCCCCTTTGTGTCGGTCGCATCCGCCGGTATCGTCAACATCTCGTGCATGCGCTGGAAGGAGATCAAAGACGGCATCGGCATCTACATCACCGACCCTTCCACAGGCACTCGTACCCACATAGGCGATTCGTCCATCGCCGGCACGCGCGCCGTCTCGATGACCGCCGCCTCGCGCGTCCTCACCAACATCCCCACCTTGATCCTACCCCCGCTCGCATTGCGTGCCCTACAACGCGCCAAGCTCATCCCCACCTCCGGTCCCCTCACCCGCGCCGTAGACCTCGCCATGATCGGAACCTCGCTCCTCATCTTCCTACCCCCCGCAATCGCTACTTTCCCCCAGGTCGCCACCGCCAACCCGAAATCCCTAGAACCGAAATTCCACAACCTCAGAGATCAACATGGAAACCCGATAGATAGGGTCGAGTTCAACAAAGGGTTGTAGAAATGCTCAATCAGTATGTGTGCAGTATCTTTTGGCAAAAACGTATGATCCATTAGGTGCGAAGTGCAAGTGTGTGTGTGCGTGTGCCGCAGATGTGTATTTACATTGTGATCCCACCTCGTGACCGGAGCAGATGGTTTGAGGGAAGATGACGTTCAACTTGCTGTCCAGGAAAAGACGCCGGATAATCCAGGTATATGTGGTTTCTCTCCTTCTTCTCGTCGCACGCAACGAGGCTCTACTTGTTCTTCCTAGACTCCTTCTTGATGACCACACCCTCGTCACCACTGCTGCTATCCGACTCGGCCGACGAACCCAACTCCTCGACCTTCTTGGCCACCGCCTCAGCCTGCTGCTTCTTCTTGGCCGCGAGCTTCTCCTTCTCCTCGGCCGCGACCACCGCCAACAATGGATCATCCTCCATCTTGGGTGCACGGTACGATCCACCTGCACGATCGCAGAAGGTAAAGTACTGACCGTAGTTGCATGTGAAGAACAGATGATGCAGCGTGTGATGCGATGGTCCGTTGATGATCTTTTCCAGTGGCGAGTTGCAGATCATATCCGAGTCGTGGATCAGGATCGACCACAGATTGACAAACACGAACAGGCAGATCGACACCACGCGGTGAAGCGGGAAGACGAAGGGGAAGATGTGGTAGGGCAACGACTGCACGTATCCATCGAGAGGGTGGAAGGCGTGACTGGCAAAAGGCGTGGGCACGAGCCACTTGTGGTGCGGCTTGTGGATGTGCTTGTACAGTCTCGGGTGGTGCTCGATCCTGTGCACCCAGTAGATGAGGAAGTCGGTAAAGACGAGGAAAAGAGGGATAGAGAGGGCGGCGTAGCCCCAACCGTAGTCGGAGATGTTGTTGTAGAGCTTGCTGTGACCACGGACTTCCATCACGAACCATGGCACGGTCAGAAAGTCGAGTGGGAGGAAGGCGTCCATGGAAGCTTTGATCTCGAGCTGCACCTGATTCTTGAGGAAACGCGGGTGCTTCTCCATTTCCTTGTTGAAGATGTACTTGTACGAAAGACCAGCAAAGGAAAAGTAGAGCACGAGGATGCCGATGTAGGTCAGGATGAGCAGAGACACAGTCTGACGGATGATGTTGTCCCTTGGCAACGCCGAGACATGTTTGAGCGCGGACCAGTCGACGTTGTTGCCGCTCAGAGAGGAGGCGACGGCATCCTTGAGCACGGTGTTGGCGAACCAGTTGGAGGGCGATAGCGCCGAGGTGCTAGCGGATGCAGCCCATGTTGCCGCGTCGGAAGACAGACCGAGAAGGGAGGTGAAGTTGCTGCTTGAAACTGAGGAGGTGGAGGCTGCTGATGCCAGTGTGGAAGGGTCGAGAGAGCGTGGCAAGGCGGGCCAAGCTGCTGCCCAGATCTTGTCGAGCGCGTACGTGTCGGCAATCTCGAGGACGAGATCCATCTTGAAGATGAAATGTGGCGTCGGTGGGAGAGTGGTTGCAATCCTTTGGCTTTCTTGGGGCGGGAATTCTAGAACGCCGCTGTATCAAGGCAATGGGAGCGGGACGTGTTGATGATGCCGCTCAAATGAGATAGTGGGAGCGAGGCGCCGATGAGAGATCCGATCCGAACGAATGGATGATGAAGCCGTCGAGCGATCGAATGCGTGTGCAGAGAGTAAGAGAGAGCTTTTGCGAGGACGAGCCTATATTCGGCGCCACCAGATCGGGGCCGTAAAACCAATGTCGTGAGATGGATCTGAAGGTGTGGCAAGGACGTGTCTATGAGACGTCAGACGAACAAATATATCGACCAAAGAGGAGGTGTGATGACGGTGTCACAGGTGGAGAGGTATCGCTAATCAAGGAGCGGCGCCGTCGACAAGTAGGGGAAAAGAAGGATGTGTGGTTGGAAGGTGGTGAGTAGAGAAGGTCGGAAGGCTAAGAGGATAAACCTTGGAAACAACCAGCAGCGCCAACGTTAAAGCCACGCCAGACCAGAAGCCAGCCAGACTCGCCAAAAAAAAAAGAAAAGGTTTCGACGGTGGCGCGAAAGCCGAACGCAACGCACCGCACCGCAACGCACTCAGCACTCTCTCGAGCGAGACACATGCTCGACAAGCACGAGGTGCTGTTGCTGCTGCTGCTTGAGCTTTGCTTGCGCCTCGTCCGACTCCTACCATTAGCAGGCTCAGGATTCAGGCTGCCAAGCAAGTCATGATGCAGCTCAGATGGCCTGACTTGTCACGCTTTGCGTCGACATGCGCTGCGTTGTCACCTGTCTTTTTTACGTTGCGTCGCTGGTGCGTCGTGGACTTACAGCCACTGCAAAGCCTTCATAGTGAGATGCATTGCCACGGAACGACTTTGCCGGACGACAATATCAAGCGCTTGACTCTCTCGTATGGTGTGATGGGCTGCCGTGCTGTGCCGTGTCGCGCTGTAAGGAGATGCAACGACCGACCGAATGCCAGACGCGCTCTTCAAGCACGACTGCAGGCGAGAGATCTTCTTTGCTTCCAACCCACACCGAAATGAAAAGGCGTAGAAAAGAATCAGGCCCTATCTACCACCACGGCGGATCGTCAGAGGACGCGGCGCCCACAGCCAAAATCTGGTGATTCTGGTCGTTTCATCTCTCTCTATCTTTTCGAACTGAGTTCAATTTTCTCGATTTCAGTTGAAATAAACTTCACGTCCAAACAGAGCGCGAGTTTTCAATTTTGCATCCGAGCGACTCTGACCCTGCGCCTCATCTGAGCACGCGCTCGTCGCCACGCACAGGGTCTGCAAGCTTCTTTCCCCCACCTCACCTGGAAGATTTTCAAAACACCTCTCGCCTCTCCCAATTTGCCCCAAGAAACCTTGTTTTTGCGAGAAATTCGTCGAGGAGTGATGTGTCTTGAACACACGAAATGATCGTCGCCCCGACTTTGAAAATTATCAATTTCGAGCGCGTGTTTGCCGTCTTCGCACTACAACTCGGCTTTCCCTAAGCAGGAGCAGTGGGTGCAGAATTTGCATCGCCGAAATGTGCTGCTTGACCAACTCCAGTTTCGGCTTTCCCTTCTCTCGAAAAGACGCAACTCAAGTGTTGGCCTGTGCATCGCAGGCATCCGGCTTTGTACCAACAAAGACCGCGCAATTCGCCGAAACGAAAGAGAAGGCCCATAATCGTCTTTCTGTCATCCGAACGGTCGAGAGAGTCATGTCGAGCACAGGCAGTTCTTAATGACGATCGAGAATAGCAGTATAGACACACGGGCGCGCAAGATGGAGTGGCTCCGAGCCCGAATTCGATGCCAAAGATGAACGCCGTCGACGGCATTCGACTCACGGTAAGCGTGCGTCGCAAGACAGAAGCCGGGCAGTGAAAAAGCGTTGGCCGAGATGAGAAATGGCGAAATCTGATAAAGGTCGAGCATCTGCCGGCGGCAATAACGCGAATTGTATCTCCCGATTGTTTCAAATCGGGTCGTATGGAAGAACTGGACTCCGAGATCTTCGTTCTCCACTTCTTCTTGAGCAGCCTCAGGGTCCTTCGTTCCATCTTGCTGATCTTCGGAATCACCAACGTCCGCCTCGTCTACCAACACCTCTAACTCCCCCTTGCCCCGACATGCCGCACTCTCACCACTCTCACAGCGGTCAATTCTGCTCTCACGCGAGAGACTCCCTCGCTTCCGTCCTGCAACAAGCCCACGATCTCGGTTTCACCCACTTCCACCTCAGCGAGCATGTCCCACGTGCAAACTTCACCGAGCTCTATCCCGAGGAAGTATCGGCGAACATCACCCCCGCTGCGCTCCGCACCACATTCAGCGCATACTTGAAGGAAGCGAGACGCTTGCAAGCGGAGTACACGAACAAGGGTCTGCACGTGTTGGTCGGGTGCGAGACGGAAAACATCACCAGCCCCGGAACGTTGGACTACCTTACCGAGGTGTTGGGAAGCACACCAGAGACCAAGCCGGAGATGATCGGCAAAGGGGTGGTGGACTACATCGTCGGATCGTTGCATCACACACATTCTATCCCCATCGACTTTGACCGCGAAACGTTCGACAGGTCCGTCTCCAGTTTCTCTTCCTCTTCCACCCACGCTGCGCATCTGCAACTCATCGACCAGTACCTCGACGATCAACTCGAAGTGCTTCATCGCCTCAAACCCGAGGTCATCGGCCACTTTGACCTCTTTCGCCTCTTCACACCTTCATTGAAGATTCGAGGCGAGAAGCAGATCTGGAGCAAGGTGGAGCGAAACGTACGCTATGCCGTCGAATACGGTGCACTGTTCGAATGCAACGCTGCGTCTTTCAGGAAAGGGTGGAATACCTCGTATCCTGCAAGAGAGGTGTTGGATCTGATTCAGAGCTTGCAAGGTCGACTTTGTCTATCCGACGATTCGCACGGTGTCCATGCGGTCGGGTTGAACTATCTCAGACTGAAGGAGTATCTCATCGACGCCGGTGTCGACACCATCTGGTATCTCGAGAAGGACGCATCACAATCACCTGCCGGCCAAGACAAGGACGGCCACACGAGGCCGACCCACTTCGCCCGCGGAACAGTCGCCAAGCCGATGGGACCAGAATGGAAAACACATCCCTTCTGGACCACCTTTACCGCCTCTCTCGAGTCTCAGTCATAATCACAGACCCTCTCTCCCTTACCCTGCACATTCGTCAGATACCCCCGTTGAACCCACCTCAACACTCTCGCACACCAGCCTTTTCAGCACAGAGCTTTCTTCTGATTTACAATGCATTGCATCAAACAAATATCACACCATCACTTTCGTCCACCGGCCTTCCCTTTTCTCGGCTGAGGCAGCGTAAACGGCGTCTTGAGCACCATCCTCTTCTCGCCGCCGACCACCGAGCTGGTGCAACCCAAGGTCCTGAACAACTCCCGCAACGTGGCGGGGGGGATGTTGCAGTTGCGGGCCAGCTTGTCGTGGTCCACCGAGAAATTGTCCAGATGCAACGCGAGCGCACACATGTACGCCAGCACCTTGGTCTGGTGGAACGCTGACATGACGGCACGATCCGAGTTGGCCGGCGTCTCGGTGAACGTGGTGAGGATGGCCTTGACGATTCGCTTGTTGGCGTCTTCGCCGTCGAGCTTGAGACTGCTGATGAGTTTGCCCTTTTGGGAGACGGATTTGGGTCGGCTCTGGATGTACCATAGCAGAGACATGTAGTAGGCGATGCGCACCTTGTCCTTGGCGTCCTCCTTGTCCTCGGTGGCGCCGAGAGCTGGCATCATCATGACATCGTCATCACCAGCATTGCCACCAGTGGCAGCCTCGACAGCTTCGTCGTCGTCGTCATCGTCGTCGAAAGTGGTGTGCTTCTTTCCAGCGCTTGCACCCGAAAGATGCGAACTGCGCTGCAAGTTGTCCACCAACCGCGACCAGATCCAAGCGGGAAACTCCTTCGAATAAGGCACGAGCTCCTTGAGCGCCTCGTGATCGCCCACGCTGTCGATGAGCTTCTGTATCGGCAGCGACTTGAAGATGTCCGAGGGGATCAGATCCGTGATGCGATAAGCTTCGGCGGGGTGCTTGGCGTCCAGGTTGGCGGGAGGCATGGGTCGAGATGAAGTGGAGGAAGCGAGCACCTCGTCCAACGACGGAAGCGATGCGAGGTTGTCCTGGATGCCTCCGGTAAAGTCGTCGAGAATCACTTCCATGTTGGCGGTGTCGACCTTCATACGGTCCTGGTTTCGAGCGTTGGCCTTCTGCTTGCGGTTACCGAACGCATCTCCGAGGGCCCTTCGTGCGGCTGTCATCGCTCCGTAGTCGGCGAACGTGCGCGTACTCGAGATGGAAGAGAGCGAGCTGTTGGCCTTGATAGATCTTGCCACCTGGAACGTGGGCACAGCTCGGAGCGTCACCGAGCTGCTCGACGGGTCGTACACGCCGACCATGTATTCGCCCGTGTATCCTCGAACTTCGGAGCTGCTGCCAAATTCGAAGTTGTTGCCGACGTACGCCATCGTGTCGGTCTCGCCTGCAAGCAAGAGCCTTTCATCGACGTGGTTGAAGGATGCGCCAGTCTCGTCGGGCAGACCGTCGGCGCGGTAGAGGCTGAATTTGGTAGACGGAGCGGGCTTGTAGTCGGCGAACGAAGCGAACGCTGCACCGGACTTGCTCAACTCCTTGAAACCTGCTTTGGATGCATCGATCTTGAGCGTGGCTTGACCCTTTCCAGCTTTGCTCTTGGATTTCGACGTGGACGCAGACGACGTGGCTGCTACATCCGACGAAGAAGAAGCCTTCTTGGACTTCTTTGGCGAGGCGGAAGCGTCCGAGGGCTTGGACTTCCTCTTGGCATCCTTGGCAGGAGAATCTGCTTTTGCCATCCTTGACCTGACTGCCGCTGATGGCGCCTGTCGGGGCTGTTTGTTGACGATGAGGGAGATAGTTGTGCGGAGGGAGTGGTTCGGCAAGAGCAACACAAGCAAGAGCAACGAGCGAGTTTGGTCAAAAATTCCACTTTTGCCAATTTTTCTTGACAGAGCTGCACGCCCTAACCAAAAAATTGAGCTCTTCGCATAGCTTGACTATAAATCATGACATAAGCATTTCAAACCATTCAGTCTAACATCAGAATCTTTTTTACTCGCCATCATGCAATCGTATCAAGGCTGGACGATGCTGCGCGATAGCCTAGCAACTGAGACGCTTGAAAATGGGCGAACAACGTTCAAGGTGAGCATCAAGATCGACAAAGGTACAGATCAAGCAGCGAGGATGGGATTCGGGGCAGCTGAGGGGGTCATCTCGCACTCAGTGAGGGTCTTGCGGCTTGGTTGTTCCCTGGATGGGTCTCCCCTTAGATGGACGTGGCGTCTCGCCTGTTGCTCCGTAGGGAAGCCGAAGCGCAGATCCTTCCACTTTAGCGCCAACATCAACAGATCATCTGCGTCTCGTACAACATCATGACTTCTGAAGGCGATAACCACTGCTAGAAGCATCAAGCCTCGTTCTCTGAGGTCGTGATCCCGGGACGCCGGTCCCGATCCAACAAACAGAGTTGTTTCGCTGAGTTTTTCCGTTGCCAGATGACCTGCATCGTACCGTTCTTCCTGCCTTGGATTGGCCGATGATTTGCGCGCGATCTCTCCGTTTAGTTGTCTCGTCCTGGCAGTGCTATGCTAGCCGGTCGAAGTCGATCGCGTTCGCTTTCGAGATGTCCCGCTCAATCACGTCGGTCGAAGCCATGTGAATCTGCTGACGTTCTGCTCACCCGTTGACTCGACCGCTACAGCTTCGATCCAAACTTGATTGGTGGCAACACGGCTGCAGCGTAAGGCCATGGGGTGCATAAACAGGTCCCGACAGAGCAAAGTGAGACATTGCTCTGCTGATCGCTCATCGTGCATGCTTTGCCAATCCTTCGGGAAGTCTTCGCTACCGCCACCCTTGTTGGCAAGGAAAACTGCGGCTCGGCGTGGCATCAGCAAACCTACTCTCTTTCCTTTGAAGTGATTTTCCGCCTGATTGCTTTTCAAACTCCGCAGATCCGTTCCTGCCCGTTCCTTTCCCCGTGGACCTCAGCAACGTGTCGTGATTAGTCCAGACAGTGACTCCATGTGATTCGGCAGCTAATGTACCCCGTAGTGTGCAGCAGAAGTCGGGCTGCGCGTCGTGCAATCGGTTGTCAGGCACTCTTTTCCTGACACGGGAAGCGTGAGAGTCGTGATCGTCCCATTTCCTCTCGGCCAAGTCGTCGTCGCTTAGCAAGAGAACCGAGGTCCTCAGGAACAACGTACGATTGGGTACCAAGCCGTGCATCCCGAGATGCATGGAGCTTCTTCCGCTGCTTTTCGTGGCTGCGAGATGAGCAGGCGGATTCGCACTATCCCCGGATGATATTCCCTGCGGCAGAGCCCTCGCATTGTACGTCTTCGCCGAAGCCTCCTTGCTTGCTCTCCTTGCGCGGTTATCAGCATCCTCGTCCTTATCCTTCTTCTCTCGGCAATTGCTTTCTTCGCCCAGTCTGAACATGTACATATACTCGCAGCCCTCTGAGGAACAATAGCTTGTGCTATCCCCACTTCGACCTTTATCTTCGCACCATTCCTTCTCAACGCAGAACCCTGCTCTGCACCCGGCACGATTCGCCAGAAGCGTAGAACTCACGATGCGCGTCGCACTCTCCACAGCATCCTTCGTGCTGCTTGCAGCTGCAGCTACCTACACATCAGCGAGCCCGTTGAAGAAGCGTCAGGCTTTCCAGCCAGCAGCGTTCGACACGTGGGTCTGGCAGGACGTGAGCGGCACCCAATGTGCCGATGGAAGCTCGACCGGCATTGCCTACAACGCGCACGCCGACTACAACACCAAAGACCTCCTCATCTGGTTCGACTCGGGAGGAGCGTGTAGAGATGCCAACACGTGCTTCTACAACCCCACCGCGTGGAATCTCAACGGCTACACCAACTACACGTTCCAGAACTACGCGAGGCCAGCTCTGGAATCGCAGATCCTCATGACCACACGCGATCCTTCCAGGAACAACCCGTGGGCCAACTCTCACATGCTCTTCGTACCCTACTGCACGGGTGACATTCACGGTGGGAACAACGTCATCACGTACCCGAACGCCCCGCGCCCGATCTACCACAAGGGCTACACCAATTTCCAAAGCATCGTTTCACTGGCTTCGAGCTCGGTTCCTTGGATTGAAAACATTTACGTTGCAGGAAGCAGCGCTGGTTGCTATGGCGCCGTGATCAACTACGTCGCTGTCCGACAGGCTTGGCCGTCCGCAACGGTGCATCTCGTCGCCGACTCGTGTGAGGGCGTCCCCGGATTCCTCGACGCCATACCGAGCTGGAACCTGTATCAACCTTCAGGAAACAGCTGTCCGGATTGCGTCCAGGGCCAGTTCAACTCGATCGTTCCCGCTCTCGCACAGGCCAACCCGCGCAGCAGATTCGCGGCCATCTCGTACACCGTCGACGACTTCCTCCCTTACTACATGGGTACCTCTTTGTCGGATTTCGCCGCCCTCATCAAGCAGTACTTCATCAACATCACCAACACCGCAGGTAACATGGCAAAAACCTTCTCCGTCAGCGGACAAGCTCACGGTGTCTTCATTCGTGATACACCTGGTTCGTCGACGGATAGTGCACTAGCAGCTTGGCTCGCAAGCATGAAGAACCTCGGTTCTAATTTCACGTCTCAGTCGGTGTAAGCGATTGGGCAGGATATGATCCATTATACCAACGGCTTTGTACACATAGACTATTATACCACTGGCATTGTCCATATAGACTTTTAGAGGGACGCAATTATCAGCACAATTGATTATCGTTTGCGCACGTCAAGCAAAGGTGCTTTGCTGTCAAATCTTCCATCGTCAGGTGTCTGAATGAATCTTGATGGCTGAGCTGTTGCGTGCCTGTTGGGATGCAACCGTGGTGGAGACGTTTCTTCATTGCCCCGCGGATATGGCTGGACGGGTCCAAAGCCGGGAGCAGTGTCTAGACTGTCCTCGATCAAGGTAAGGATGTTCAACGCAGTCGACCACACCATCAGGACAAGCTTTGCTCGGACCACTTGAATAACGTAGACCTCAGCCTCTCTGATGCGTATCTGACGCCCATGTGAGAGGAAGCTCGCTTCGGGGTGTCAAGGCTTCTCCATATGCGAACCTAGGATGATGAGGGGGCGGCCTCGGTTCTCGCGAACAATTCCGACGTTCCTTAGAACGTGTTCTGTAGCAGAGCCTTTGATCCACCTGTTCTATCGAGTCTGGCGAGAGACGGTGAGGCTAAGATCACTGACGATAAGTAGAGGAAAGAGTCTAGTTCTTGCCACGGTAGCCGGTCCAGCGCTTTCATCCGTGGTACTTCACCGACTCATCCATTCAGCCTCAAACGTACGTGTTTGAACCTTCTACACTCCTCGGCATATGGTGTTCCGCTTCATTTCTGACACTCCTATGGCTACGGATTGACGTAAAAGGTCGGAAGGTACGCTTCGATCGACTTCTTGGACTTTGAAGTTAGGCATCAAGATGCCATGGTCTTCTTGCCGCCCAAGCAGACGCGTTCGTTAAGCTCTGAATGTTGCTCTCAATTGCTCAGCGAGCTGTCTGCATTTGTGTATCGATTCGAGATGGTGAATGACTCGATACTTCATGCCAAGATGTGGCAGAGTCAGAGGGTCAGTCAAGCAATCGATGGTGATCCAGTCACATCGCCGTTGACGACGTCAAACAGGACATCGGGCTGATCGGGGATCAATCGGCGATCATCTGTCGGTAGCTGAGATCTCAGTGCCGCATTCTCATCCGCCATGCTAATCATTATGTTTGGTGAGAACCTGTCGTACTTCCTCGGTACGGTGATCGCTTTCGATCACCACGACCCGAGTCGATGTTCTCACAAGCTTAGATCTGTGCGTCATGAGGATCCTGCGGAGAAGGATTCCCCAAAATCGTGCATATCAAACCATCCGTCACCGTTCCTGAAAGGGGCGCTCGCTCACGGCGGTGGGGCAACCACTGTAGCAACGCTGATGTGAGCAGGCAAAAGCGATCCAGCGAACGAGCACATTTCGGGGTAAAGTGGTAGTTGCGTACCTCCTTGGTCTTGGCAGGTGTTGACATCGTGTCGCGTAGATCAGAAAAATCACTCTGAGCCGCTTGGCTTGAAGATCTCTTGCAGGGCTTTGCAGCATAGCTCGTACTGCATGCAGTGCTCCCCTCGTTTTTCTTGGCTACATGCAGCATTGTCGAGCCTGCTCGGCGAATACCTCTCCGCCCTCGAGTACACGTCTGCTAAGCGAATACGCTTCTGACGAGTTCATCGTTCGCCGAGCAGACTGGCTTAAGGTACAACCCCGAAGAGAGTCTGCCAACTCTATACCAACGCGCCATCTTTGGCGTGCCATAACAGTTCGCCTCGATACATATGCGGCTCTGCACAGCATTCACACTGACTGCAGCGAGGCCGCTTGCTGCATGGGCGGTGCCCTACAGGGACAAGCAGAGGGACAGCGTTAAAAAAGGCTGGAACCGTCGAAGCTGTGCCTGTACCGCGTAGAGTGAGCTGCGGAGCTCGAAACGGCTTGAAAAGCAGCGTCGGGGCGCGAAAAGTTGATGAGCACCAAAAAACTCAAACCTTGCTCTAACGAGAACGATCCCAGAGGCACGAGCTCATGATCCGCCGAGCGATCTACTCCCGTTCACGACGTAGACGCAACATCGAGATTGACGCTGTAGCGGATAGATTGCAAGTATCGGACAGATCACAAGTCGTTGTTGAAACAATTCCGGCGTGATGGGAACGGCGGCAGGGTTTGGCCGAGTGGTGGCATTCGATGTCTCGCACTCCAACACTGACAGGTCTCAGGTCATTTCCAGAAGTGCATAGAGAAACATCAGACATCAGACATCGTTTCAATGCCGATAAAGGTACTGCAGCAGATGTCTCGGCGTTCGCATGTCTGGCGCTTGCTCTTTCGTTTCAATCGCCTGCAGACGCAGCCAAAGAGACTCGAGCGATCAAGATGTTGCCGTCTGGGACTTTGGGATAGGAGATCGATTCGGCCTCTGGCGCAAGCGACTCTTTTTGCTCATACCTGCGAGAAAGGCTGTCAGCGTGCAAAATCCTCCTCGGTCAAGCCCTCTAGAGTGGCTCGGGTCTTCCGGCTTCGGTGCTTATTGTCAACACTGACACGGCTGATCTTTGCACTAAGTTATAGAGCAGATCAGTGTGCCGATGCGATCATATTAATAATACGCTCGTTAGCTGATCTCCAAGTTCAATTGCTAGTTCGATTCATGTTCTCGACCCTGTCCCACCTTAGCGAAGGGTCTCCTGCAAGCCAGGCTCGTGTAAGAGAAACACAGCCCCATCCCGATCCGACGAAGAGGGTGACCCGCGAGATTTGGGCGTCGTCGGTGCGTCAAAGTCTAAAATTCAATAGAACATGTGCCTTGGCGCTCACTGAATTCATGCTGAGCGCTGGCATAGCCGCCCGGCAATTCGTCTGCATCTGTAGAAGATTTCGTGCCTAAAAAGATAGGCTTGAGCCGAGAGGTGGGCGTAACCGAAGAACTCGAGCGGACTCCATTTCGACCATCAATCGAACCTCAACTCTCTCTCCAGTTTGTAGTCAATTGATCGACTTGATTACACTGGTTCATGCTGGAAAGGTAGTCGGCCTGATGTATCCGCTTAGGGCGTCACTTGACTCGGCGAACGGTACCGAGGCATGGCTGAGTCGAGATAGGCTAAGCTTGCTCGAGATCTTTGCCTAAGCGAACGAGCCTAGCGTTCTGGAAAGCTGCAGCGAGCAACAGCTGACGGGGATCCATTCTGTGATATCCGCGCCGGAGACGCCAATGCCTGCTTTGATCGTCTCCGCAGCCGGACTCAGCCCTCCGTGAGCGTCCGGTTTTTGTAATTTGGCCAAGATCTTCGTATTTGTTGCAGAGTCGTGATCAGGTAAATCTCTTTGGTCACGGATACTCAGCGGGAGAGGCTAGGTGATTGCCGATGCCCAGCTGTAGCGCATCTTCGCATCGAGAATAGTCGAAATCGATCTGCCGCTTTGTCAGAATCCCGTCGGATACAGTCGTCTCTGGAACTACGTTAGCGATAGAGCCATTGCGGCGACGAAGGAAGATTTACTGCAATTGAAGGACACGAAGGTGGATGTGCAAGGAGACAGGCCGAGCCAAGATGGGAACGGCATCGCGTATAGATGCACGTCTATGAATGCGTACCGACAGATGTCTCACATTGCCGCTTAGTTCGAACGCCAAGCTCAAGCCGAAGCCAGGCTAGTGGAGCCGATCTTGCCCCGTGTGTCGCGCGCGCGCCTGCCTCTCTCTCTCTTTGCCTCTCGTCACCGCAAGATAGTGTCCTCCACCATCCTGTGAGTGCGAGGTCATATCGACACCCGATAGGCATTGATGCCACCTCAGAAAGCTCGCTTGTGACCGCGTTCAAATCGAGGGTCTCGACGATCCACTTCAGCCTGAACAAGGCGCGAAAGGCAACAAAGGCAAGCCACGAATCGCGCTTGCTGCTGACAGGGCTTCGAAATGTTTCATGCCTGCTGCTGTACACCTCTTCAAGCCACCACATCGCTATCAATTTGACCTTGGTTGTCATATTGTCGTGTTTGCCCGAGCCTGAGTTGATGCTGATTGTTGCGGATGGCCGCCTAGGTGCCATCGAGACTTCCTCAATCATGAATGATACCAATTTGTCCGCTCAGCAAAGTACAAGCTTGCGCCCCAGCTGCCATTGGGTCTGAGTTGGCTCCCCGTCCCGATTACATGGAGTACGGCATATCCACCGCGTTGCATGAGTTCGCTTCTTCTGGGACTGCAGCCAGAAGGGTCTCAGCCGCGCTCACGCACATGCACTTTGTGCGCTTCCTTGCATGTCCTCCCATCTTCGACGTCTTCCGTTCGCTGACAGCCTGCTCCACGTCTGATACATGGAGCACTCGGTCAACGGAAGCGGCCGACGTATTATGTAAAGAGGAGAAACAGAAGCTCTCAGAGCAGCGGTGAAGGGAAAAACGTGTCCCATCTGAGACACACCATATCCAGGCGAAACCTGATCTTGCGTATGGCCGTCAATCGTGCGACGGCACTCGAGATCAATCGGCGTCCGCTTTGCCCCTTGCTGTCGGTTTGTCTCGCGTGTGTTCGTTGGAGCTGTCAACCCTGACCGCTTTGCTTTTGACCTCCCTAGCCGCCTGGCTTCCGCAATTAGCCGCCACCAAGTCTCCTTTGTATCGTTCGGGTTTCGGTACAAGGTCCAGCTGGGCTCAATCGTGTGATTCTCCTCTACAATTTGAACGCCATGCTCATCTCAACTTTGCCCCGCAGCAAGTGAAATGCCAAAGAGACCTTTTCTTTCGCCGGCACGGCCAACCTCGCCAGAATTCGGGCTCGATTGCGCGACTCGCCGAGTATATGTCTCGCTCCCGCATACGCGGTCGCAAGACGGTGCTGACATTCATCCTGACAGTGTTTCCGCCCGAAGACTAGCCGCAGTGCACGTAATGCTCCCGTCGGTCTTGGCTGTCCACGATGCGAACGATCGCCGACATAAAGTCCGAACGATCGACTAATGTCGAGCAACATGCGCCTCGAGCTGGGAAGTCAATCCCGAATGTCGATCGTGTCGCTCATTTTAGCTCGCAAAATCCTATGGCGCTCGACGCCGCTACGTAGACCGATCCGGCCAGACGGTAGCACGAAAATGGAACGAGCCAAATGCAGAATGCAGAGCGAAAATCAGAAAAAAGTGCTCGCCCTCTGGTAGCGAATCAGCAGGGGCTTTGCATTCCCAATCTGTACCTGAGCGGCGCTGCACTGTCCATCTTTTCTGTGATTTCTCATATTCTGCCCTTGCTGAGGATTATTGACAGTGTGACAGTCCCGAAACTCTTGAGCAGACGCGCTACGTGCCGTAAGCCTCATCATTTCAGTATTCCGCATTTCGCCATTTTAGGCTTTTTTTGTGCGCCGTTCTGAAATTCAGAATTTTTTTCAGCACCCGATGCAGATTTTTTTTTGATGCTCCGATCTAGGATAAAGGCAGTGAGGGCTAGAAGTACTCGACCTGATTCAACAGGCGAAACGAGCGAAGTGAAAGAAGAATAAATGAATAAAAAGTATTTGGGACATCATTTCGCTGAGGAGGCGACCTTTTTTCGGTTTTTTCAGCTGATGTGTGTCATTCATTCGGCTGTATCCGTCCTCGCTACAGATTGGCATTCACCCGGTTCAGCAGCTGTGGTCATGTCATACGATCGACAGGACAAGCCCGCGACTGATCTTGTAGCTGTGTAGCATCCTCACCGCCCCTCCTTCGCTCTGCTTTCGGCTTTTCTAGAATCAATGCGGCTGCATACACGGTAGACCCTGTGCTCGGGCAAGTGTGGCCGCGGCGAAACTGACTACAGAGACTAGTTGGAGATACTGTTCGTCAAGCTTCAGCTGCCGCTGCTGCTGCTTGCTGCTGCCGCCGCTGCTTCGAATTATGCGACCATGTCTCACATCTGCTCTTCGCCTGGCTTCCACGCCAACGGCTTCTTTGGCATGTCTTGCTTTCCTGCCGTCCGCTACCCTGGCTGTGCAGCTCCCCCCTCTCAGGAAGTGGCCGGAAGCAATTCCTGCTGCTGCGCACTTCGTGGAGGTCCATGGTGACCTCTCTCTCCATCCGTCTTCTCGTCTGCCCCTCTGTTCCCTTGAAGCGTACCTCGTCCCTTCCATGCCCGGATGTGGCTTCCATCTCGGACGCATACAGTCGCGCATACAGTCGCCCTGCTGCATTCCCCTTGACGACGCTGCCGTCATCATCGCCGTCGTTGCTGCTGCTGCTGTAGCACTTCTTCGAGCGTGGGCGCCCTCGCTGTCGTCCTGATCCGGATGATCTGCTGCTCCACCAGCGGCTGCATTCTTGCCTCTGCGTCCTGTTCCGCCTCGCTCTCGATTGCACCCTTCTCTTGCTGATCGACACCGCCTGCATCCTTGCTTCCTGTCTGTCCTTCGTTCCCCACCTCGATTCCCAATCCGTCGATCCATCCCCTCATCGCGCAGCGCTTCATCCTCTGCAGCTCACTCGCAGATCCACGCGGAGCTTCGATTGCAAGTCGGCGTCATTTACCTCTTCCGGGAGATCAACCTCACCAAGCCGACACCGTACACCTGGCCGACGCATCCATTCCTTCCATCTCCGAGCGCAGGACGCCTCAGGTTCCACCTCATACAGCGGTCCAGGAGGTGTGGTATGCTGACGACGGGCAGCGATTCGCCTGCTTCTCCGCAGTGTCTCTCTTGCTTCTGCGCCGGTTCCAGTCTCGCCTGTCATTCTCTCCTTCCGTTACTGCCTCCAAGACAGCAGCGTGCATCTGAATCACCCGCCCTGCTTTGTACTCCTCCGGTGTCTTATCTAGCGGTGTCTCTCCTGCGGTTTCTGTTTCCCATCCCCCCCTTTCTTGACTCACCCTACAATTCGGTCGTTCCTTACTTTGCTACCACCACCTTCATACTTGTCTCAGCTTGACGTCCCCGCTCATTCATTCGACGTTTTCAACCCAGTGAGCACATCACTGTGACCTCACCTAGCACCTCCCGTCGTCGGGCACCCTCCAGCGCGACAAAATAGATATTATCACCTAGAGTCTGATACATTCACCATGTCGGGAGCTGCTTCCACCAACCCTGCTCTAAGCTTCAGCCCGGCCGGTCCTTCGAGCTTCCAATCTCCTGACCCATCCTCGAGCTCGGCGGGCTATACAACCACTTCTGTCGGCGGCTTCCCTGCTAGCTTCGGTCGAGTCAAGCCCGAGACTTCGACATACGGCTACGACGAACAAGCGCCGCGTTCTCAACAGCACGGCAACTACACGCACGACCTCGGCGGCGCCGGCACTTTGGCTCAGACCCAGGCTCTTGGCGGATTTCACCCAACCACGTCGCAGCACTATGCTGGACAGGGCCACTTTGGAGCACACGTACGACACCAATCGCTCAACTCGGGCGTAAGTCAGCTTGCGCTTGGCGGTTCCAGCGATGCCTACTCGTTTGGCGACGTCAACGCGAACCAATACAACAACTACAACTTGGTCCCAGCTCAGAGGTCACCTTCTGGGCGTTCGTCGGGCCTTGTTTCCGAAACCTCGCCAACGCGAAGCCGCTTCGCTTCTGCCGGCTACAATGACCCTCGCACCATTGTCAATCGACCACCGCCTCGGCCCGTCGGTCTGGGCGTCTCTTTGGCATCCGGAAGCAGCGATGAGTCGGCCCCCAAGATCGAGAGTGGTTCACCCAGATCGCTGAAGCGTTCGGCTGACCCGATGGAGGAGCTCCGGGGCTCTTCCGACCACTCGCAGCTACGACGTCCCGCGTCGTTCCCTGTTCTGGGCACCGGCGCTGCCAACGTGTACGGTCGCCCGATGGGTCAAGATGCCCGAAGTGCACAGAGCGTTGGACGCCGCACTGGTCGCGGTGGAATGGGCGTACCTGGTCAGCTGACGCCGGGTCGCTCAAACGTCGTGCTCCCTGGGCTCGGCGCTGGCTTCTACGATGCCGATGACCGTCGCGAGTCGCTCAACTCCAACACGACTCTGCAATCACCGCTCAGCGGTCACAACGGATCTGGGTCGTCCGACGAGCTGGGTTTGGGCGGTGGGCTCCCGCAGCTCATGCGCGCCACGCAGATTCAAGGATCGATCACACCGGCGCCCATGGTAGTACCGAACGATCCCATGTACAGCCCACCCGGCGGCAGCGGCGGAGGTGCTCCGCGCGCCAAGCTCGAGCTGCACGGCAACCTCACCGAGATGGCAGTGGGCTGGTCGCACGACGAATGGCGCAGCGGCCGTCGACTGGTACAGTTCTGGAGGCGTCAGGAAGGCACGACGATCCATGCCACCTTCCGACCCATCCTGCCTTCGCAGTACGTGCCCAACAGCATCGTCATCTCGTGCATCTTCCGCGAGGACAAGAACGAGTGCTTTGTCACTTCGGTAGACACCATCTACCTGCTCGAAGCGCTGGTCGCCAGCCGCTTCACGGTAGAGGAGAAGAACCGCATCCGACGAAACCTGGAGGGTTTCCGTCCGATCACGGTCAGCAAGAACAAGCGCGAATGCGAACGTTTCTTCAAGCTGATCATGGGCTTCCCGAACCCGAAGCCACGCAACATCGAAAAGGATGTCAAGGTGTTCCCATGGAAGGTGCTCGCCTCTGCGCTGTGCAAGATCATCGGCAAGTACAGCGCCTCGTACGACGGCGCTCCGCCGGTGCTCGCCGATCTTGGGCCCGATACTCAGTTTGGAGGCGCGATGGGCGCAGGCCCCATGTCGTCGGTGGACCTTTCGGGCGGTCACTACCGCGATGCGAGCTATCCAGGAGCTTCTCCGTCTGTCAAGGACACGCGTCTTCCCGACTCATCGTCGTTCGACTATGATCGTTCCGCCAGCGCTGCAGGCATGTACGGCGTACCGAACACCTATGGTGGAAACGCGTGGAATATGGGCGGCCAGGGGATGGCTTTCAGTGCTCCAGGTGGCACGGGCGGCTACACTGGCCCTACGGGCAACGTTGGGTTTGGCAGCGGGGGTGGCGGTGGATCGCACAGTCACACGCACAGCGCGAGCAGCTACGATGGCTTTGGCGCTGCAGGAAGCTTGGCAGCTGGTTCGGGCGGTGTCAATCTGTACGGAGGACAGCAGACGGACGGCTATGGAGCGACTGCAGCACCTCCAGCCCACAGTCAAGGACAAGGCACCAGCACGCTGGCTGCTGCAGCTGGCGACTACTACTCCTCCGAACGTCGGTGAACCGTTCGCCTGGCAATCTTTCTTTCACTCTGGTCCTGTATTATTTGCTCTGAATTACCTGTATTCTCTAATGGCTACTGTCTCAGATACACATCATAGATGCATTCTTACCGTAAAACTTATTGTGTGGTGAGGTTAGGTTGGGTGTGGTCGCAATGGTGTCTTGTGGGTGCATTGGATTGCCTCGGCGCGGCGAGATGCTGCAGGGCAGATCGACAGCGACCTCGCTTATGGCTTCGGAAGCAGAAGACAGCGGGGAGCACGCGTCTGCGGGTCGGCAGTGTTTCGCGAGGTGTGCTGCTGCGTAGGCCAAAATGGAAGCTTGGGTTGCAGCGATGGATGGTCCGACCGTGAACTAGGTTTAATTGTTGTATTGATGGCGACAAAAGTTTACAGACTTAGAAGAGTATGCGAGGGTGAGGAACGGGCAAAAGCTGCAAGGCGATACTGGATGGCCTGGGTTGTCCGCGGTAATGCATTTTTAAGCGATGCGCACCGTGCGCTGTCAACTTTTTTTACCCCGCACTGACGCTGGAAACCCGCCTCGGACATACTGCAACACGGAAACCATCGACCGACGTCTACACTACTCCAACATCATTACCACAGCTATCGTTGATACGATTCATCTCAGAGCCAATCCAATCATGTCATCAGCTCCGTTCACGAACCCTTTCGACAGCGCCGGCTTCACCTCTTCGCACGTCTCCGTCCCTGCACCCACCAACGATCCCGACGTCTCGGTATCGATCTTCTACCGTCACTTCAAACCATCACCTTCGTCATCCACCGCTCGACCACTTCTACTGCTGCATGGATATCCACAGACGCACGTGATATGGTCGGACGTAGCACCGCTGCTCGCAGCCACTGGCAAATGGGAGATCGTCATCCCGGACAATCGTGGAGTCGGTAAAAGCTCTGCGCCGCCACCCAAGAGCGATGGTGTCAAGTACTCCAGATACTCCAAACGAGAGATGGCGAGGGATATGATCGAGCTGATGCAGAGCTTGGGTCATGACAAGTTCTGGGTGGTTGCGCACGATCGTGGTGCGAGGGTGGCTCATAGGTTGGGATTGGATTGGCCGGAAAAGTTGAACAAGCTGATCATGTTGGATATTGCCCCGACTGTGAGTTGTGTCCAACCCGTTCACTCTCACTGCATCGCTCCTTTTCACTGACTTGCAGCTTCATTCTGGATGGTGATGCAGCTGGACATGTATCAAACAACCGACTACCGATTCGCGACCTACTACTACCACTGGTTCTTCCTCCTCCAACCCACCATCGCCGAGACGTTCATCTCCTCTAACCCTTCCGTCTACCTCTCCTCTGGAATCCGTTACGCCACATCTCCCCCCTGCTCCACCACCGTGTCCGACTGGAGAACGTCCGAGTACCTCGCGAACCTCTCCCAACCAGCCTCAGTCTTGGCAATGTGCGAAGACTATCGTGCCAGCGCACCGCTCAACGCACCGGATCTGGAGCTGGACCGACAAGATAGGGAGAGGGGCAGGAAGATTCGGTGTGAGGTGGCGGTGTTGTGGGGGAAAAAGGGTGTGATCGAGATGATGTACGGTGGGGCGGTGGACATGTGGAAGAAGTGTGTGGAGGGCGGGAAGGTGGAAGGGAAGGGTGTGGATTGTGGACATTTTGTTCCCGAGGAGGCGCCACAGGTGGTGTTGGAGGAGATTGAGAGGTTCTTTAGCTGATCAAATGGTACCGACAGAGAGAGCGAGAGACAAACGTACAGCCATCTCAGATATGGAGACGTAGGACTAGCAACTTGTTTGTAAGCATTAAAGGTGAAAGATCGCAACGTAGAATTGCGATGCGAGTATGATCATGACCAGAGCAATCGTTTGTAAGAACGCTTGCTTCCTATGGCTGATCTCGCGGACGACAGGTACGAGAAGGCGATGCGACCGATCTGGTGCGGAATGTGCGTCGCCATGGATGCTGAAGCTTGGCCTCGACGAGCACGTGCTGATTGGCTATCTCACGTGTCACGGCACGAAGCCAAGCCCATCATTTGTCGTGCGCCTGTCTGATTATGTGGCTGGGCGCGTTTCTGAAAGGACTGAAGGCAGGCAGCAGGCGCTGATCTATCGGGAGCTCCGCTGCAGACACCTCTACCGTCGTCGTTGGTAGCGTTTCGCTGGACGTGTGGGCCACCATCGCGGCCGCTTCGGTCTGCACTGCTATATATACCAGAATCCTTGACCTGATGATGTGATTTTCCATCCTAAGCGCCCGAGCCCTCAATAGTACTCCTGTTGACGCATCACGACAGTGTCATCTCCCCCGGCTTCTTCCTCCCCGCTCCCATTCGCGCCGTAATAGTACCCACCCGCACCATTCGCAGCATCTGCACCGTATCCCATGGCCATCTCCATACCGTATGCATCCGCACCAGCCGCTGCCATTGCCTCTGCCTCGGCCATCTCGGCCTGTTCCTGCACCGTAGCCCACACGGAAGCTTTATACAGAGTGAGCACCAACCCCATCTTGCGTTCGAGCACGCGAAGTTGTGTGAGCAGGTTGGCGTGCGCAGAGGACGACGAGAGGAGCGTGGAGAGCGCCGCGACCTGTGAAGAGACCAAGCGAGGAGGGAAACGAGCAGGTGAGTGAAATGTGAGACTAGGAAGAATGAAAGGAGGATGCAGTTGTGCTTACGCGTCGAATGGTGTCAGCTAGGCGAGCATATTCGCCCAACAGCTCCTGCTCGTGTTCGGAGAGAGAGCGGTGACCGGCGTACGGGTTGATGTAGGGTTTGGGCGCGGTGGGCAGCGCAGCGACCTGGTCGAGGACTTCTTGGATGGTGGCCATTGTTGCAGCGATGTGACAATCGTGAGGGTTGGTAGAGATGGTGGAGATAGTGGTGGTGTTGACGAGCAGAGAAGAGGTTCTTGTGCAAACCAACACTCGAGACGAGAACAAGAAACACTGCTCAAGTGCCGAGTGAGGACGCGTCTCTCCCTGTTGATTTCGCTTTTGGCTCCGATTTCCTAAAAGCGCGTCGAGGAAAGTTGCGAGTCTCACAAAATGGCACAAAATCAAAGTTCCGCGGCTCAAGAAAAAGGCACAGTGGAGGAGCACAAGCCAAATACAGGCGACTTGCTGCAGCTGCGTTCGAGGACCCTTTCTCGCTGCAATGTGATCAACAGCAACCAACGATTGGACCAATACCTTCTCTACCACTACTCTGATCGAACACAGATGTCCCTGAAGCTGACGTAGAGCTTCGCACGCCAGTCTTGACCGGCTGTCATGCTTAATCATGGCTTCCGACGTCTTCTACAACCGTATTCCTTACACACAACATCGCGTACCACCACCTCATGATCTTCTGACAGCATCCGGCTCTTCTGGCACCGCTTCGCCATCCACGCATACTCAGTCGCAACGGTCGGCCGCCTCTACAATTCGCTCAAGAGGCACTCTCACCTTCCCTCCTCTATTCCTCGATCCCGTCGACCAACATGCCGCTCACGACCCCGCATCCTCCAACCAGCCCAACCCCGGATCACAACAACCACCGGGTACCTTCGTCCTCGGGTCCACATTCTACCACCACCCGGAACTCAACGCCCTCGTATCGAACCACCTCATAGATGCGTCCGCCAACGAGCTAGATGGAACGGGACATGCCTTCCTCAGCAGCATCTTTGCAAATCGAGACGGCGGAGCAAACGATGACGATTCGGACGCAGACGAAGCGGGAGGCGGTGCCAATGCAGATGCCGCGCCGGCTGTACCTAGGCCAAAGATCACATCCGAGTTCGTGAGCTTAAACGAGGATCTCGTTCCGGCGTCTCTCGATATGCATGGAGATATGTTACCCGCTGATCAACATCCCTCGTATCCCTTTGGGAACCTTTTCGGTCCACTCGGCGGCATGATTGCGGCAGACAGCGCCATCGTCGGCGGTACACTCTCGGCAAATGCCGCTGCAAACCTCGGCGCCGGTCTAGGGGATACAGCTGCAACCCTAGGATTGGACTTTGGCGGCGGCTTGGACGGTTTCATCAACCTCGGTCAGTCCAGTCACGGTCGCAGAAGTGCAGTCAGCAACGCCTGGAACAGCTTTATCAACAAAGCTTCCCGCTCCAAACTCGTCGGCTCCGCAGGCACCTATACGGATTGGAATGTCGATTCGCATCATCATGGCTCGACTTCCGGGGCGGCGAAGGATGGGGATGCTGCAACGTCACAGGTCGACACGATAAGGTCGGCAAAGAAGCTGGATCTGTCGCCGAATTTGCTTTTCCGGACTACTACATCGACTGTTTTGGCTCCTCCGATGTGGCCATTCCGACGACACGGTCCCGGGTGTACCTCGTATGCGGCGCTGCTGCGGCCAGGCTCCAACATATATGGGAGTGGTCCCGCGAGTCAGGCGGTGGCAGCAACACTGGGTGGATTGCCGGCTTCGTCTAAGATCCTAAAGGAGGTATGGTCCGACTTGGCATTGGAGCAGCTGGTGCCCGCCAACGTTGGTGAAACGTCGGCTGTACGGCATCTTTCCAACGCGGAAGACGACGAAGACGAAGAGGCCGATGCCGCGTCTGGGGAAAGCCGAGGCAAGAAACGTGCTAGAACAGATCCGGATCCGGACAGCATCTTTGCCAAGCGAGTTGCCACCATGGAAGCCGATCCATTGGATCTTCTCGGACCCATCTCACGCGAGATTCGCGGCCAGGCAAGTCGACCCTGGGGAACAGCCACCCAGCCCCTTCCGCACACACAACGTCGCCGTCGCAAACGACGCCACTCGTACTCGGACGAATCAGCGGATTCCTCCGCCGAAGCGGAACACGACGATGCCGAACAAGGTTTCGCACAACGCGATCTGCTCCGCTACTCGTTCGCCCTTCCACCCGCCCAATACAGCTGGACGGAGGAACCGGATGACGAGGAGCAAGAGCACGATGAGCAAGTCGAGTCGACGCTGCACGTCGAACCGGATGGCATCGGGTGGTCTACCGCGAAAAGGATATTTGTGAATGAGGAGAGGGATAGGTTGTTGCCGGAGGTGGCGTCGAGAGCGACGAATGCGGGTGGGTTGGAGGCGTACAGGGTTAGAGGTTTGAGGGCGAATCGTGGCGTGCTGCCGAGACAGGCGTGGAGGTGGGGCGATGGTCCGCTGGACGCGGACGAGGCCGGAGGTGCAGAGGTGAGCTTTGCAACCGAGATGTCGGCCAGTACGTCGCAGAGGACCGATCTGGCGAGGACAGACAACGCAAGACGGGATGGAGGGAACAGCGTCGAAGATTCCGAAGGTGAGGTGCAGTACGACCACGACGACGAGGAAAGCCAAGGGACGTGGGAACAGGCAGACGGGGAAGATCAGGAGTTGCAACGTGCGCTGTTGATGCAGTATCAGCAGGGTAACGGCGACAGTGGTGATGGACAGCACCAGCTAGAGGACGAAGACGATGTGCTGGATGTGGAAGAGGAGGAAGAGGCGCAGGTGGAGTACGATCTGGAGGATGCGCAGTACGACGAAGAAGATGAAGCGCAAGATGATCACGTAGAATCCTTCGACGAGGAGTAGCGAGCAAGAAGGATGCACAGACTCACGTCCCCGCGCACGTTCTCGAACATTCAGGACAGTGTATCGCACTGCATTGCAACCAAGGGATTACCCTCCTGCACAACGATCTCCTTTCAGTGTCCGCCACGGTACGCATGGTACGGACTGGCCTGGTTGACGGGGAACACGAGCGTCTCGGCGATATTCACATGAGCCGGCCTGTTAGCCGCCCAAACGATCTCCTCCGCAATATCCTGCCCAGTCAACGGCTGCAAACCCTGATACACCTTACCCGCTGCATCCTTATCCCCTCTAAACCTGGTCACGCTGAAACTGGTCTCCACCATGCCCGGTTGGATCTCGGTCACTCTGATCGGCGTATCCACCAGCTCCTTCAACAAGGCCGAGGTGAAGGCGTTGACGGCGAACTTGGTTGCGCAGTAGATCGATCCTCCGGGATATCCTTCCCTGCCGGCGATGCTGCCGAGGTTGATCACGTGGCCGGCGTTTCGCTTCTTGAACTCCTTGACAAAGATCTGGGTTAGGTGGATGAGACCTTTGACGTTGGTATCGATCATAACGTCGATCTCTTCGGGGGAGATGTCGCCGACTTTGTCGGTACCCAGCACCAGACCGGCGTTGTTGACGAGGATGTCGACGTCCTTGGCCCAATCGGGCAGGGAAGAGATGAGACCATCGAGCTGGGTTCGATCCCTCATATCGAGTGTGATGGCAGCAAAGTTGCCGCCTGCGCCGGTCTGACCTTGTTGGTTGGCGAGAGAACACTCGGTTGCTGCGGCGGACAGCTCTTCGGCTCGACGCGCGGTGAGGATGACATTGCAGCCGGCTCGGGCAAAGAGGATGGCGGTCTCCTTACCGATTCCACCTGACGCACCGGTGACGAGCACCGTCTTGTTGTGCAAGCGTTGCGTAGGGAATACAGTCGTCATGCTGGGAAAGATCCGATCCGGTCCTGAATTAGACAAAGTCTTGACGATGGAGGAAGATGTAAAAGCTCGAGGTGCGAGACGTGTGGATGATGGAAGAACAGCGAGGCGTCGTACAGAGGCGGCAGCGACGGCTTGAGGAACGATTCGAGACGCAAAAATTCGTGGAAGAGCAGCGAAAGACATGCAGCAGGGTGCTTGCGCGGAACCAATACGACAATCGTGCGGAGATGGTGTGGCAGGGAGAGACTTGGAAAGCCGAACCAAGCTGTGTCCTAGCGTCATAGCGGCAAACACAGCCGTGAAGCTTCCAGGCCCAAGTCTGGACAAAGGCGCGGCGACTCGAGTGTCAATTGCCGAGCGGGTCTGTGCGGCACAGCGGTCCGATTTCGTGGATCAGATTGGGTCGATCAAACATTTCTGGAATTACACTCAGGCAAGCATTACCCTTGCCATCAAACGCGACCCAAGTCTCGAGCTGATCACATAGGCGGAGCACACTCTAGGCGTGATCAGCGCCACACACATACCAACGAGGAACGCAATACGCTGTACACAGCTGCAACAACAAAGCACAGCGCTCTCATTGAACGGGCGCCGAGCGCAACTCTTGAGCCCTCCTCGCAGCGTCTCCGCTCAACAATCCTTGCGCCTCTTGTCCGCCCTGGCCCTCCTCCCCATTCCCATCCACCACATCGCCCAACTCTTCCACGTCAGCAGCGTTCTCTGCCCCCTCGTCGCCTTCACCCTCGTCCTCGCCCACCTCGTCGATCACAAAGGCAGGACGTTCTTGCAGCAGAGCCTCCTGTGCCGCACGCAGGGCCTCAGCCGCAGCCTTGGGTCCTGCTGTCGACAGATCGCTTCCTCTGAGACTGATCCGCTTGTCAGCTTTTGCCGTCGTCGTACCTGACGATGATTGCTTCTCCTGCGTTCGGCCTCGTTCCTCTGCCGATCCTGATATCGACGAGCTATCCGCCGACGCGGCAGCCTTCAGATCCTGGGTTGACGGCGTGCGGGCCGGCGCTCTCAACGCGTTGAACAGCCGATTGCCAAGCGTTGATTTCCTATCCTCTGCCGCTTTGCGTCTCTCCTCCGCCTCCTTCTCTCTCAGCTCCTGCGTGTCCATCTTGCCGCCATCCAGGGTCGAGTTCCGACCAAACGACGGTCTCGGCCCTGTCACGGTATGCGTCTGCAACCGCTGCCCCACCTGATCTGCCAACTGATTCATCTTCGCTTTTCCTTCCTCGCCCAGCAAGTTTCCCAAGAAGCCGACCACCTTTCCCCTTGCGCCCGTCGTCACATCGCGACTATAGGTGGCTTCGCTTGTCGCCCAGCTGCTCTCCTTGCTTGCTCCGGGCACCGCCCTGGGAGCTCCTGGAAGACTTGGCGCGGTGTGCCAGGCGTAGGCGCCTCCGCTCTGCGATCGTTCGACGGGTTCGAGGTAGAAGGATTCGGTGAGGTCGGATTTGAAAAAGGATTCGAGGACGGGAGAAGAGAGAACAAGCATGCGGAACGAGGCTAATGATAAGAACGGTACATCCTGTCCGATTGTTTTGTCTTGTTGGCTGGCCACTGCGGCAGCGTCTTTTGTGGGATCCTCACCGTCTTCTTTGGTTGATGATACCGTCTTGCTGTCGCTCTTGCTTTCCGCTTCGGCCGTCAACTTTCCGGCGCGATCTACTGCGATCTCCCACAGTGCGTCTGAGGCTCGGTCGAGCTCCGATTGCCACTCGTCGGTACCTTGTGCTCGCACCTCGTCTTTGGCAAGGTCCTTGGCATCCTTGAGTGCAGCCACCTTTTCGCCGAGCAACGACGCAATCTCGTCGGCGACGGCAGCTCTAGATCGACCAGCGACGTACGTAACGAAGCGCAGGCCTGGGTATTTGGCCTCATAGATAGCATTCAGCCTTGCTAGTCCTGGATGCATTGGCACAAGGAGGGAGTCAGCAATCGAAATCTGGATATCTTTCAGAAGCTTTAATGGGAGCTCACAGGCGTACTTACTCTCGAGCGTGGCAGGATCCACCTGACCTCCTTTCATCTGTTCCTTCCGACTCTCTTCGCTGAGCTCAGACGTGGGTGCATTGAGCGGTGCGCCGATGCGCGGGTGCCCGCCGATGAACTTGGCGCGACGTTCCGCCTCCCATCCCGGTTCGTCTTCCACGCAAAAGCGAGCGACATCGAGCAGACCTTCGTACGATTCTGGTCGCGAGTCTTGCGGCAGATCAGCGATGGCAGCCGCGGATTGCGACGACAGATCTGAGAGTAGCTCCTTGGGACATTCCAATAGGCGCAGAAGAATGGGCGAGAGCTGTTCGGGCGTTGCATTCGGGATCTCGCCCGGTGCAATGATGGTTGCCGACATGGTGTCGCTGACCATTTGCAGACTTGAAGATGCAGCGGAGACGTTCGAGGTGTCCCGTGAAGTCAATGACGCGAAGTGAAGACACCGCTCTTTGGGTTATGGAGCTTGTGTGCTCTGATGATGCGTCAACAGATGGTGGTTGTGATTGAGGTGGGTTGATGTTGGTGAGAGTGATGGAGAGATTGACACTGCAGTGTGCAATTGTACTTGGGTAGGCCATGCACGGACACTGCGCTGCTGTTCCCGAATTTCGGATTTGGCCGTGGACCCTCGCTCGACACGCTCAACTTGACAGATAAAGACACACACACGAACATCTCGCGCGAGAGGAAGCAGAGTACGACTGAAAATGGCCGAAGAAGACCAACACCTGCTGCACGCTCCACTCTCTGCTCATCGACGAGACCACCACCCAGCAAGCATCGCCTCAGCACCAGCTCGGTGCGATCAAGAACGGGGATTAGCGCAACAATGTCGTCAGCATCATCGTCCGTCGCTGGTCCATCGCAGACCAAAGTGGAGACCAACTCGCGAGGCATCCCACACGCACCGTTCATCGTAAGTCTTCACATCGCTTTCCACCGCGCACTTTGCACTATACACTCACTCTCTCGCACTCTGCTTCTCTCCACTTCGGCGACATACAGTCCAACGTGCAAGAATACCTCGGCGGACCAGATGAAGAAGTCGAGCCCACTCTCAAAAAGTTCCAAGAGACCATGTCCAAGTACAAGTTCATGGAGCTGAACACGGCACAGCGACGTCGAGGCCTGGAAGAAAAGATTCCAGACATCCGCAAGACGCTTCAAATGGTCAACTTCCTCAAGGAGAAGAAGGACGATCCAGAATCAATAGAGACCACCTTTGAGCTCAACGATACGCTCTACGCCAAAGCCAAGTTGGACCCTGTCGACACTGTGCACCTGTGGCTCGGGGTAAGGTCTTGCACGCGAAGCCAATCCTGTGCACCATTTGACTTTACCGCTGACCGAAGTTTCCATCTCTTACTTGCTTGTAGGCCAATGTCATGCTCGAATACCCGCTGGACGAAGCCATCTCTTTACTCGCAGCCAAACTCGCCGGAGCAGAGAAGTCGCTCACATCATCCAAAGAGGACCTCGACTTTCTGCGCGAACAGATCACCATCATGGAAGTCAACACCGCCCGCGTACACAACTGGGACGTCAAACGTCGTCGAGAACGCAGAGAAGAGCTCGAACGAGAATGCGTCTCCGAAGAGGCGGGATCCAAGCAATCACAGGCGTAGTGAGTTTGAACCCTCTCTTCCCGTCGGCATTCCACACCTCGTTGTAACAGTAATTGCAAACAAAAGTTCAAGCTCGTTGGAAGATGTTGTGTGCGGATGCCACGTCGCTGCTGCAAGAGAACAGGGAAACAGAGAGACTGAAACTTGCCCTTTGTTTCCTTTTGTTCTTACGCAGCAGCAGCGGTGGGTGGCTCTTTGAAGATCGTGACAGGAGCAAGTCGGGTGCCGATAGGAATGAGAGCGGAGTGCAGCTGCAGGACGGCACAGATGTGGAGCCCAATCAGCGAGGCGTGACGGATGCAAAACTGGATCAACAAGCGTCGGCGACAGCGATACCTCACAAAATTGTTGCAGATGGTGCAGGCGGATCCTTGCCACCGAACGACGCAGATCGACAAGATGCCGGACCAGCAGCCCAGAATAGCTCCACAGCTACCCACCCAACAGCCACGGATTTATCAAAGACACCACCGTCCGGTGCCAACGCCGACTCGCCCACTCCACCGAAACCCGTGCTATCCACCAACACCACCTCGACCTCCGCTCCGCCCACCCGTTCCACGCTGCCCACCTCCCTCCTCACCCCTCCACACCCCACCGACCCCCTCTCCTCATCCACCCTCATCGTGCCC